GCTCAGCAGCAGCCAGGCCGCCAGCGCCGCGCCCAGCGCCGCCATGGCGCCCAGAGGAGCTGCGGGGCGGAGATGGGGGGAGATGGGGGGTCAGATATGGGGGATTGGGAGATGGGGGTCAGATGTGGGGCAGGAGATGGGGGGGTCAGATGTGGGGTGGGAGATGGGGGGTCAGATATGGGGTGGGAGATGGGGGGGTCAGATGTGGGGTCAGATATGGGGGATCAGGAGATGTGGGGTCAGATGTGGGGTCAGACATGGGGGATCGGGAGATGTGGGGTCTGATGTGGGGCGGGAGATGTGGGGTCAGATGTGGGGTCAGGAGATGGGGTTTGGGATGTGGGGTCAGGAATTTGGGATGTGGGATATGAAATTTGGGATGTGGGATTGGGAATTTGGGGTGTGGGGCTGGGGGGGGTCCATGGGGCTGGGATGTGGGGCTGGGATTTGGCCACGGATCAGGAATGTGGGATGGGATGGAACCGTGGGGCTGGTTCGGATCTGTGGGGCCGGTTCGGTGCCAGTCTGGGCTCAGTTCGGGGCGGTTCGGGCTAGTCGGGGTGGTTCTGATCCGAGGGGCCGGTTCGGGGCGGTTCTGGGGCGGGTTCTGGGGCCGGTTCTGGGGCCGGTTCTGGGCCCGGTTCTGGGGCTGGTTCGGGGCGGTTCTGATCCATGGGGCCGGTTCTGGGCCCGGTTCTGGGCCCGGTTCTGGGCGGTTCGGGGGGGGTTCGGGGCGGCCCCGCCCCCTCCCCCTCCCCCGCCCGTTGCCATGGAAACCGCGCGGCTGCCGCGAGCGGGGCCGCCCCCGCGGCACCCGGACCGGACCGGACCGGAACGGAACCACAGAACCGGACCGGACCGGACCGGAACGGACCGGACCCACAGAACCGGACCGGACCCACAGAACCGGACCGGACCCACAGAACCGGACCGGACCGGACCGGACCGGAACGGACCGGACCCACAGAACCGAACCGAACCCATAGATCTGAACCGGCCCCATAGATCTGAACCGGCCCCATAGAACTAGACCGGACCCACAGAACCGGACCCATAGATCCATTACCCATAGATCCGAACCGGCCCCACAGATCAGAACCGGCCCCACAGATCAGAACCGGACCCATAGATCCATTACCCATAGATCCGGACCGGATCCATAGATCTGAACCTGACCCACAGATCCCTGACCCATAGATCCAAACCTGACCCATGGATCTGAACCTGACCCACAGATCCGAACCGGCCCCATAGATCCGAACTGGACTCACGGATCTGAACCTGACCCATAGAACCAAACCGGCCCCACAGATCCAAACCGGCCCCATGGATCCAAACCGGACCCATAGAACTGAACTGGCCCCATAGACCAGAACCAGCCCCATAGAACCGAAGCGGCCCGACAGATCCAAACCAGACCCACAGATCCAAGCCGGACCTACAGATCCAAACCGGACCCACAGATCCGAACTGGACCCATGGATCCCTTCCTGCCCCATTTCCTGCCCCACTCCTGCCCCATTTCCTGCCCCACTCCTGCCCCATTTCCTGCCCCATTTCTGCTCCATTTCCTGCCCCATTCCTGCCCCATTTCTGCCCCATTTCCTGCCCCATTCCTGCCCCATTTCCTGCCCCATTTCCTGCCCCATTCCTGCCCCATTTCCTGCCCCATTCCTGCCCCATTTCCTGCCCCATTTCCTGCCCCATTTCCTGCCCCATTCCTGCCCCATTTCCTGCCCCATCCCTGCCCCATTCCTGCCCCATTTCTGCCCCATCCCTGCCCCATCCCTGCCCCATTTCTGCCCCATTTCCTGCCCCACTCCTGCCCCATTTCCTGCCCCACTCCTGCCCCATTTCCTGCCCCATTTCCTGCCCCATTTCCTGCCCCACTCCTGCCCCACTCCTGCCCCATTTCCTGCCCCATTTCCTGCCCCACTCCTGCCCCATTTCTGCCCCATTTCCTGCCCCACTCCTGCCCCAGCTCCTCCCCCCCCATTAATCCAATTAACGCCCCTCGCTGCCCCTCATTAATTAACCCATTAAGCCCCGGTCCCGCGCGGGGATTTCCCCAAATCCCTCGGGATTCGCCCCAGTTTTGGGGGATTTTCCTTCATTCCCAGGATTTGCCCAATTTTCCGCGATTTTCCCCCGGATCGAGGAGCCGCATTCCCAAAATTCCCAACCGCGGGGCAGCCTCGGAGCCGGCGACCCCAAATTCCCGGGAAATTCCCCAAATTCCCGGCAAATTCCCCAAAATTCCCGGCAAATTCCGCAAAATTCCCGGCAAATTCCCCAAAAATTCCCTTTTCGGAGCGGCCGAGACCCAAATCCCGCCGCTTTTTCCCTCAAAACTGCGGATTTTTGTGGGTTTTTTTCCTTTTTTTGTGTTTTTTTTTTCCCTTCCCAGCGGATTTGGGAGGATTTGGGGGAAAATCCGGGATTTAGGACAAATCCGGGTTTTCCGAGGGGGATTCGGCAGCGGGGGGAGGGGAAAAAGGGGAATTTGGGGGGGAATTTCTGGGATTTGGGGCAGAATTTGGGGGGGGAATTTGCAGGAATTTGGGATGTTTGGGGGGAGATTTGTGGGAATTGAGAGGATTTGGGAAATTCGGGGAAATTTTCGGGTTTCCGGGGGGGATTTGAGGGAAATTTGGGGGATTTGGGGGAGATTTGAAGGAATTGGAGGAATTCAGGGAAAATCAGGGGAGGATTTGGGGAGATTTTGGAGGATTTGGGGGAATTCAGGCGGGAAATTTCGGGAAATCTGCAGGAATTTGGGGTATTTGGGTCAAAATGTGGAAATTTGGGGGAATTAGGGGGAAGGAGCGATGAAATTTGGGAGAATTTTGGGAATTTGAGCCCAAATGTGGGGGATTTATGGGAATTCAGGAAAATTCAAGGGAATTTCGGGGAATTTCAGGGAATTTCGGGGAAAATGTGGGAGAATTTTGGGCCTTTGGGGGAGAAAATGAGAAATTTGGGAGAATTTGGGAGGATTCAGGAGATTTGGGGGGAATCGGAGAGAATTTCAGGAATTCCAGAGAAACTGGGGGGGGGAAATCGAGGGAATTTGGGAGATTCCAGTGAATTTGGGGAAAATTGCAGGAAATTTGGACATTTTGGGAGGAAATCCAAGGAATTTTGGCGGAATCCGGTGGGGGGGGGGAATCGGGGAAATTCGGGGCAATTTTGGAGAATTCGGGGAAAATCGGGGGAAAATTTGGGGAACCTGAGCAGATGTGGGGGAGATTTGGGAGAATTTCGAGGGGAAAATGGGGAATATTGGGGGAAAGTTGGGAATTTCTGGAGGAAAATGGGAAATTTCAGGGGGAAATGGGGAATTTCAAAGGGAAAAATGGGGAATTTCTGGAGGAAAATGGGAAATTCTGGGGGGAAATGGGGAATTTCGAGGGGAGAATTGGGAATTTCGAGGGAGAAGATAGGAATTTTGGGGGAAAATGGGAAATACTGGGGGGGAAACAGGGAATTTTTGGGGAAAATGGGGAATTTCGGGAGGAAAATGAGAAATTATGAGGGGAAAATGGGGAATTTTGAGGGGAAATGGAGAATTTCCAGGAAAAAATGGGGAATTTCGGGGTGCAAAAGGGAAATTCGGGGGGATTTGGGGAAAACCAGGGAAGCGCGGGGGGGAAGCCGCGGGAATTTGGGGGAAATTTGGGGGGAATTTGGGGGAATTCGGGCGGAATCGCCGCCCCCCCCCCCACCCACCTGTTCCCATCCCCGCGCTCGGGAATTTTTTCCCAATTCCGGCGATTTTTGCCCAATTTTGGGTGGGGGGGGGCTCATCCCTCCCCTCCCCCCTCCGTGGGTGCGACCCCCGCCCCTCCCCCCGCGCCCCCACCCCCAAATCCGCCGCTTCCCCCCCAAAATCGCGGCCGGGGGAGGGGCGGGGGGGATGCCGGGGGTGGGGGAGGGGCGAGGGGGCGGGGGGGTTTTTGGGGGGCTCGGGGGGGGTTTGGGGACCCCCAGCCCCCCATCCCCCCCCTCCTCCTACCTGTTCCCCCCCGGGTCCGCTCCCGCCGCCGCCGCCGTTAAAGCTCCGGGGGGGGGGGGGGGGCGGAGCGAGGGGGGAGGGGCGGGAACGGCCCCGCCCCCACCCCGGGAACGCCCCCGGGACCCCCAAAAAAACCCAAAAATCCTTCGGGAACCCCAAAAAACCCCTGGAACCCCAAAAATCCTTCAGGGACCCAAAAAATTCTTCAGGAACCCCAAAAATCTTTCAGGGACCCCAAAAATCTTTCAGGGACCCCAAAATCCTTCAGGGACCCAAAAAATTCTTCGGGACCCCCAAAATCCTTCAGGGACCCCCAAAATCCTTCAGGGACCGCCCCCACCCCCCAATTTGGGCTGCCCCAAAATTTGGGGTCTCCGCCTCTTTTGGGAATCCCAAAATCCCTCCAAAATCCCCAAACCCCCCCAAAATCCCCAAATTTCCTCAAATCCTCCCCAAAATCCTTCATACTTCCCCAAAATCTTCCCCAAAAATCCCCCCCAAAATCTCCAAAAATCCCCAAATTCCCCCAAAATCCGCCCAGCCCATTTCAGGGCCGGATTTTTGGGAATTTTTTTCGGGAATAATTTTAATTTTTTGGTTGGGATTCGGCGGATTTGGGGGTGGGGGAGGGGCCCCGCGGCCCTTCCTCCCCCTCCTCCTCCTCCTCGGCCTTTTCCCGATTTCCCGCGATTTTCCCCCAATTTTCCGCTGTTTCTTCCCATTTTCCTGCAGATTTCCCCCATTTTTCCATCGAATTTTCCCCTTTTTCCACATTTTTCTCCAGTCTTTCCAGATTTTTTCCCCAATTTTCTGTGTTTTTTCCCAAATTTTCTGTGCTTTTTTCCCATTTTTCCATTGATTTTTCCTGGTTTTCCGTGGATTTTTCCCGTTTTTCCACATTTTTCTCCCATTTTCCCGGGTTTGTTTCCTCTTTTTCCAGGGTTTTTTCCCATTTTCCTGGGTTTTCTTCCCGTTTTTCCAGGTTTTTTTCCCGTTTCTCTGTGGTTTCTTCCCATTTTTCCGGATTTTTTTCCCAATTTTCCGGGTTTTTCCCCCAAATTTCTTGCGTTTTTTCCCGTTTTTCCGGCGTTTTTTCCCGTTTTTCCGTTTTTTTGCCCCGTTTGTGCTGCACTTCCCTCCGCAGCCGCTCCCGCAGCAGCCGCGCCGTCGGCTCCAGGCTGTGCTGGGGAGAAATTCGGCGATTTTGGGCAATTTTGGGGAATTTGGGGAATTTGGGGATTATTTGGGGGGATTTTTGTGGATGTGGAGGAAATTTGGGGTGAATTTTTTAGGATTTGGGGAAAAACAGAGGGATTTGGGGGAAATTTTGGGAAATTTTGGTGATTTCGGGGTGAATTTTGGGGAATTCACGTGCAGCCCCCCCCCCCCCCCTTCACCCCCCCCGTCAGGGGAATTTGGGGGAATTTTGGGTGAATTTTTGGGGAAAAATCAGATTTTTTTTGGGAAGTAATAGGAATTTTGGGGCGAAACTAGGAGTTTTTGGGGAAATTCAGAGTTTTGTGAGAATTTTTTGGGAAAAGCTCCAATTTTTTTTGGTAAAAACTCTGATTTTCTTGGCTAAAAATTCCATTTTTTGGGGTAAAATTTCCGTTTTTTTTGGTAAAAACTCCGTTTTTTTTGGTAAAAACTCCGTTTTTTTTGATAAAAACTCAGAATTTTTTTTGACAACTCGGATTTTTGGGGGGAATTTTGGGGATTTTGGGAGTTTCACCCACCTGGAGCACGTGCAGCCCCCCCAGGCAGACCACGGCGAGCTCCTGCAGCCCATCCCCCGTCAGGTCCAGCGGCTCCAGCGCCAGCAGGGGGGAGGGGAAGCGCCGGGCCCAGAGCGGCAGAAATTGCCCAAAATCGCCCGAATTGGCCCCAAAATATTTGTAACACAGCAGCTCCTGCGGGGGAGATGGCGGGGAAATTACGGGGGAAATTGTGGGAAAGTCGGGGAAAAAATAGGGGAAAAAATAGGAGAAAATTGGGGAAAAAAAGACAGAAAAATTTTGGGGAAATGGGGAAAAATTGTGGGAATTTGGGGGGAAAATTGGGGTAAAATAGGGGAAAATTGGGGGAAAATTGGGGAGAAATTGGGGAAAAACATGGACAATTCAGGGGGGGGGAAATGGGGAAAAATGGGGGAAAAAGGGGGGAAATTATGGGAGAGTCAGGGGAAAATTGGGGAAAAATTGGGGAAAATCAGAGGAATTTGGGGGAAATGGGACAAAAATCAGTGAAAATTTGTAAAATGGGAGAAAATTCAGGGAAAATGAGGGAAATATTGGGAAAATGGGAGAAAAATGAGGGAAATTTGGGGGAAATTGGGGAAAATCAGGGGAATTTTGGGGAAATGGGACGAAAATGGGAGAAAATTCAGGGAAAACCAGGGAAATTTGGGGAAAATGGGAGAAAAATCAGGGAAATTTGGGGAAAATTCAGGGAAAACCAGGGAAATTTGGGGAAAATGGCAGAAAAATCGAGGAAAATTGGGGAACATTGGGGAAATTTGGGGAAATGTGAGAATAACCGGGGAAATGGGAGGAAAATGAAAGGAATTGGGAGGAAAATGAGGGGAATGCTTTGGGGAATTTGGGAATTTGGGAATTGGCTCCCGCTCCCACCTGGCCGTAGGTGCCCAGCAGGATTTCGGCGGCGCCGTCGAAGTCGACGTCGGCGACTTTGGCACAAACGACGGCGTCGGAGCCGCGGCTGCCGGGGAGCTCCAGCGGCGCCGCCAGGCCCCGGCGCAGCAGCCGCCTGCGAGGGGAGAGTCCCAAAAAACCTCAACCTTCCCCCAAAAATCACAAAGGAATCCGAAAAAAATCCCGAAAGAATTAAAAAAAAAAAAATCCCAAAAATCCCCAAAAAAACCCCATAAAAACCCCCAAAAATTAAAATAAAAATCCAAGAAATTCCCACAAAAATCCCAAAGAAATCCCCAAAAATGCCAACAAAATCCAAAATATTCCAAAGGAAATCCCCAAAATCCCAACAAACCCCAAAATATTCCAAAGGACATCCCCCAAAAATCCCAACAAAATCCAAAACAATTTCCAAAAAAATCCAAGAAATTCCCACAAAAATCCCAAAGAAATCCCCAGAAATCCCAACAAAATCCAAAATATTCCCATAAAAATCCCAACAAAATCCAAAAAGTTCCCAGAAAATCCCAAAGAAATCCCAAAAATCCCAACCAAATCCAAAACATTCCCAGAAAATCCCAACCAAAAAAAAAATTCAAAAAATTCTAGAAGAAATCCAAAAAAATTCCAAAAGAAATCCCAAAAATCCCAACAAAATTCCCAAAAATCCAAAAATTCCCAAATATTCCCCAAAATTCCCAAAAATCCCCCTAAAAATCCCCAAAATTCCATAAAAATGCTCAAAAAAAAATCCCAAGTAATTCCCTAAACATTCCCCAAAAATCCCAAATTCTCCCCAAAATCCCCTAAAATTCCCCGAACAATTCTCTGAAGTTCTCTGAAAACTGTTGGCAGAATTTTTGGGGGAATTTTTAGGGAATTTTTGGAGGGAATTTTGGGAATTTTTGGCAGAATTTTTGGGGAATTTTGGAGGGAATTGTGGGAATTTTTGGCAGAATTTTTTGGAATTTTTTGGCAGAATTTTTGGGGGAATTTTGGGAATTGTTAGCAGAATTTTGGGGGGAATTTTGGGGAATTTTTTGGCAGAATTTTTGGGAATTTTTAGGGGAATTTTGGGAATTTTTGGGGCTCACCGATAAACCACGGCCGCCTCCAGGGCGCTGCTCACCAGGAGGCTCCAGGAATCCTCGGGGTCTTCTGCGGGAAAATCGGGAATTTCGGGAATTTTGGGGGGAATTTTGGGAATTTGGGGAATTCTGCCTTTTCCCAGTTTTTTCCACAGTTCTTCCCAAATTTTTTCCCATTTTTTCCTCATTTTTCTGCACTTTCCCTGTTTTTTTTTCCTTTCCCCCCACCTACCATTTTCTCCAATTTTTTCCCATTTTTCCTGGAATTTTCTCATTTTTACCAATTTTCCCATTTCCCCCCCATTTCCCCTCCATTTTTCCCCTTTCCCGCCAATTTTTCCCATTTTTCCCTTTCCCCCTCCTTGTTTTTCCCCATTTCCCCCCATTTTTCCCTTTTCCCCCTAATTTTCCCTTATTTTCTCCCATTTTTCCCTTTCCCCCCCATTTTCCTCATTTTCCCCCTAATTTTTCCCATTTTCCCCCAAATTTTTTCCCTTTTACCCCATTTTCCCCAATTCCCCCCATTTTTCCCATTTCCACCCTGATTTCCCCCATTTTTCCCCCATTTTCCCCCATTTTCCCCCTCATTTCCCCCCTATTTTTTCCCCTTTTCCCCTCATTTTCCCCCATTTCCCCATTTTTCCCATTTTCCCCGTTTTTTGCCCCGTTTCTCGCTCACCGTCGCCGTCCGAGGGCAGCGGGAAGAGCAGCACGGCCGAGATGGGCCCGTCCTGCTGCACGCTCCAGCTCTGCAGCACCGCTGCAAAACGGGGCAAAAAACGGCGATTTCGGGAAAATCGGGGAGAAAAAATGGGATTTTAGGAAAAATGGGGAAAAAAAGGGGCCGAAAAATGGGATTTTGGAGCCGGGAAATGGGGAAAAATGGGGCAGAAAAAGGAGATTGCTGCATGCTCCAGCTCTGCAGCACCGCTGCGAAACGGGGCAAAAAAACGGCGATTTTGGGAAAATTGGGGAAATTTTATGGAAAATGGGGCAAAAAAAGGGGATTTTGGGGCTGGGAAATGGGGTGAAAAGAGGGGATTTTGGGGAATTGGGGAATTTGGGGAGTTTTGGGAATTTTGGGATTTGCGGAGTTTGGGAATTTGGGAATTTCAGGAATTTTAGGAATTTTGGAATGTGGGAATGGGGAATTTTGGGAATTAGGGAGTTCAGGAATTGAAATTTCAGGAATTGGAATTTTGGGAAGTTTGGGAATTGGGATCTTGGGAATTTTGGGAATTGGGTATTTCAGGAATCGGGCATTTTGGGAATTTGGGATTTTTTGAATTTCGGGAATTTGGGGATTTTAGGAGTTGGTATTTGGGAATCGGGAATTTTGTGAATTTGGGAATTTCGGGAGTTGAGATTTGGGAATTGGGAATTTTGAGAATTTGGAGAATTGGGAATGAGGAATTCGGGGAATTTCAGGAATTTGGGGAATTGGGAGTTGGGAATATGGGGAATTTGGGAATTTGGGGAATTGGGAATTTTGAGAATTTCAGGAATTGGGAATCGGGAATTCCGGAAATTTCAGGAATTTGGGGAATTGGGAGTTGGGAATTTGGGGAATTCTGGGAATTTGGGGAATTTGGGGAATGGGGAATTTTGAGAATTTCTGGAATTGGGAATCGGGGAATTCGGGGAATTTGTAATTCAGGAATTTGGTATTTGGGAATTTGGGGAATGGGGAATTTTGGGAATTTCTGGAGTTGGGAATCTGGGATTTCAGGAATTTGGGGATTTTGGGCAGTTTGTAATTCAGGAATTCGGGAATTTGGGGATTTTGGGCAGTTTGTAATTCAGGAATTTGGTATTTGGGAATTTGTGGAATTCGGGGAATTTGGGGATTTTGGGCAGTTTGTAATTCAGGAATTTGGGAATTTGGGGAATGGGGAATTTGGGGAATTTGGGAATTTGGGACCGCGTGCTCACCTCCCGAGCCCTCATGAACACGCGCCGCCCGCACGAAGCCGCTGTGGCAGCCCAGAGCCGAGAGCCGATGGCCGGAGCCGGGCAGGGGGCGGACATCCAGCCAGAGCACCCTGAAATGGGGTGAAAAAACGGGAATTTGGGAAAAAACGGGAAAAATGGGGAATAATGGCACTGGACATCCAGCCACAGCACCCTGAAATGGGGCAAAAAACCGGGAATTTGGGAAAAAACGGGAAAATGGGGAATAATGGCATTGGACATCCAGCCACAGCACCCTGAAACGGGGCAAAAAAACGGGAATTTGGGAAAAAACGGGAAAATGGGGAATAATGGCATTGGACATCCAGCCACAGCACCCTGAAACGGGGCAAAAAAACGGGAATTTGGGAAAAAACGGGAAAATGGGGAATAATGGCATTGGACATCCAGCCACAGCACCCTGAAACGGGGCAAAAAAACGGGAATTTGGGAAAAAACGGGAAAATGGGGAATAATGGCATTGGACATCCAGCCACAGCACCCTGAAACGGGGCAAAAAAACGGGAATTTGGGAAAAAACGGGAAAATGGGGAATAATGGCATTGGACATCCAGCCACAGCACCCTGAAATGGGGCAAAAAACCGGGAATTTGGGAAAAAACGGGAAAATGGGGAATAATGGCATTGGACATCCAGCCACAGCACCCTGAAACGGGGCAAAAAAACGGGAATTTGGGAAAAAACGGGAAAATGGGGAATAATGGCATTGGACATCCAGCCACAGCACCCTGAAACGGGGCAAAAAAACGGGAATTTGGGAAAAAACGGGAAAATGGGGAATAATGGCATTGGACATCCAGCCACAGCACCCTGAAATGGGGCAAAAAACCGGGAATTTGGGAAAAAACAGGAAAATGGAGAATAATGGCATTGGACGTCCAGCCACAGCACCCTGAAACGGGGCAAAAAACCGAGAATTTGGGAAAAAAACAGGAAAAATCAAGGAAAAAAGGGGGAAAAAGGGGGAAAATGGAAATACAGGAAAATCAGGGAAAAAGCGGGAAAATGGAGAAAATCAGGGAAATATGGGAAAAATCTGGGAAAATCACAGAGAAATCAGGAATATTCAGGGAAAAATGGGGAAATTCAGGGAAAATCAGGGAAAAATCAGGGAATTTCAGGGAAAAATCATGGAAATTCTGGAAAAAAAAAGTGAAAATCCAGGAAAAATGGGGAAAAAATGGGAAAAATTGAGACAAGACAGAGGAAAATTGGGGACAAGTAAGAAAAACCTGGGAAAATCACAGAAAAATCAGGAATACTCAGGGAAAAATGGGGAAATTCAGGGAAAATTAGGGAAAAATCAGGGAAAATTAGAAAAATATCAGGAAAATTCAGGGAAAATCAGGGAAAATGAGGGAAATTTCGGAAGAATATCAGGAAAATGTGGGGGAAATGGGTAAATTTGGGAAGGGAGGAGCGGCTCCGTACGTGCTGGGAACGTCCTGCAGCTCCGGGAAGAGCAGCTGGATCGGCTGCTCCTCGAACTGGTGCGAGCCGGGGTTCTGGAAAACGGGAAAATCGGGAAAAAATGGGGAGAAAAGGAGAAAAAATGGGGGAAAATTATGGGAAAATGGGAAAAAAAGGGAAAAAAAGGTGGGGAAATGGGGGGAAAATGGGAAAAGGGGAAAATGGGGGAAAATGGGCAAAGGGAGAAATGGGAAAGATGAGGAAAAATGGGAAAAAATGGAGGGGAAATGGGGAAAATTGGGGGGAAAATGAGGGGAAATGGGGGAAAATGGGAAAAAAGGGGGAGAAAAGAGGAAAAATGGGGAAAAAAATGGGGGGAAATGGAGAAAAAGGTGGGAATGGGGGAAATGGGGTAAAAGAGAAAAATGGGGAAAATGGGGAAAAAGGAGAAAAACAAGGGGAAAAGGGGGAAAAACGGGGGGAAATGGGAAAAAATTGGGAAAAGGGAAAAATGGGGAAAATGGGGAAAATGGGGGAAAGGAAAAAGGGAGAAATGGGAAAAGGGGGAAAATGGGAAAAATGGGAAAAAATGGGGGGAAAAGGAGGAAAAATGGGGGGGATATAGGAAAAAAGAGGGGGAAATGGGAAAAATGGGAAAATGGGGAAAAAGGGAAAAAGGGAAAAAAGGAGAAATGGGGAAAATGGGGAAAAAGGAGAAAAAGGAAAATTACCAGGACGTTCCCAGAGGAATTTGGGTATTTTGGGGAATATTTTGGGGTATTTTTGGGATATTTTGGGGACACATTTTGGAATATGTTTGGAGTATATATTGAGATATTTTTAGGGTATATTTGGGGTGGTTTTGGAGTATTTTTAGGGTAATTTTGGGGTATATTTTGAGACACTTCCAGGGTATATTTGGGATATTTTTGGGGTGTTTTTGGGGTATTTTTGGGGTGTCTCACCTCTCTGTACAGGTGGATGGCAGGGTGGTTTTTGGGGGATATTTTGGGATATTTTAGGGTATAACTTGGGATATTTTGGGGTATTTATTGGGATATTTTGAGGGTATATTTGGCATATTTTTAGGATATTTTTGGGGTGTTTTTGGGGTATTTTGGGGTATTTTTGGGGTGTCTCACCTCTCTGTACAGGTGGATGGCCGGGTCATTCCCACTCAGCAGGAAAACGGTCTCCAGGTGCTCCCCCACACGGACTCTGCAAATTGGGAAGGGAATTTTGGGGATTTTTGGGAATTTTTGGGATTTTTTGGGGTCTCCAGGTGCTCCCCCACGCGGACTCTGCAATTTGGGAAAAGAATTTTGGGGATTTTTGGGGTTTCTTTGAGATTTTGGGGATTTTTTTTCAGGTTTTTTTTTTTGGGATTTTTTTTAAAGTGTATTTTTTTAAGTTTTTTTTTTTAATTTTGGGATTTTTAAGGATTTTTAGGGGTGATTTTAGGGATTTTGGCACTCACTGGGCGTGGCACAACTGGAAGGGGGTGAAGCGAAGCTCCAGGTTCACGCAGCTCTCTGCAGGGGGGGACAGGGAAATTTTGGGGGGTCTCATCCCCCTTTTTAGGGTCCCAAATCCCATTTTTGGGGTCCCAATCCAATTTTTGGTGTCCCCAGTCCCATTTTTGGTGTCCCCAATCCCATTTTTGGTCTCTCCAATCCCATTTTTGGTGTCCCCAATCCCATTTTTCCTCTCCCCAATCCCATTTTTGGTCTCCCCAATCCCATTTTTTAGGACCCAAATCCCATTTTTGGTGTCCCTAATCCCATTTTTGGTGTCTCCAATCCCATTTTTGGTGTCTCCAATCCCATTTTTTGGGGTCCCATCCCCATTTTCGGGGTCTCCGATCCCATTTTTTGGGGTGCCAGCCCCGTTTTTGGGGTGCCATCCCCGTTTTTGGGGTGCCAGCCCCGTTTTTGGGGTCTCACGGGCCACGGAGTCGAGGTCGAACTCGCAGCCGGGCTCGTAGTCGCAGTAGATGTTGAGGAAGGGGCTGGGCTTGTCCCCCGAGTCCTGGGGGACCCCAAAAGTCACCTCAGACACCCCAAAAACAACCGGAGACCCCCCAAAAACCCTTCAGAGACCCCAAAACCCCCTGAGACCCCCCAAATTCCCCCCAAAATCTTCTTCAGACCCCCCAGACCCTCTAAATTCCCTCCAAATCCCCCAGACCCCCCAAATTCTCCCCAAATTGCCCCCAAGCCCCTCTGAGACCCTCAAAATCACCCCCAAATCCCCCTAAAACTCCCCAAAATCCATTCAAATCCCCCCAAATCCCCCTAAAACTCCCCCAAATCCCCCCAAAACCCCTCAGAACTCCCCCAGACCCCCTAAATCCCCCCCAAATCCCCCCATAGCTCCCCCAAATCCATTCAAATCCCCCCAAAACCCCCTTGAGACCCCCTAAATCCCCCCCGAATCCCCCCAGGATCCCTCAAATCCCCCCAAATCGCCCCATAACTCCCCCAAATCCCCCCAAAATCCCCCTGAGACCCCCCCAGACCCCCTAAATCCCCCCCAAATCCCCCCAGGATCCCTCAAATCCCCCCAAATCCCCCAAAACCCCTCAGAACTCCCCCAGACCCCCTAAATCCCCACCAAATCCCCCCATAACTCCCCCAAATCCATTCAAATCCCCCCAAAACCCCCTTGAGACCCCCTAAACCCCCCCCAAATCCCCCCAGGATCCCTCAAATCCCCCCCAAATTGCCCCATAACTCCCCCAAATCCCCCCAAAATCCCCCTGAGACCCCCCCAGACCCCCTAAATCCCCCCCAAATCCCCCCAGAATCCCTCAAATCCCCCCAAAATCCCCCCAAACCCCCCTGAGATCCCCCCCAGAACCCCTAAATTCCCCCCAAATCCCCCCAGGACCCCCCACATCCCCCTCAAACCACCCCCAAATCCCCTTGAGACCCCCCAAATCCCCTAAATCCCCCCCAAATCCCCCCCAAATCCCCTTGAGACCCCCTAAATCCCCCCCAAATCACCCCAAATCCCCCTGAGACCCCCCCAAATCCCCCTGAGACCCCCCAAATCCCCCCCAAATCACCCCCAACCCCTCTGAGACCCCCCCAAATCCCCTTGAGACCCCTCAAATCCCCCTCAAATCCCCCCCAAACCCCCCTGAGACCCCCCAAACCCCCCGGCCCCCTGCCCCACCTTGATGAAGGTGATGCCCACCACGAGGCCGCGCTGGGGGGGGGATTTGGGGAAGGAATCGATGGAAACGATCTCGGCGTCCACTGCGGGGGAGGGGCGCTCAGGGACCCCCAAACGGCCCCGAGACCCCCCAAAAAGCCCCCAAAATCCCCCAAATAGCCCCCAAAACAGCCCCCAAAATCCTCCCCAAAATCCCCCAAAACAGCCCCCAAATCCTCCCCAAAATGCCCCAAAATAGCCCCCAAAAATCCCTGAAATATCCCCCAAAACCTCCAAAAAAAAAACCCCAAAAACCCCAAAATATCCCCCAAAATATCCCCAAAATATCCCCTATATATCCCCCCAAATATCCCCAAAACCCTCAAAATATTCCCCAAAATATCCCAAAAATATCCCCCAAATATTACCCCCAAATATCCCCCAAAAACCTGCAAAATAGCCCCGGAAAACCCCAAATATTCCCCAAAATATTCCCCAAAATATCCCCCCAAAAGAGAAAAAAAAAAATCCCCAAAAATCGCCTTAAGAACCCCAAAAAATCCTCAAAAAATCCAAAAAAATTCCTAAATAAAACCCTCAAAAAACTCCTAAAAATTCTCAAAAAAATTCCCCAAGAAATGTCCCAAAAAAGAGAAAAAAAATCGCCCCAAATCCCCTTAAAACCCCAAAAAACCCCCAAAAAAACCCCAAAAAATCCCCAAAAAAATCCCCAAAATTCCCCGATTCCCGCGGAGCCCCCGGGGCCGGTTCCGCCCCGGTCCCGCCCCGGTCCCGCCCCGGTTCAGTCCCGTTCGGTACCGGGGATGTAGGTGAACTGCAGCTCCCGGGCCATGGGGCGGAGCCGCGGCCGCAGCTGCCGGTACCGGAACAGAGAAACCTTCCCCTTCAGCGCCGCCGCCAGCAGCGCGCCCGGGCCCGAACCGGAACCGGAACCGGAACCGGGAACGGGACACGGACCGGGACACGGACCGGAACCGGAACCGGAACCGGGACACGAACCGGGAAACGAACCGGAACCGGAACCGGAACCAGGAACGGGACCGGAAACGGAACCGGGACCCGAACCGGGACACGCACCGGGAAACGAACCGGAACCGGAACCGGGACCGGGAACGGGACACGGACCGGAACCGGGACCGGGACACGGACCGGAACCGGGACCGGAACCGGAAACGGGACACGGACCGGAACCGGGACCGGAAACGGAACCGGGACAGGAACCGGAACCCGAACCGGAAACGGGACACGGACCGGAACCGGGACACGAACCGGAACCGGGACCGGGACCGGAACCGGGAACGGAACCGGGACCGGGACACGAACCCGAACCCGAACCGGGACCCGAACCCAAACCGGGATCCGGACTGGAACCGGAACCCGAACCGGGAAACGAACCGGGACCGGGGTCCAGAACCGGGGCGGAACCGGGAACGGAACCAGGAGCGGGAACTGGGTCAGAACCGGGACCGGGATCCAGAACCGGGGCAGAACCGGGAACAGCACCGGGAACCGGGAACGGAGCAGGACCAGAACCGGGACTGGGAACTGGGTCAGAACCGGGACCGGAAACGGGATCCCGAACCGGGACAGAACCGGGAACGGAACCGGCACCGGGAACCGGGCACGGGACAGAACCGGAGCCGGGGTCCCGAACCGGGCCAGAACCGGGAATGGCACCGGGAACCGGAACCGGGTCAGAACCGGGAGCAGGAACAGAACCGGGAATGGCACCGGGACCGGGAACCGGGCCAGGACCGGTACCGGGAGTGGCCCCAGGAGCACGAACCGGGCCAGAACCGGTACCGGGAGCCCGACCCGGGTCAGAACCGGGCCCGGGGCCGGTACCGGGCGGGCCCGGCAGCGCCGCCAGCCCGTAGACGTTGCTCTGGGAGCGGAGGCGGCTGAAGCTGTCCTCGACCAGCGGGCACCGGGGCCAGGCACGCATGGCGGAACCGGGACCGAACCGGGACAGAACCGGGACAGAACCGGGACGGGACAGGGACAGAACCGGAGCAAACCGGGAGGAACTGGAATGAACCGAGAGGAACCGGGCTAGAACCGAGAGGAACTGGGACAGACCCGAAACCGACCGGGACCAAACCGGGAGGAACCGAGACCGAACCGAGACAAAAGGGGACCGAACCGAGCCAGAACCGAAACGAACAGGGACCGAACCGGGAGGAACGGGGGCCGAACCGGACCAAAAGCGGGAGGAACCGGGCCAGAACCGAGAGGAGCCGGGGGAAACGGGGGCCGAACCGGGCCAGAACCGGGTGCGCCGCGGGCCCGGCAGCGCCGCGGGCAGCCCGGAGCGGCAGCGCGGGGACCTTGCGGGCAGCGGCGCGCGGCGATGACGTAACAGAGCGACGCGAGGAACTCCACAGTGTGGGCGGGGTTTGTGATTAAGCCCCGCCCATTGTGGGCGGAGCGAAAACACCATTTGAGGAAATCGTGCTTTGCTCCGCCCACGGGGCGTGGCTTGACAGGGGGCGTGGCCAAAGGGAATTTGGGGATTTTGGGGTCAAAGGAGGAATTTTGGGGCTCTTTGAGGGGATTTGGGGAAAACGACGCAGCCCCGCCCCCTCCCAACCAGGCCACGCCCATCCCAAACCAGGCCACACCCACAAAATCCAGGGAACGCCCCCCAAAATTAGGGGTACACCCCCAAAATCAGAGCCACGCCCCCCAAAATCAGGGGCAAATCCCCCAAAATCAGAACCACGCCCCCAAAACAAACCACGCCCCCAAAATCAAAGCCACGCCCCCACGAGGCCACGCCCCATTCCCAAAGCGAGGCCATCTTTAATCGGGGTCCCCCGGGCACAGCAGCAGGGGCAGGAATGTTCCGGAAGGCGCCATTTTGGGTGGGGGTTTGGGGTTATTTTTGGGGCGTTTTTGAGATATTTTTAGGATATTTTTGGGGCATTTTTAAAATTTCTTTTCCAGATTTTTTTTGAAATTTTTTTGCCAATTTTTGGGGGTGTTTTTGCCGTATTTCGGGGGTGTTTTTGGGATATTTTCGGGCTGATTTTGGGATATTTTTGGGCAGTTCTTGGGGTGGTTTTTGGATTCTTTTTTTAGGTTTTTTTGAGGTTTATTGGCGATTTTTTGGTTTTTTTTTTTTTTTGCTGTATTTTGGGGTTTTTTTTGCAGATTTTGGGCAGATTTTGGGATATTTTTGGGGTGGTTTTGGGCAATTTTTGGGCTGGATTTGGGCAGGTTTTGGGGGTTTTTTGATTTTTTTTTCTTTTTTTGATTTTGTTTTGCGAATTTTTGGTGGTTTCTTTGCCGTATTTTAGGGTAATTTTGGGCAGCTTTGGGGATGTTTTTGTGGTGATTTTGGGGGAATTTTTGTGGTGTTTTTGGGGTTTTATTGAGTTTTTTCCCCCTTTTTTTTAAAAAAAATTTTTGTGACATTTTTGGGATCTTTGTTGTATTTTGGAGGTTTTTTTGGCCTGTTTTTGGGATATTTTCGGGGTGGTCTCGGGCAGTTTCTGGGCAGTTTTTGGGGTGATTTCAGGGTATTTCTGGGGTGATTGTGGGATATTTTGGGGTTTTTTTTGCCGTATTTCAGGGGTTTTTTGCCCTGTTTTTGGGATATTTTTTGGGTGTTTTTGGGCTGTTTCTGGGCAGTTTTTTGGGGCAATTTGGGGTTTTGTTGAGGTTTTTCTCCTTTTTTTAAATTTTTTTGCGAATTTTTTTGTGGTTTTTTTCCCATATTTCGGGGGTTTTTCTGGCCTGTTTTTGGGATATTTTCGGGGTGATTTGGGGCTGTTTCCGCGCAGTTTTTGGGGTGATTTTGGGGCGATTTGGGGCTGTCAGCGCAGGTCCTGCTCGTCGCTCTGGATGCTCCTCTTGATGCGCAGCAGCAGCGCCGTCAGCCACTGGTCCAGGCGGGAGATGGAGTCGAACTCCTTCACCTGCGGGACCCGTTTGGGGCCAAATCCGGAGATTTTGGGTTTGGGGGGGAACCGGCCGGAATTTGGGGAAATTTGGGGGGATTTGGGGTGAAATTCGAGGGGATTTTGGGGTGAAATTGGGGGGATTTGGGGGAGATTTTGGGGGATTTAGGGTGAGATTGGGGTATTTTGGAGGAATTTGGGGTGAAACTGGGGGGAATTTTGGGTGAATTTGGGGGGGTTTGGGGGAGATTTTGGGGGATTTAGGGTGAAATTTGGGTGAAATTCGGGTATTTTGGAGGATTTGGGGTGAAATTGGAGGGAATTTTGGGGGAATTTTAGAGGAATTTGGGGGGGTTTGTGGGAGATTTTGGGGGATTTAGGGTGAGACTGGGGTATTTTGGAGGATTTGGGGTGAAATTGGGGGGATTTTGGGGGAATTTGGGGTGAAATTGGAGGGAATTTTGGGGGAATTTTGGGTGAATTTGGGGGGGTTTAGGGGGAGATTTTGGGGGATTTAGGGTGAGATTGGGGTATTTTGGAGGATTTGGGGTGAAATTGGGGGAGAATTTGAGGGATTTTGGAGGGAATTGGGATGAAGTTGGATTCTGGGGTGAAATTGGGGGATTTTGGGGTGAAATTGGGGGGATTTTGGAGGAATTTTGGGGGAATTTTGGGGTGATTTTCAGGTGGATTTTGGGGTGATTTTCAGGTGGATTTTGTTGTGAATTTGAGGTGAATTTGGGGGAGATTTTTGGTGTGATTCTGGGGTAATTTTGGGGTGGATTTGGGGGATTTTTAGGTGAATTCTGGGGTGATTCTGGGGTGATTTGGGGTGGATTTTGGGGTGAATTTGGGGGATTTTGGGGTGCCCACGCACGGCGTCGGTGAAGGCGTCGACGTTCTGCTCCTCGTGCGCCTCCAGCAGCTTCTGGGGAGGAGGAGGAGGAGGGGAGGAAGGTCAGGATGGGGAGAGGAAGGTGAGGAGGAGGAGGAGGAGGAGGAGGAGGAGGATGGACAGAGGGGGATGAGGATGAGGAAGATGTAGATGAGGAGAATGAGGAGGAGGAGGAGGGACAGAGGAGGACGAGGATGAGGACGGAGATGAGGATGGGATGAAGATGAGGATGAGGATGGGGATGGGATGAGGATGAGGATGAGGATGGGGATCAGGACGGGGATGAAGATGAAGATGAGGATGAGGATGGGATGAGGATGAGGATGAGGATGGGGATCAGGACGGGGATGAAGATGAAGATGAGGATGAGGATGAGGAGGCAGGGGAGGAAGGCTGACCTTGAGCAGTTTGCACTCGCGGCAGTCGGAGAAGGCCGGGAACATCTCCTCGTACCGCTGCACCGCCAGCTGGGACAGAGACGGGATTTAATTACCCCTAATTAATGCTAATTAACCCCAATTAACCCCTAATTAACCCAGTCGGAGAAGGCCGGGAACATCTCCTCCTAACGCTGCACTGTCAGCCAGCTGTGCACAAATTAGGGGTTAATTAACCCTAATTAACTCCTAATTAATGTTAATTAACCCCTAATTAATGCTAATTAACCCCTAATGAAGCTGTTAATCACCTCGGTGCAGAAGTGGCACAGGGCTGCCCTGAAGAAACCAAATCCCAATTCAATTTCCCAATCCCAAATTAACCAAACTAAATCCCAAATTAACCAAATTAAACCCCCAATTAACCCCTAATTAACACTAATTAATGTTAATTACCTTGGCGTTCAGCATATCCACGCAGAAGTGGCAGAGGGCTGCCCTGAAGAAACGCTCCGGCCCCAGTCCCATATTAACCAAATTAACCCAAATTAAAGCGAATAAACCCGTAATGAGCGCTAATTACCGTTAATTAGTGTTAATTACCTTGGCGTTGAGCATGTCGATGCAGAAGTGGCAGAGGGCTGCCCTGAAGAAATGCTCCTTGGCGCTGTACTTGAGCAAGGGGCTGTCCATGGCCACCGCCCCCACCTGCAGCAGCCGGAACGTTCCGGAAATCCCCAAAATTCCCGAAATTCCCAAAATCCCGGGAATTCCCGCGGCATCCCGAAGGATTTGGGGGAAAACTCCGGGAGTTCCGGGAGGATCCCAAAGGATCTGGGGGAAAATTCCGGGAATTTTGGGGGGATCCCAAAAGGATTCCGGGGGATCCCATAGTTTTGGGAATTATAGGGGGGATCCCAAAGGATATGGGGGAGAATTCCGGGAATTCCAGGGTGATCCCACAGGATTTTGGGATCAGAGCCCCAAATTTCAGGAACAAACCCCAAAATTTTTGGACTCAAAAGGCCCAAATTTTGGGATCAGAGCCTTGAATCCTTTGGGATCAAAATGATGAAAAAGGGCAGGAAAATGAGAGAAAAAAAAATCAGGAAAATGAGGGGAAAAGCAGGAAAATGGGAAAAAAGGCAGGAAAATTAGGAGAAAAGCCCAGGAAAATGAGGGAAAAAAAAAATCAGGAAATTTAAGGAAAAAATCAGGAAAATTAAGAAAAAAAAAATCAGAAAAATGAGGAGAAACAGGGAAAAAACCCCAGGAAAATTAGGGGAAAAGTTAGGAAAATTAAGGAAAAAGCCAGGAAAATGGGAAAAAAACAGGTAAATTAGGGAAAAAAAGCAGGAAAACGAGGGGGAAAATCAGGAAATGAGGAAGAGGAGGGAGGAAGGCCCGACCTGCTCGTAGATGTCGATGGCGCGCGGGAACTGCTCCAACTGCGCCGCGAAGGCCGCCACCTTCAGCAGGCACTTATTGGCTGAGCTGGGAAAGAAAAGTCCCAAAAAACACCCAAATCCCAAAAATCCCCTCCCAAAAAGCCCAAAAATTCCATCCGAAAAATCCCAAATCCCACTAAAATCCAAAAAAAAAAACCGTACCAAAATCCCTCCCCAAAAAACACCCAAATCTCACTGAAATTACAGAAATCCCATCAAAAAAAAAAGCCAGATCCCACCGAAATCCCAAAAAAGTCCCACCCAAAAAACCCCAAATCCCAAAAAATCCCAAAAATCCCCCTAAAACCTCAAATCCCAGCTGGGAATTGGGAACTGGGGACAGCCCAGATCCCAAAAATGCCCAAATCCCAAAGATCCCCAAATCCCCAAATCCCCAAATCCCCAAATCCCAAAGATCCCCAAATCCTGGAGCTCCGGCCCCGATCCGGGATCTGGCGGGGAGGGGAGGAAGGAGCTGGAACCGCCCAGGACGGGAATTCGGGACCCCCGGGGCCGGACCCACCGGGATCCCTCGGGATCGGGGCCGGGATTTGTTGGAATTTGGGTCGGGATCTGCCGGGATCCGTCGGGATTTGGGTTGGGATCCGTTGGAATCCCCCAGGATCCATCAGGTTTTGGGTCAGGATCCGCTTGGATTGGTTGGGATCCTGAGATCCATCAGGATTTGGGTTGGGATCAGTCGAGATCTGTTGGGATTTGGGTGGGGATCCCCAAAATCCATCGGGATTTGGGTCGGGATTGGTTGGGACCAGTTGGAATCCCTCAGGATCCATCCGAATTTTGGTCGGGTTCAGTGGGGATCAGTTCAAGATCTGTTGGGATTTGGGCCGGGATCCGTTGGGATCAGTCGAGATCTGTTGGGATTTGGGTCAGGATCCCCAAAATCTGTCGGGATTTGGGCCGGGATAATTTGGGATCTGTTGGGATTTGGGTCGGGATCCCCCAAATCCGCCGGGATCCGCCGGGATCCGCCGTTCCGTACCTGGTGGATTCCTCCCCTCGGTAGAACTCGGCCGCCTGCTCGTAGTGCGCCACGGCCTGGGGGGAAAATCCGGGATCAGATCCCAAAAAATCCCCCAAAATCCCCCCGAAAATCCCCCAAAACACCCGGGAGAAACCAGAGCCAGCCCAGGGAAAGCCCGGGAAAAAAAAACCTGGAAAATCCTGGAAAAAACAGAAAAATCCTGGAAAAATGGGATAAAAAAGGGATAAAAAAGAGATTTAAAAAGGGGTAAAAATTAGGTAAAAAATGGGATATAGAAAGGATAAAAATGGGATAAAAAAGGGGAAAAGGAAATAAAAACAAGATATAAAAAAGGTAAAAATGGGACTAAAAGAAAATTACAAGCAGATAAAAACACAACTAAAAATGAGTTTTAAAAAGCGTAAAAATGGGAGAAAAAAGGAAACAAAAATGGGATTAAAGTGGGATAAAAAAGTAATAAAAAAGGGATAAAAAAGGAATAAAAGGGATGAAAATAGTGTTTAAATGTAACAAAAAAGGAATAAAAATGAGATATTAAAAAAATCAAAACGGGATAAAAAAATTGATTAAAATGGTGTAAAAAAGGAACAAAAGTAATAAGAATGGGCTCTGAAATCCATAAAAAAAGAGCAGAATTCCTTGGAAAAAATTGGGAATTAAATTGAAAACATAAAAGGATGGAAAAGAAAAAATCCCCGAAATTCCGGAGAAATTCCGGGACAAATTCGGGAGAAATTCCAGGAAATTCCAGGGGGGAGGGGAAGGTCCCGCAGCCGCCCCCGCCCCATCTGCTCCTGTGGAGCTGCCGGAAAAATCCCAAAAATCCTGGAAAAATCCCAAAGAACCTCCAAAATTCTCAATTCTCAGAGAAATGGCCCCTACCCAGGAAAATCCCTAAAAAAACCCCAAAATTTCCCAAAATTCCAGAAAAATTCCCAAAAAATCCCCCAGAAATTACCCAAAATTCCTGAAAAAATCCCCCAAAAATTCCTCAAAAATCCCAAAATATCCCCCCAAAAAAATCTCAATTCCCAGAGAAACAGCTCATACACAAAAAACCCCCAAAATTTCCCAAAAATCCCAGAAACATTCCCAAAAAATTTCCCAGAAATCAGAAAAATCCCTGGGATTTCCCCAGGATTTTTCCACAATTTTTCTGGGATATTTCCAGCATTTTTCTGGGGATTTTTCCATTATTTTTCCAGGGATTTTCCTGTACATTTTCCATTAATTTTCCCCAGGTTTTTTTCTGGGATTTTTCCTGAATTTTTCCAGGATTTTTCCGTTATTTTTTCCCAGATTTATCTAGGGTTTTCCGGGATTTTTCCCATGATTTTTCCAGGATTTTTCCGGGGTTTCCCTCACCTTGTGGATGTCCAGCAGGTCGCTCTCGTAGATCTCGGCGATGCCCACGTGGTGCTTGGCGGCAATGGTGAAACGGCCCTGGAAAAACGGGAATTTTCCATGGAAAAACCAGAATTTTCCTGGAAAAACCGGAATTTTCCATGGAAAAACTGGAATATTCTGTGAAAAAATAGGAATATTCAATGAAAAAAAAGGGAATTTTCAGTGAGACATGGGAATTTTTTCTGTGGAATAATGGGAATTTTCCATGGGAAAATTTAAAGGAAAACTGGGAATTTCTCAGGGAAAAATGGGAATTTTCTATGGGAAATGGGAATTTTCCAGGGGAAAATGAGAATATTTAAAGTAAAAATGGGAATATTCCATGGAAAAATGAGAATATTTTGTGAAAAAAATGGGAATTTTGCAGGGGAAAATAGGAACATTCTGTGGAAAAATGGGAATATTTAAGGAAAACTAGGAATTCCAGGCTGGAATTCAGGGAATTCTCACCATGTCCGTGTAGATCTCGATGGCGCGGAGCAGGCAGTTCACAGCCTCTGGAAAAAATGGGAAAAAACAAGAAAAAATAGGGGGGAAATAGGGAAAAATGGAGAAAAATGGGAAAAATGGGAAAAAAACTCAGGGAAAAACGGAGAAAATCAGGAAAAACCCGGGAATGGGGGCGAGAATAATCCTCGGGATTATCCCGGGAATTCTGAAGGATGGGAGCCCCAAAAATTTGGGGACCAGACCCCAAATTTTGGGATCAAAGTGCAAAAATTTCGGGAACAGACCCCAAAAATTTGGGGATATTGGAAGTTTCTGGGATCAGAATCCCAAATTTTGGAAGCTCGGCCTCAATCCCCCCCAAAATTCCAGAATTTCCGCCCCTCCCCCACCTCTGCAGCCGCTCCGGAGCCAGAGGGAGCCAAAATTTGGGAATTCTGCCCAAAACTCTGGGAATTCTGCCCAAAACTCTGGGATTTCTGCCCAAAAAACTGCAGGAATTCTGCCCAAAATTTTGGGAATCCTGCCCAGAGCCCGGCTCCATCTGCTCAGCCCCAGCTGGAGAGGTTTGGGAGGATTTTGGAGAATTTTAGGGGGATTTTTGGGGAATTTTAGGGGGATTTTCCCAGGATTTGAAGGGATATTCCCAGGATTTAATGGGATTTCAATGGTTTTCCCGGTATTTAAAGGAATTTTTTAAAAATTTAGTAGAATTTAAAGGAATTTTCCACAAGATTTAATAGAATTTCAGCAGATTTTCCCAGGAATTAAAAGAATTTTCCCGGGATTTAATGGGATTTTCCCAGGATTTAAAGGAATTTTCCCAGGATTTCCATGGAATTCCAGTGGCAGTTGTGGGAATTCTCTCCCCCCATGCCCCCAGACCCCCCAGAATTCCCAAATTTCCGGGAATTCCGGCCTCACCCTCTGGATCCGCCTTCTTGAAGGCGTTGGCGGCGTCCACAAAGTTGGAGGCGGCCTCGTGTTTGCTCTGCAGCTGCAGCTGCAGCCCTGCAGCACGGGAAAATGCGGAGCCTGCCTCTGGAAAAACGGGAAAAAACATGGGAAAATATTAGGAATTCATCAGAAAAACCTTGGGGATTTATGGGAAAAATATTGGGGAAAAACGGGGGAAAAAACAGAGAAAAAGCATGCAAAAAACACTGGGAAAAGCATGGAAAAAAAACAGGGAAAAAAACCAGGAAAAGAACAGGGAATAAACATAGAAAAATATGGAAAAAACTTTGGAAATACATGGAAAAAAAAATGAAAGAACACTGGGAAAAACGTTGGGTAAACATGGGATAAATGTGGGATAAACACGGGGAATTAAGGGAGAATTCTTTGGGATAAACATTGGGAATAAACAGCGGGAATTCATTGGGAATTTCTGGGAAAAACGCTGGGAGAAAATATGGGAAAAATATGGGATACACTGGGAATTCACTGGGAATTCCTTGGGAATTCACACTGGGAATTCATGGGAGAAACATTGGAAAAACCTCGGGAATAAACACTGAGAATTTCTGGGACAAACATTGGGAGTTTTTTGGGATAAATATGGGGAATTCATTGGGAATAAACACCGGGAATTCCTGGGAATAACTTCCAGAATCCATGGAGTTCCCGGGAGCCATAGCATTCCCAAAATTCCCAGAATTCCCAAAATTCCTGGAATTCCGTGGATTCCCAAAATTTCCCCAGCCTTTAGAAAAACAGGATAAAGGTGGGAATGGAGTCAGGATTCCCAAAATCCCTGGAATTCCTGGAAATCCCGAAATTCCCAAGACTCCCGGAATTCCCACTCTCCAGAAAAACGGGATAAAGATGGAAATGGAGTCAGAATTCCCAAAATTCCTGGAATTCCCAAAATCCCTGGCATTCCCAGCCTCTGAAAAACCAGGATAAAGGTGGGAATGGGATTTCCAAACTCCCCAGAATTCCCAAAATCCCCAGAATTCCTGGAATTCCCAGTCTCCACAAACAGAGGATAAAGGTGGGAAAACGGGATAAAGATGGGAACGGGACTCCTGGAATTCCCGGAATTTCCAAAATTCCCAGGATTCCCAGGCTCTGGAAAACGGGAAAAAGTGGGAATGGGATTCCCAGGATTCCCAGGATTCCCAGGATTCCCGAATTTCCCGAAATTCCGGACTCACGGCTCCAGTTTTTGGCCATCTTGAAGAGGTTGGCGGCGCGGGTGTAGCACTCGCAGGCCTCCTCCAGCCGAGAGGAGCCCCTGGAAAACCGGAAAAGTGGGAATTATTCCCGGAAAAATGGGAGTTCCGGGAGTTATTCGGGGAATTCTAGGAGTTGTTTAGGAAAAAAATGGAAAAAAATGGGAAAAATCAGGGGAAAAAGGGAATTATTCTGGGGAAAATGGGAATTACTCTGGGAATCCCGGGATCGATTCTGGGAAAAAAAAGGGAAAAAATTGTATTTTTCTGGGAATTCTGTGGGGCAAGGCGGGAACCATGGTGGGAAAATAGGAATTCCATGGAAAAGTGGGAATTTGGGGTGGGAAAATGGGAATTTGGGGCAATTTTGGGGGCCCCTCACAGGAAAATTCCCAAATTTCCCCTCAGGACCCTCTAATTCCCCTCAGGACCCCCCAAATTCCCCTCAGAACCCCCAAATTTTCCCTCCCCCACCCAAATTCCCCTCACGACTCCCCCAATTCCCCACACAACTCCCAAATTCCCCTCAGGACCACCCAAATTCCCCTCAGAACTCCCCCAAATCCCCTCAGGACCCCCCAAATCCCATCAGGACCCCCCAAATCCCCCTCATAACTCCCAAATTTCCCCTCAGGACACCCCAAATTTCCTTCAGAACTCCCCCAAATCCCCTCAGGACCTCCAAATTCCTTCAGGACTCCCCAAATCCCCTCAGGACCTCCAAATCCCTTCAGGACCCCCCAAATCTCCCTCAGAACCCCCCAAATTTCCCCTTCCCCACCCAAATCCCCTCAGGACCCCCCCAAATCCCCCTCCCAATCCCCTCAGAACCCCCCAAATTTCCTTCAGAACTCCCCCAAATCCCCTCAGGACCCCCCAAATCCCCCTCCCAATCCCCTCAGAACCCCCCCAATTTCCCCTTCCCCACCCAAATCCCCTCAGGACCCCCCCAAATTCCCCTTTTCCCGCCTTTTCCCCCCTCAGGCCGCCACGTCTCCCCCCGCCCGTTTCCCCCCCGTCCCCCCGGGGCTCTCCCCGCCCGCCCCGCGCCCCTCGCACGCACCCGAAGAGGCCCCCGAGGAAGGACTGAGCCCCCCGGACCTTCCGCTCGGCCTCGCTCAGCAGCCGCTGCGCCTCCTCCTCCTTCGCCTTCCCCATCGCCGCCGCCATGACGGCCCCGCGCCGCCCCACGTGACCGGGAGCGCCGCCCCACGTGACCGGGAGCGCCGCCCCCACGTTCCCCCTCAGGGCAGCGGCGCCGTCTGGCGGGCGGGAGGACTGAGGGGAGGAAAAAAACCCCAAAAAAACCCAAAAAACTCCAAAAAAACCCAAAAAACCCACAAAAAACCAAACCACACACCGCCAATATGGGCGTGATTTATGCAAATTAGGATGCGCCTCAGGGCAGCGCGGTGTGGGCGGGGTTTATGGTAATTTACAGCGCGTGGGGGCAGGGTGGGGCGTGGTTTATGGTAATAAGAGCGCCAGGGTTGGTGGGCTGCGCCTCGGGGCGTGGTTTATGCTAATAAACAGCGTTCTGGGCGTGGTATATGCTAATAGCACCGATCTGGGAGGGGTTTATGCTAATAGCATTCTTCTGGGTGTGGTTTATGCTAATAGTCAGCGTTCTGGGCATGGTCTATGCTAATAGCAGCGATATGGGCAGGTTTATGATAATAGAAAGTGTTCTGGGCGTGGTTTATGCTAATAAAAGCGTTCTGGGTGTGGTTTATGCTAATAGAAGTGTTCTGGGCGTGGTTTATGCTAATATAAGCGCTCTGGGCGTGGTTTATGCTAATAAGAGGTCCCTCTGGGGGGGGCTTGGCCGCTGAGGCGCCAGCGCGGGGGGCGTGTCTATTCTAATGCCTGTCCGGGGGCGCGGTTTATGCTAATGAATCCCTCCCCGTTTTTTTCTCGGGGGGGTCACGGGAGAAGCGGGGAGATCCCGTGGAACCCCCCCCGTACCCCCTTTCCCCCCTCCGGTGCCCGGTTCGGGCTCGCTGGGAGCGGCGGCCGCGATCAGGCAGCGCCGCGAACCCCTAAGCGGCGGGGCCCCGGCGGGGTCCTGGCGGCGGCGCCCGTGCGGGGGCGCCTGGGAGACCCCGCGGCGGGCGCCGCTCAGGCCTCACGGTGAGTCCCGGCGCACAAAAAGCGCCGCCCGGCCCCGACATCGCCGCCCTGTCGCGACAGCGGCGGCGACAGCGCGGCCGCGCCCTTCCCCCCGCCACCGGGAAACCCCGCGGGGGGGGGGGACCCGCCGCCAACCCCCCCCCCCATCAGCGCGCGCCCCCGGGGCCCGGGAAAGGCGGGGAAGGGGGGGGGAGGAGGGGGGCGGGGGGGCGAAGGGGGGCGGGGCCCCTCCCCCGCCGAGCGGTTCCGAAAAAGCCCGAGAGGGTCCGAGCGGGGCTGAGGGGCCCGAGCGGGCCCGAGCGGTTCCGAAAGGACCCGAATGGTCCAGTGCGGTTCCGAGCGGTTCCGAAAGGGCCCGAGCGGGTTTGAGCCGGGCCCGAACGGTTCCGAGCGGGGCCCGAGCGGTTCCGAGCGGGGCTGAGGGGCCCGAGCGGGTCCGAGCGGGTTTGAGCCGGGCCCGAGCGGTTCCGAGTGGGCCCGAATGGATCTGAACGGTTCCGAGCGGTTCCAAAGGGCCCGAGCGGTTCCGAAAGGGCCCGAGCGGGGCTGAGGGGCCCGAGCGGGTTTGAGCCGGGCCCGAACGGTTCCGAGTGGGCCCGAATGGATCTGAACGGTTCCGAGCGGTTCCAAAGGGTCCGAGCGGTTCCGAGCGGGTTTTAGCGGGGCCCGAGCGGTTCCGAAAAGGCCCGAATGGACCTGAATGGTTCCGACAGGGCCCGAGCGGGTCCGAACGGGTTTGAGCGGGGCTGAGGGCCCCGAGCGGTTCCGAACGGGCCCGAATGGACCCGAAGGGGCCCGAGCTGAGGGGGCAGCGCGGGGTGGGGCCTTCGGCCTCGGCCGCCTCCTCTTCCTCCTCCTGCTGCTCTTCCTCCTCTTCCTCCTCTGCTCCTTCTTCGTTCTCTGCTCTTCAGCCTCTTCCTCCTCCTCATCCTCATCTTCCTCCTGCTGCTCTTCCTCCTCTTCCTCTTCTGTTCTCCTCATCCTCATCTTCCTCATCCTCCTCTGCTCTTCCTCCTCATCCTCCTCTGCCTCTTCCTCCTCCTCCTGCTCAGCCTCTGGGTCCGCTCCTCTTCCTCCTCTTCCTCCCCTTCCTCCCCTTCCTCCCCTTCCTCCTCCTCCTCAGGGCTCTGGGAAGGAGCTGGGCTGGGGCTCTGTGGCCTTCCTCCCGCACCTCTTCCTCCTGCTCTTCCTCCCACTTTTCCTCCTCTTCATTTCCTTCTCCTCTTCCTCCTCTTCCTGCTTTTCCTGCTTTTCCTCTTCTTCTTCTTCCTTCTCTTCTCCTTTTCTTCTTCTTCTCCTGCTCTTCCTCCCCTTCTCATCTTCCTCCTTCTCTTCCTCCTCTTCATCTTGTCCTGCTCTTCCTCCCCTTACTGCTCTTTCTCCTCACCCGCTCTTCCTCCTCCTCCTCTTCCTCCTTTTCCTCTTCTTCCTCCTCTTCATCTTTTCCTGCTCTTCCTCCTCCTCCTCTTCCTCCTCTTCTCCTGCTCTTCCTCGTCTCCCTCTTCTTCCTCCTCCTCCTGTTCTTCCTCTTCATCTTTCCCTGCTCTTCCTCCTCTTCCTCCTGCTCTTCCTCCTCCTGTTCTTCCTCCTTTTCCTTTTCTTCCTCTTCCTCCTCTTCATCTTCTCCTGCTCTTCCTCCCCTTCTCTTCTTTCTCCTCCTCTTCTCCTCCTCCCCTCCCTCCTCTTCCTCCTCTTCTGCTCTTCCTCCTTTCCCTCCTCTTCCTCCTCTCCTTTTCCTACTCCTCTTCCTCCTCTTCCTCTTCTCCTGCTCTTCCTCCCCCGCCGGGCTCTCTGTGGAATTCTGGGAATTTGGGGAATTCCAGGAATTTTTCATTCCGGGGCTGTTTTGGGAATTCCGAGGGGGTTCGGGAATTCCAGGAGTTTTGGCGATTCTGGAATTTTGGCATTTCTGGGAATTTTGGTAATTCCAGGGTTGTTTTTGGGAATTCCAGGAATTTGACAGTTCTGGGGATTTCAGGAATTCCAGGAATTTTGGGAATTCTGGGGCTTTCTTTGGGAATTTTGAGCATTCCAGGGATTCTGGGAATGCCGGGGTTGTTTTGGGAATTCCCAATCCCGGGGCCTTTTGGGGCTTTTTATTTTGGGATTTTTGGGAAATCTGGGGAAACTGAGGTGCAGCTGGAGCTGAGGCCTGGAGTATCCCCAGTGTAACCCTGGAGTATCCCCGGTGTAACCCTGGAGTATCCCCGGAATATCCCTGGAGTAACCCTGGAATAACCCTGGAGTAACACCTGAGTAACCCCAGAGTATCCATGGAATATCCCTGGTGTAACCCTGGAATTTCCCTGGAATATCCCCGGAGTAACCCCAGAGTATCCCCGGAGTATCCCTGGAATATCCCTGGAATATCTCTAAAATATCCCTGGAATATCCCTGGAATATCCCCGGAGTAACCCTGGAATATCCCTAAAATATCCCTGGAGTATCCCCGGAGTATCCCTGGAGTATCCCTAAAATATCCCCGGAATATCCCTGGAGTATCCCTGGAATGTCCCCGGAGTATCCCTGGAGTATCCCTAAAATATCCCCGGAATATCCCCGGAATATCCCCGGAATATCCCTGGAGTATCCCTGGAGTATCCCTGGAGTATCCCCGGAGTATCCCTGGAATATCCCTAAAATATCCCTGGAATAACCCTGGAGTATCCCTAGAGTATCCCCGAAGTATCCCTGGAATATTCCCGGAGTATCCGTGGAATATCCCTGGAGTATCCCCGGAGTATCCCCGGAGTATCCCCGGAGTATCCCTGGGTCCCAGGTCCTGGAGCATCCCCTGAGTAAGAGATCGAAGCTCAAGCCTCGAGTATCTCGGGAGTATCCCGGAGTAATTCCCTTCTCCTTGGGAATTTTGGGATCCTGGCTGGGAATTCCGGGGGAATTCCACCCCAAACCCGATGTAATCCCAGGAATTCCCCCGGAATTCCCAAATTTCCGGAGAATTCACGAGATTTTGGGGAATTTGGGAATTTGGGGAGGACATGGATAAGGAGAAATCCGTTCCCTGAGGGGTTTTTTTGGGATAAATCCTTGAAGGAATTTTGGGATCGATTCCCCCCCCCCCCTCCATTTTTTCCCAAATTCCACCCAAATTCTCATGAAAAATGCAAATTCTGGGATGGATTCCTCCCAAAACTGGGCAAAAATGAGAATTTCAGGATTAAGTCTCCCTTTCCCCCAAAATTCCCCCCCAAAAAAACAGCAAAAAAGAGAATTCGGGATGGATTCCCTCCAAAATCGCATCCAAAATACGAATTTTGGGATGGATTAACCCCGAACTGCAGCAAAAATGAGAATTTTGGGATTTCCACCCCCATAATCACTTCCAAAATAAGAATTTTGGGATAAATTCCTCTCTTTTCCCTAAAAATCTCATCAAAAAAGAGAATTTTGGGATCAATTTCCTCCAAAACCACGTCAAAAATGAGAATGTTTGGATTTCCCCCAGGTTTTCCCCAGGATTCCCATCAAAAATGAGAATTTGGGGATTTTCCCTGGGATTCACCCCAAAAATCCCATCAGAAATGAGAATTTTGGGATGGATTCCCTCCAAAATCCCACCAAAAATGCAAATTTTGGGATTTCCCCTGGGGTTTTCCCTGGAACAGAGCGAGAAAAGGACCCCGGACCTGGGAATTTTGGGGAATTTGGGGAATTTTTGGGAATTTGGGGGTGACGCCGCCTCTCGTTGCAGGGGACATGGACGATGAGGACGGGCGGTGCCTGTTAGACGTCATCTGGTGAGTCCGGAACATTCCCGGGAAATTCCCGGGAAATGGCCCAAAAAAGCTGGAAATTACAAAAAAAAAAATATGGGAAATGGTTAAAAAAAAAAGGGTGGGAAATGGCCCAAAAAAGGAGGAAAATTAATCAAAAAAGGTGGGAAATGGTTCCAAAAAAAGGCAGGAAATGGACAAAAAAAAAGGTGGGAAATGCCCCAAAACAGGAGGAAAATGGCCCCAAAATCCGGGAATTTGGGCCCGAGGGCCGCGGGATCTCCGGGATTTTCCCGGCTTTTCCCAGATTTCCCTCCCTGACCCTCCTTTCCCTCCTCTGGCAGCGATCCGCAGGCCCTGAACGATTTCCTCCATGGATCCGAGAAGGTGAGAGCCCAAAAATCCCAATTTCCCCCATTTTTTCCCCCATTTTTCCCATTCCCCCTATTATTTCCCCATTATTTCCCCCCATTTTTCCCCATTTCCCCATTATTTCCCCCTTTTCCCCCCATTTTTCCCCATTTCCCCATTATTTCCCCCTTTTCCCCCCATTTTTCCCCATTTCCCCATTATTTCCCCCTTTTCCCCCCATTTTCCCCATTTCCCCATTATTTCCCCCTTTCCCCCCCCTTTTTTCCCATTATTTCCTCCATAATTTCCCCATTCCCCCGCCTTTTCCCTCATTTCCCCCATTATTTCCCCATTTCCCCCCATAATTTCCCATTTCCCCTCATTTTCCCCCTTTTATTTCCCATTTCCACCCCCTTTTTCCCCATTTCCCCCCCTTATTTCCCATTTTTTCCCCATTTCCCCCCATTTTTTCCCCATTTCCCCCCATTTTTTCCCCATTTTCCCCATTTTTCCCCATTTTTCCCCAAATTTTGGCGGACTCTTCCCGTTGCAGATCGACAGCGACGACCTCCTGGAGCACTCGGGCGACGCCGCCAGCGCCTTCTTCGAGGGAGCCGCGGTGAGTTCCGGAACCTTCCGCCATTCCCGGATTTCCGGGCGGAGGGACTTGGGAAAAGTGGGAAAAGCGCCTCAAAATTCCCTCAGCAGGAGAAAAATCGCATTTTTCCTGGGGTTTTTCACATGATTTTTCCTATTTTTCTTCCCATTGGTTTTTCTGATTTCCCATTTTTCCCATTTTTTTTCCCATTCTTTTTCTCATTTTTATCCCATTTTTCCCATTCATTTTCCTATTCTTTTTTCCCATTCTTATTCCCTATTCTTTTCCCCATTTTTTCCTTTTATTTTTCTCATTTTTTCCTTTTATTTTCCCCATTTTTCTGTCCAAAATTTTCCGATTATTTTTTCCATTCTTTTTCTCATTTTTCCTTTTCTTTTTCTCATTGCTTTTCTCACTTTTTCTCACTCTGTGTCCCATTTTATCCCAATTTTCTCGTTATTTTTCCTTTTTTTTTTTTTAATTTTACTGGGTATTTTTTCCCCGTATTTTTTGCATGTTTTTTTCCCATTTTAATCTCATTTTTTCCTACTTTTTCTGTTGTTTTTCTGGTTTTTCCCCATTGTTTTTTCCATTATTTTTGCCATCATTTTTATCTTTTTTTTTTGTTGTTGTCTTTTTTTTCCCCATTCTTTTTCCCGTTTTTTCTCATTTTTTCCCCGTGCTTTTTCCCGTTTTTTTACCTTTGGTCCTGTTGGGTTCCAATGGGTCTTGGTGGATCCCCTTGGGTTCCCTTGGGTTCCTTGGCTCCACTGAGCCCCCGTTGGATCCCCTTTGGTTCCGTTGGGTTCCGTTGGGTTCCGTTGGGTTCTCTTGGATCCCGTTGAGCTCCCTTGGGTTCCATTGAGCTCCATTGGATCCCATTGATTTCCATTGGGTTCCGTTGGGTTCCGTTGGGTTCCAATGGGTTCTCTTGGATCCCATTGATTTCCATTGGGTTTCGTTGGGCTCCATTGAGTTCCATTGGGTTCTGTTGGGTTCCAATGGGTTCTGTTGAGCTCCATTGGGTTTCGTTGGGTTCCGTTGGGTTCCATTGGGCTCCACTGAGTTCCATTGAGCTCCATTGAGTTCTGTTTGGTTCCGTTGAGCTCCCTTGGGTTCCATTGGGTTCTGTTGGGTTCCGTTGAGCTCCATTAGGTTCTGTTGGGTTCCATTGGGTTCCATTGGGTTCCGTTGGGCTCTATTGAGCTCCCTGGGGTTCCATCGGGTTCTGTTGCGTTCTGTTTGGTTCTGTTGAGCTCCCTTGGATTCCCTTGGGTTCTGTTGGGTTCTGTAGAGCTCCATTAGGTTCCGTTGCGTTCCGTTGGGTTCTATTGAGCTCCCTTGGGTTCCATTGAGCTCCCTTGGGTTCCATTGGGTTCTGTTGGGTTCCATTGGGTTCTATTGAGCTCCCTGGGGTTCCATCGGGTTCCGTTGGGTTCCGTTGAGCTCCTTTGGTTCCCCCAAACCTGTCTGACCCCCCACCCCCCCCACCATCCCCTGACTCGGTCCCCGTTGCCGTCGCCGCAGCTCCACGGGCAGGAGGCGGCCGGGAACCCCCTGAGCGCCGAGCCCAGCCAGCCGGCGGCCGGCGTGGACCTGGACTTCCTGGAGGATGACATCCTGGGCTCGCCGGGCGGCGCCGGCGCGGGCGCCGAGCAGCCGTGCGACATCCTCCAGCAGAGCCTGCAGGAGGCCAACATCACCGAGCAGACGCTGGAGGCCGAGGCCGAGCTGGACCTGGGCTCCTTCCAGCTGCCGGCGCTGCAGCCGGTGGTGCAGGCGGCCGACGGCGCGCCGCAGATCTTCCCCGGCGGCGCCGCCGACCTGCTGGGGCTGCAGCCTCCCGCCGTGCTGGCGCCGCAGGCCTTGGTGCAGCCGCCGGACGTGGTCAACAAAGCCATCAGCGTGCAGCCCTTCCTGCAGCAGGTGGGGCTGGGCAACGTCACCATCCAGCCGCTGCCCAACCTGCCCGGCCTGCCCAACGGCAGCCCCGGCGGCGCGCTGGGGCTGGGCCCCATCCAGGTGGTGGGCCAGCAGGTGATGGCCATCAACCAGCCGGCGGCGCCGCAGCTGCTGGCCAAGCCGGCGCCCGTGGCGGCCGTGGGCGGCTACATCGCGCAGCCCGACGCGGCGGCGGCGGCGCAAGGAGCCGGTTTGGTCATCCAGAAGAGCCTCCCGGCGGCCGTGGCCACCACGGCGCTGAACGGCGGCTCGGTGTTCGGCGGCGTGTCGGCGGCGTCGGCGCAGCCGCTGACGGTGGCCTCGGGGCCGGGCGGTTCCCTGGTGCCGGCGCCCAACGTCATCATCCACCGCACGCCCACGCCCATCCAGCCCAAGCCGCCCGGCGTGCTGCAGCAGAAGCTCTACCAGATCACGCCCAAGCCCTTCGCGCCCGGCGGCGCGCTGGCGCTGCCCGGCGAGGCGCCGGCCAAGGCGCAGCAGAACTTGGCCTTCATGGCCGGCAAGGCCGCGCCCAACGTGGTGCTCCAAGGCTTCCCGCCCAACGTCTTCAAGCCGCCGCCGCCGCAGCCGCCGGCGCTGGGCAAGTCCATGAGCGTGCACGTGCTCAACCAGGGCGGCTCCATCGTCATCCCGGCGCAGCCCTTCCAGGGCCAGAACCAGTTCCTGCTGCCCGGCGCCTCGGCCGTGCCGCTGCCGCAGCCGCTCTCGGCGCTGCCGGCCAACGTGGGCGGGCAGCTGCTGCCGGGCGCGGGCCAGGCGCACATCATCGCCGGCCAGGGCGCCGGCGCGCAGCTGCTGGCCAACCCGGCGCTGCCGGCGCAGCTGCTCAACCAGAACCTGGCGGGGCAGCTCAACCTGGGCCCGGTGCTGGCGTCGCCGGGCGCGGCGGGCGCGGCGCACATCCTGTCGGCGGCGCCCATCCAGCTGCAGCCGGGCCAGGTGGCGCCGCCGGCGCTCTTCCAGATGCCGGTGTCGCTGGCCGGGCCCCTGCCCAGCCCCGGCTCGGCGGCGCCGGCGCCCACGGTGATCCAGGGCGTGACGCTGGCCAGCCCGGTGGCCATGCTCAACGCCGGCGAGGGGCTCGGCGCCGCCGCCGCCGCCGTCGGCATCCCCGCGGCCGCCGGCAGCCCCGGCGCCGAGCCCGGCTCGGGCGGTGCCGCGCAGCCGCCGGCGGCGCCGGTGCCGGCCCAGCCCAGCCCCGGCTTGGCCGGGAGCCCCGAGAAGATCCTGCTGGGAACGGCGGCGGCGGCGACGCCGGTGCTGGGCCAGGAGGCCGTGCCCATGTTCCTGCAGCAGGTGAGGGACCCGGAATGCCGGGAATGCCAGGATTTGGGGTGCCGGGATCTGGGGAGTTGGAGAATCGGGACGCAGCGGTGGAAAATCGGGATCCGGGCTTGGAAAAATGGGGTCCAGGCTTGGAAAAATGGGATCCGGGGGTGGAAAATGGGGTCCAGGCTTGGGAAAATGGGATCCAGGCTTGGAAAATTGGGATCCGGGGGTGGAAAATTGGGATCCAGGCTTGGAAAATTGGGATCCAAGCTTGGAAAATGGGAGCTAGTCATGGAAAAACGGGATCCAGACATGGAAATTGGGATCCAGACATGGAAATCGGGATCCTGGGGTAGAAAATTGGGATCCAGGGGTGGAAAATTGGGGTCCAGGCTTGGAAAATTGGGATCCAGGCTGGGGGAAATGGGATCCAGGGATGGAAATTGGGATCTGAGGGTGGAAATTGGGATCCAGGCTGGGAGAAATAAGATCCAGCCACTGGAAAATTGGGATCCAGTCATGGAAAATGGGATCCAGCAATGGAAAATCAGGATCCAGGCTTGAAAATTCGGGATCCAGGGGTAGAAATTCGGGGTCCGGGGGTGGAAATTCGGGATCTGGGAGCAGATCCCGGCCCCGATTCCCCCGGGTCGCGCCTGGATCTGCTTTTCCCACCGGATCCGCCACGAGTTCCTCTGGAATTCCCGGAATTCCCAGCCCTTTTTGCCCTGGTTTCCCTCCACAATTCCCGGAATTCCCAGCCCTTTTTGCCCTGGTTTCCCTCTGGAATTCCCGGAATTCCCAGCCCTTGCCCTGCTCGCTTGGCGCTCACTAACCCCCGACGCTGCCGCGCCCCAAAATCCCGGAATTCCCCCAAATCCTCGGGATCCCCGGGAATCTGGGGGGGAGGGACGGCAGATCCACCCCTGGGATTGGTGTGAAAATCCAGGGATTCAAAATCCAGGAATTCAAAATCCAGGGATTTGAAATTCAGGAATTCAAAATCAGGGATTCAAATCCAGGAACAGGAATTTTTTGGGGGGGGATGAAGGATTTTTGCCATTCCTGGGGGATTTTTCCTCCTCCTGCTTCCTGAAATTCCTCAGGAATGGGAATTTGGGGGGGCTGGGGGATCCCTGGGGTTGTTTTTTCTGGAATGTTCCACTCCTGGAGCCACTTTTGGGTGGATTTTTCCCATTCCTGCTTCCCAAAAATCATTTAAAATTTGGATTTGGGGCAGAACTGGAGTCCTGGAGCCACTTTTGGGTGGATTTTTCCTGTTCTTGCCTCCCAGAAATGATTTAAAATTGGGATTTGGGGCAGGATTGAGGTTCCAGGGTTGTTTTTCCCGGGATGTTTCTCTCCCGGAGCCGCTTTGATGGATCCTGCCTCAGTTTCCCCCTCTCCCTCCTTCCCCAAAGGCAGAACTGGGCCGGATTTGGGATCTGGGAGTGGCTCAGGGCCCTTCCCGAGAGTTTCCCCCGGGAGGCAATTCCCGAATTCCCGCGGGGCGGATTTGGGGCCAAATCCGGGGATTTTGGGGGATCCCAGCCCCGCTTCTCCCTCCCGCCCGCACTAACCGAGCTCTTCCTCTTCCTTCTCTGTTGCAGCCGAAGCTCCCGGGAGCGTCCCCGGGGGAGCCCCCGGCCCCGATTTCCCAAATTTCCCAAATTCCCCAGATTCCTTCCCAAATTCCTTCCCAAATTTCCTCCCAAATCCCTTCCCGGCCGCCCTCCCGGCCGCCCTCCCGGCCGCTGTCCCGGCCGCCCTCGGAGCCGCCGCGGCCGGAGCCGCCGCCGGGGCTGTTCCCGGAGCATTCCCAGCACTCCCCGCATTCCCAAATTCCCCAACATTCCCAAATTTCCCAGCCCCCGCCGCCCCCCCAGCCCCCCCAGCCCTTCCCGCTGCCGCTGCTGCCCCCGGAGCATCCCCGGAGCTTCCCCCTGATCCCGGCGCCGTTCCCGGCCCCGCCCAAGGCCGGCCCCGAGCGCTTCCAGCAGGTAATTCCCGGGAATTCCCGGGAAATCCCCGAAAGGTGTTCCCAGCCTTCCCTGAGCGCTTACAGCACGGAAATCCCAGCAGAATTCCTGGAGATTCCTGGGAAATCCCAAATATTCCCAGAAATCCCTGAGCGCTTCCAGTGGGTAATTCCTGGGAATTCCCAAAAACCCCAGCGGAACTCCCAGGAAATCCCAAAAATCCCGGCGGAATTCCCGGGAAATCCCAAAAATCCCGGCGGAATTCCCGGGAAATCCCAAATATTTCAAACGTTCCTGAGCACTTCCAGCAGGTAATTCCCGAAATTCCTGGGAAATTCCTGGGAAATCCCAAATATTCCCAACCATCATGAGTGCTTCCAGCAGGAAATTCCCGGAATTCCCAAAATTCCCAAAAATTCCTGGGAAATCCCAAATATTTCACACATTCCCCAGCGCTTCCAGCAGGGAAATCCTGGAAATTCCCAGAAATCCCAGTGGAATTCTTGGGAAATCCCAAAAATCCCAGTGGAAATCCAAAAAATCCCAAATATTTCATACATGCGCTTCCGGCAGGGAATTCCCGGGAATTCCTGGGAAATTCCAGATATTCCAATCATCCCTCAGAGCTTCCAGCAGGGAATTCCTGGGATTCCCAGAAATTCCTGGGAAATCCCAAAAATCCCAAATATTTCAAACAACCCCAAGCACTTCCAGCAGGAAATTCCCAGAAATCCCGGTGGAATTCTTGGGAATTCCCAAAAATCCAAGTGGAAATCCCAAAAATCCTGGCAGAATTCTTGAAATTCCCAGCAGGAATTCCCCAAATCTCTGGGATTTGGGATTTTTGGGAGATTTGGGGTTTGGATCCCGCTGGATTTGGGGTTTTGGGTTCATTCCTGATGGATTTGGGGGTTTTGGGGCTGTTTTTTCAGGATTTGGGGTTTTGGGGGCTGTTTCTTTGGGATTTGGGGTCCGTTTTTTCAGGATTTGGGGTTGTTGGGGCTGTTTCTTTGGGATTTGGGGATTTTGGGGCCGTTCCTGACGGATTTGGGGTTTTGGGGCCATTCCTGACAGGATTTGGGATTTTTGGGGCTGTTTTTTCAGGATTTGGGGTTTTTGGGGCTGTTTTTTCGGGATTTGGGGCTGTTTTTTCAGGATTTGGGGTTTTGGGGGCCGTTTCTTCGGGGTTTGGGGATTTTGGGGCCGTTCCTGACGGATTTGGGGTTTGCAGGTGCCCCAGGGGCTGCTCCTGCAGCCGAAGCCGCCCCCGTCCAGCCCGGCGCCGTTCCCGGCTCCGGCCGCGCCCGTCCTGGTGTCGGCGGCTCCGGGAACGTCCGGCACGGCCCTGGCGGCCGCCGGCGCCTCCGCCTCAGGTGAATCCCGAAATCCCAAAATCCCAAAATCCCAAAATCCCGGCGCTGCCGTTCCCAATTTCCCGTGTCCCCATTCCCGGTGCCATTCCCAATGGAACTCCTGGTGCCATTCCCAATTTCCCGGTGCCATTCCCCTGTCCCAATTCCCGGTGCCATTCCCAGTTTTCCGGTGCCATTCCCAATTCCCGGTGCCATTCAGAGTGGAAGTCCCAGTGCCATTCCCGTGTCCCCATTCCCAATTTCCCGATGGAATTCCAGGTGCCATTCCTGGTGCCATTCCTTGTTTCCTGATGCCATTCCCAGTTTCCCATTCCCAGTTTCCCAGTGCCATTCCCAGTTTCCAGTGTCCCCATTCCCAGCATCATTCCCAGTTTCTCATTCCCAGTTTCCTGGTGCCATTCCCGGTTTCCCATTCCCAGTATCCCATTCCAATTTCCCAGTTCCCCGTTCCTGGTACCATTCCCAGTTTCCCGGTGCCAATCCCAATTTCCTGGTGCCATTCCCAGTTTCCCATTCCCAGGTTCCCGGTGCCAATCCTGGTTTCCTGTGTCCCCATTCCCGGTGCCATTCCTGGTTTTCCCATTCCCAATTTCCCGGTGCCATTCCCGGTTTCCCGGTGCCATTCCCGGTTTCCCGCTCCCGCAGGTGCCGCGGCGGCGGCGGCGGCGGATCCGAAGCTGTTCTGCAGCGCCGGTGCCGCCGTTGCCGGCGCCGTTCCCGTTCCCGTCGCCGCCGGGGCCGTCCCGGTTCCCGTTCCCGTCGCCGTCCCCGTCGCCGTCGCCGTTCCCGGCGGGAAATCGGCGCCGGCTCCCGGCAAGGCGGGAACGCCCCTCCCCCCCCAGCCCGGCCAGGTGAGCGCGGCTCCGTCGGCTTCCGACCTTTTCCCTCTCTCATCCCGGATTTTCCCAATTTATTTCCGTTTTCCCCTACTTAATGCCAGTTTTTCCCAATCTATTTCCATTTTTCCCAATTTGATCCCAGTTTTTCCCAATCTATTTCCACTTTTCCCTATTTAATCCCAGTTTTTCCCAATTTATTTCCATTTTTCCCACTCTAATCCCAGTTTTTTCCAATTTAATTCCATTTTTCCCAATTTAATTCCAGGTTTTCCCGCTTTAATCCCATTTTTTCCCATTTTATTTCCAATTTTTCCCAATTTATTTCCAATTTTTCCCTTTTCATTCCCTGTTTTTCCCAATTTGTTTCTATTTTTCTGAATTTATTTCCAATTTTCCCCCTTTATTCCCAAGGTTTTCCTCTTTAATTCTCAGTTTTTCCCAATTTATTTCTAATTTTTCCCAATAATTCCAGGTTTTCCCCAATTTATTTCTATTTTTCCAAATTAATTCCAAGGTTTTCCCCTTTCATTCTCAGTTTTTCCCAATTTAATTCCATTTTCTCCCCTTTAATTCAATTTTTCCCAATTTAATTCAGTTTTTCCCCAATTTCCTGTTAATTTTGCAGTTTTCCCAAATTCCCCCATTTTTTTCCATTTTGCCCCATTTCTTTCCCATTTTCCCCAATTTTTTCCTGATTTTTTCCTGTTTTCCCCATTTTTTTTCCATTTTTCCAAATTCTTTCCCATTTCCCCCCACTTTTCCCTTATTTTTTCCCCTATTCTTTTCCATTTTTCCCAGTTTTTTCCATTTTTTTTCTTATTTCTGTCCCATTTTCCCACTTTTTTTCCCGTTTTTCCGCAGGCGAAGCCGGGCGGGATCAAGGGCCCCCCCCAACCCTCGGGGGGGGGGAAGGGCCCCCAGGCCCCGCCCTCGGTGAGTCCCAAAATCCCGGGAATTGGCCCCAAAATCTGGGAATTGAACCCAAAACCTGGGAATTCACCCCAAAATCCTGGGAATTGTCCCAAAATCCTGGGAATTTGCCCCAAAATCTGGGATTTCACCCAAAAATCTGAGATTTCAGCTCAAATTCTGGGATTTAACCCCAAAATGTGGGAATTGCCCAAAATCCCAGGATTTCACCCCGAATCCAGGGATTTCCCCCCAAAATGTGGGAATTGCCCAAATTCCCAGGCATTCACCCCAAAATCTCAGGGATTCACCCCAAATTCCTGGATTTCTCCCCAAAATGTGGGAATTGTCTCAAAATCCCGGGAATTCACCCCAAAACCTGGGAATTCACCCCAAAATCCCAGAAATTCACCCTAAAATCTGAGATTGCAGCTCAAAACCTGGGATTTCAACCCATAATCCCGGGAATTCACCCCAAAATCCCAGGGATTTCACCCCAAAATCTGGGATTTCACCCCGAAACACGGGAATTGCCGAAATTCCCGGTTTTTTACCCCAAACCCGGGGCTGTCTCCGCAGCTGGAGCCGAAGGCGCCGCTGGCGAAGGCGCCGCTGCTGCAGCCCAGTAAGGAGGCCTGGTAAGGAACTGGGAGCACTGGGAGCGCCGGGAACGCCGGGATTCCCGCCGGGGCGGGGAGGGCTGCGCCAAAAACGGGAGTTTTGGCCGAATTTCTGCCAAAAATGGGAATTTTGGCCATGTTTGTGCCAAAAATGGGGAATTCAGCCATGTTTGTGCCAAAAATGGGGAATTTTGGCCATGTTTGTGAAAAAAAGGGAATTTTGCCATGTTTGTGAAAAAAATGGGGAATTTGACCATGTTTTTGCAGAAATGGGGAATTTTGGCCATGTTTGTGAAAAAAATGGGGAATTTGGCCAGGTTTGTCCCAAAAATTGAGAATTCTGCCAATGTTTTTGGCAGAAATGGGGATTTTTGTCCATGTTTGTGCCACAAATGGGGAATTTTGTCCCTGTTTGAACCAAAATGTGGACTTTTTTCCATTTTTTGCCCAAACCCATTGGTTCTCACCCCAAATCCGTTGATTTCTCTCCGTTTTTCCCAAACCTGCTGTTTCTCACCCCAAACCCCATCTCGTTGGCAGCCTGCTGGAGCAGCTGCACCGGCACCAGGGCGCGGTGATTTTACCCAAATTTGCCGTTTCTCACCCCGAACCCGGTTTTTTTCCCAAATCCTTCGTTTCTCACCCCAAACGTTGATTTTTCCCAAACCTGCTGTTTCTCACCCCAAACCCGTCTCGTTGGCAGCCTGCTGGAGCAGCTGCACCGGCACCAGGGCGCGGTGCTGCACCCGGAGCTGCGCGCGCCGTTCCGCTCGCTGGGGGACGCGCTGCGCCGCCTGCTGCCCTACCACGTCTACCAGGGCGTGCTGCCGGGCCGCGCCGACTGCCAGCGCGGTACGTGGGGACGGACGCGGTTATCGCGATACAGCATCGGCGTATCGCGTTACAGTGTCGGTATATCGCGATATGGCGTCGGGAGGGGCCGTGGTATATTGCGATAGCCCGTGGTATATTGCAATATGGCGTCGGGGCAAGCCATGGTATATCGCGATACGGTGCTGGGACAGGCCGTAGTATATCGTGATACGGCGTCGGGAGGGGCCGTGGTATATTGTGATTGCCATGGTATATCACGATACGGTGTCGGTATATCGCAATACGGCGTCAGGGCAGGCCGTGGTATATCGCTATATGGTGCTGGGACAGGCCGTGGTATATCGCGATACGGCGTCAGGATGGGCCGTGGTATATTGCGATACGGTGTTGGGATGGGCCGTGGTATATCACGATAGGCCATGGTATATCGTGATATGGTGTCGGGATGGGCCATGGTATATCACGATACGGTGTCGGGACGGGCCGTGGTATATCGCGATATGGCGTCGGGATGGGCTGTGGTATATCGCCAATGGTGTTGGGATGGGCTGTGGTATATCACGATAGGCTGTGGTATATCGCGATATGGCGTAGGGATGGGCCGTTGTATATCCCATTCCCAAATCCCATATCCCACATCCCATTCCCCCATTCCCAAATCCCGAACCCCCGAAATCCCAAATCCGAATCCCCGAAATCCCACCTCCCAAACCCTGAACCCCCACTTCCCGAAATCCCAAATCCCACCCCCCAAACCCCGAACCCCCACTTCCCGAAACCCCACCCCCCAAATCCCAGCTCCCAAACCCCAAAGCCCGCACCCCCACTTCCCCAAATCCCAAATCCCAGCTCCCAAACCGTTCCCGCTTCTCCCGGCAGTGGACGAGGAGTTCGAGGCGGTGTCGGAGCAGCTCCTGCGCCGCACCCGCGCCATGCTCAACAAGTACCGGCTGCTGCTGCTCGAGGAGTCGCGGGTGAGCCCCGGGACCCCCCGGATCCCCCCGGATCCCCCCGGATTTCCCCAAATTCCCCCGGATCCCCCCTGGGATCACCCCTGGGATCACCCCAAATCCCCTCAGATCCTCCCCAGATCCCCCCGGATCCTCCCCGAATCCCCCTGGATCCTCCCAGGATCCCTCTGGATTCCCCCAGAGCCCCCCAGATTGCTCCAAATCCCTCGGGATCCCCCCTGGGATCGCCCCAAATCCCCCAGGATCACCCCTGGGATCCCCCCCCCCAGATCCTCACAGATCCCCCTGGGATCACCCCAAATCCCTTCGGATCCCCCCTGGGATCACCCCCGGATCACCTCTGGATCCCCCCAAATTCCCCAAAGCCCCCCGGATTCCCCCCAAATCCCCCCGGATCCCCCCGGATTCCCCCGGGATCCGCCGGCCCCGCGCCGAGCCCGTGCCGTGCCCGCAGCGCGCCAGCCCCTCGGCGGAGATGGTGATGATCGACCGGATCTTCATCCAGGAGGAGAAGACGGCGCTGGCGCTCGACCGGCAGCTGGCCCGGGACCGGCCCGGTGCGCGCGGGGCCAACGGGGATACCGGGAACACCGGGAATGGGGATACCGGGAACAGGGATACCGGGAACACCGGGAGTGGGGATACTGGGAATACTGGGAATGGGGATACCGGGAATATCAGGAAATGGGGAGGGAATGCCGGGAATACCAGGAATGGGGAGGGAATTCTGGGGTTTGGGGTGGGATTCCCGGGATTTGGGGTGGAGTTCCTGGGATTTGGGATGGAATTCCTGAAATTTGGGATGGGATTCCCGGGGTTTGGGGTGGAATTCTCGGGGTTTGGGGTGGAATTCCCAGGATTTGGGGTGGAATTCCCGGTGGGAATGGGGGTGGAATTCCTGGGATTTGGGACATGTCAAAGTCCCATGAAAACACCGAGGGTGAATCGAAGGTTAATTAAGGGCCAATCAAAGGTCAATTAGCGGCCAATTAAAAGGGGTCAATCAAGGGTCAAGACGAACCCCGTGGGAAAAGGGGCGTGGCCGAATTGCCATCACCAACATGTAAATGAGCTCTAATTAACCCTTCTCCTCCTTTCCCTTGCAGACGAATACGTCTCCTCCTCCTCCTCCTCCTCCTCCTCCTCATCTTCCTCCTCCTCCTCCCGCTCCCACCCCCTCCCCCCTTCCTCCTCCTCCTCCTCCTCCTCCTCCTCCTCCTCGCTGCCCCTCCCCCAGCCCTCCCCCGCCCCTCCCCCGCCCGCCCCTCCCCCTCCCGTGCCCCCCAAGCTGCTGATCAAGCACGGGGGGGGTTCCCCGAGCGTCACCTGGCTGGGGGACCCCCAGCGGGGGGGAGGGGACCCCCAGCGGGGGGGAGGGGACCCCCAGCGGGGGGGAGGGGACCCCGAGGAGGCGCTGCCGTCGCGCAGCCGCCCGCCCATGAAGACGTACGAGGCGCGGAGCCGCATCGGCCTCAAGCTGAAGATCAAGCAGGAGGCCGGGCTCAGCAAGGTGATCCACAACACGGCGCTGGATCCGCCGGGGATCCCGCCCGGAACCGGCACCGGCACCGGCACCGGCACCGGCCCCGGCGCGGCGCTGGCGGCGCAGCTCAACGGGTCGCTGGAGAAGAAAGCGCCGATGGCGACGCTCCCCAAGGCCGGCGGCGTCGGCGCCGCTCCGTGCCGGCTGCCGCTGAGGAAGAGCTACCGGGAGATCAACCGGGAGATCAACCGGGAGCAGCGGGAGATCGGCCGGGAAATCAACCGGGAAATCAACCGGGAAATCAACCGGGAGCACCGGGAATTGAACCGGCAGCACCGGGAGGCCAACCGAGAACTCCGGGAGGTGAACTGGGAGGTGAACCGGGAGGTGCCCCAGCACCGGGACACGCCGGCGGCGGCGGCGGCGCCGCGCTCGGAGCGCCGCCCGGTGATCACGGCGCTGCGCCGGGACCCGGGATCCGCCGGGCGGATCCGGCCCGGGAAAGGCCCCCCAGAGGAGCCGTCGGACGGCGAGGAGGAGGAGGAGGAGGAGGAGGAGGAGGACGAGGAAGAGGACGAGGAGGACGAGGAGGATGAGGAGGAGGAGGAGGAGGAGGGCGGCGCGGCCGAGCCGCCGTGGGCCGGCAAGCGGCGGCGGGCGGAGGCGGCCGAGGTGGACGCGGCGTCGTTCAGCAGCGAGAGCCCGCGGGACGATTCGCTGAGCGAGCACCTGCAGAGCGCCATCGACAGCATCCTCAACCTGCAGCAGCCGCGCGGCGCCGCCGCCCCGCCGCCGGCACCGGCACCGGCACCGGGAGGCGCCGGATCGCCCTTCCCCGCGCCGCCGCGCCGCACCGAGCCCCTCCTGCCCCCCCCCAGCCACAACGGCGGCCTCGGCGCCGCCCGGACGTGCACCAGATGACGGCGGCTGGAGACGGGAACGGAGACCGGGAACGCGCCGGGAACGCGCCGGGAACGCGCCGGGAGCGGGAGAGCCCGGGCACATCGGGACACCGGGAACGGACGCCGGGAACGCACCGGGAACGGGATCGGGAACGGCCCCGCGACGCCAGGATCAGAACGGGACACCGGGAGCGCGCCGGGAACGCGCCAGGGTCGGAACGGAACACCGGGAACGCGCCGGGGTCGGAACGGAACACCGGGATCGGGAGGCGCAGATCGGACCGGGACGCCGGGATCGGACCGGGATCGGGAACGGGAACGGGAACGGGAGCGCAGCGGGATCCCGAGAACGGAGCGGGATCAGGAACGGACGGGATCGGGATCAGACCGGGAATGGGATCGGGATCGGAGCAGGACCGGGAACGAGAACAGGAACCGGGACTGGGGAGAGCAGCGGGAATTCGGGAATGCGGGAAGGGAAATTCGGGAATGCGGGATCGGCCCCCAGATGGGAAATTTGGGAATGCGGGATCAGCCCCCAGATGGGAAATTCGGGAATGCGGGATCGGCCCCAGAGAGAGGAACGGGAAATTGGAGAGAGAGAGGAGCGGGAAATGTGGGAAATACGGGAAATGTGGGAATTCCGGAGCTTTTCTGGGATCGGGGAGAGCCCCAGGCCCAGCGGGATCGGGATGGGAATGGAAAGCCCCAAATCCATCAGGATTGGGATGGGAAAACCCCAAATCCATCGGGATTGTGTTGGGAATGGGAGCCCCAAATCCATCGGGATTGGGTTGGGAATGGGAAAATCCCAAATCCATCGGGGTCGGGATGGGAATGGGAGCCCCAAATCCATCGGGATTGGGATGAGAAAACCCCAAATCCAGCGGGATCAGGACAGGAGAGAGGGAAAACCCCAAATCCGTCAGGATCGGGGTGGGAATGGGAATGAGAAACCCCAAATCCAGCGGGATGGGAACAGGAAACCCCAAATCCATCGGGATTGGGTTGGGAATGAGAAACCCCAAATCCATCGGGATGGGAACAGGAAACCCCAAATCCATCGGGATTGGGTTGGGAATGAGAAACCCCAAATCCAGCGGGATGGGAACAGGAAACCCCAAATCCATCGGGACTGGGTTGGGAATGAGAAACCCCAAATCCAGCGGGGTCGGGACGGGACAGAGGGAAAATCCCGGGATCGGGGTCGGGGTCGGGATCAGCGTGGGAAGATCCCGAATCCCTCGGAGCGCCGGGGTCGGGAGCCGGAGCCGCCTCCTTCCCCCCTTTTCCCCCAAATCCCCCCGGAGCGGAATTTCCCGGGATCGTTCCCGGGCTTGTTCCCAAAATCCCAAAAGTTCCGCCCCAAAAATTCCCCCGGAAAGGGAAAAAAACCCCAAAATTCCCCCCCCCCCCCCACCTTTGTTTTATTCTTTTACAAATTCTGGAGTTTCCGGAGTTTCCCAAGAGCAGAATTCCCAAAATCCCCAAATTGCTGAATTTCCGAGAGGAGAATTCCCAGAATTCCCAAAATCCCCGAATTTCCAAGAAGAAAATTCCAAAAATCGCCAAATTTTTGAGAGGAGAATCCCCAAATTTCCAAGAGGAGAATTCCCAAAAATTCCCAGATTTCCAAGGGGAGAATTCCCAGATTTCCGAGAGGAGAATTCCCAAAAATTCCCAAATTTCCGAGAGGAGAGTTCCCGAAAATCCCAAATTTCCGAGTGCAAAATCCCCAAATTTCTGAGTGGAAAATTCCCAAAATTTCCAAATTTCCCAAATAAGGAGAGTTCCCACAAATCCCAAATTTCCATGTGGAAGATTCCCAAAAATCCCCAAATTTCTGAGAGGAGAATTCCCATATCCCGAATTCCAAGTGCAAAATCCCCGAATTTCTGAGTGGAAATTTCCCAAATTTCCGAGAGGAGAATCCCCCAAAATCCCAAATTTCTGAGAGTTCCCAAATTTCCGAGAGGAGAATTCCCAAAAATCCCAAAATTCCCAAATTTCCAAGAGGAGAACTCCCGTATCCCAGATTTCCAAGGGGAGAATTCCCCAAATTCCCAAATTTCTGAGTGGAGAATTCCCAAAAATCCCAAATTTCTGAGAGGAGAATTCCCAAATTCCCCAAAATCCCCAAATTTCTGAGAGGAGAATTCCCAAAATTCCCGGAATTCCCGGTGGGTTTTGTACTGTATTTATTGTCCATAGCGCGTTTTGTACGGAATTCTGGAACTTTCCTATTTCTGCTGTAAATTAAAATCCTTTTAATTAACGCGCTGCGCTAATTGGGGCGCGGGGCTTTGGGGGTTTTTGGGGATTTTGGGATTTTGGAATTTCGGGGCTTTGGGATTTGGGGTTTTTTGGGTTTTGGGATTTGGGATTTTTTGGGGGATTTTGGGATTTTTGGGGTTTTTGGGATTTGGGGTTTGGCATTTTGGGGATTTTGGGGATTTGGGGGTTTGGCATTTTTGGGGTTTGGGGATTTTTGTGGTTTTTGGGGTTTGGCATTTTGGCATTTGAGGTTTGAGATTTGGGATTTGTGGTTTTGGGATTCTTTGGGATCTCTGGAATCCTTTGGGACCTTCTGGAATTTTTTGGGACCCTCTGGAATATTTTGGAAAATTTTGGAATTTTTTGGTCCCCTCCGGGCTCGTCCCTCGCTCCCCCCCCGGGGCCCCCCCGTCACTCATTAATTAATTAATTAATTACTTTATTAACTTCTCCCCGCCCCGTTCATGACCTCATTAATTCCCCGTTGCGCTTTTACGGCGGCACTGCCCGTTCGATGCAAATTTATGGAGATTTATGCAAATGAGGCGGTTTAGAGGCGCGGCCGCCGCGGCCCCGCTCAGAGCCGCTCCCGCGGCCGCGGTTTTGGGGCGAAATCCCGGGAAAAAGGAGCGGGAGAGGCCCCGGAGCGCCGCGGAAAGGTCGGGAAGCGAAATTCGGGAAAACAAAAACCGGGAAAAAAAAACGGGAATAAAAATCCGGGGAAAAAAATTCGGGAAAAAAAAAAGAGAAAACAACAACAACAAAAAAAAAAGGGTAAAAACACAACGGGAAAAAAAAAAAAAAACGGGAAAAAAATCCGAGAAAAAATCCAGGAAAAAAAATCAGGGGAAAAAATCAGGAAAAAAAAATCCGGGAAAGAAAACCCGGGAAAACAATCGGGGGAAGAATCCCGGGGGGAAAAAAACTCCGGGAAAAAAAAAATGGGGGGGGAAAAATCCTGGAAAAGAAACTTCGGGAAAGAAAATCCGGGGGAAAATAAAAACTCCGGGAAAAAAAAAACTCCGGGAAAAGAAACTCCGGGAGCGGCGCCGGCCCCACCCCGGCCGCGCCCGGGGGGGAAACCGGGAATTTGGGGCAGAAAAATGGGAAATTTGGGGGAGAAAATGGGAATTTGGGGGAGAAAATGGGAATTTGGGGCAGAAAATGGGATTTTGGGGCAGAAAATGGGAATTTGGGGCGGAAAAATGGGAATTTTGGGGCTGAAAATGGGCGAAACCCCCCCCCGGGTAAAGGGATTTTTGTGGGATCGGGAGCGAGGAAATCCCGGGAATTTTGGGGGTTCCGCCACTTTGGGAGTTTGGGATTTTTGTTTTCCTGGGAAAAATCCCCCAAATTCCCTTTTCCTGTTCGGATTCGCAGGAAAAATCCCCAAAATTCATTTCCCTGCTGGGTTTTGTGGGGAAAAAAAAACAAACCTGGAAGTTTTTTTTCCTCCTTGTTTTGACAGGAAAAATCCCCCCAAATTCTCTTTTTTCCCCTGGTTTTGGTGGGGAAATCCCGAAATTTTCATTTCTCCGCTTGTTTTGACAGGAAAAATCACCAAAAATTCTCTTTTTTCCCTGGTTTTGGTGGGGAAATCCCGAAATTCTCATTTCTCCGCTTGTTTTGACAGGAACAAAACTCGCGGCGACGTTTCCCCTGAGCTCATCCCAAACCTCCGCTCCTGGCTCGGCTGGATGGAAAAAATTCCTCCAGCTCCGTTTTTTCCCTCCTTTTAAGGCAAAAACTCCTTAAAACTTTTTTTTTTTTCCCTCATATTGGAGGCAAAACCCCTTAAAATCTTCATTTTCCCCTCAATTTTTCAGCCAAGATCCCAAAATCTTCGTTCCTCACTGGGATTTTGGGACCCCTCCCCTCATCATTCTCCCTTCCCAGTGGGATTTTTTGGGGTAAATCCCCCAAATTTGCTTTTTCTGCTCAATTTTCCCACCCCCCCCCCTCCCCCCCCATGGCTCTCCCCTGCAGCTGAGCCCCCCCCCCTTTTCCCATTTTTTCGGGTTTTGCCCATTTTTTCCCACCTTTTTCCAATTTTTCCCCATTTTCCCCCTTTTTTCCCCATTTTCCCAACTTTTTCCCTTAGTATCCCCCAAAACCCCCTAAACCCCCCCTGAAACTCCCCTAAAACCCCCCTAAAGCTGCCCTAAAAACCCCAAACTCCCCCTAAACCCTCCTGTGATCCCCCAAAAACCCCCCAAACCCCCTAAAACCCCCTAAAATCTCCTAAAACCACTTCAACCCCCCCCAAACCCCCCCAAAAACCTCTAAAATCCCCTAAAACCCGCCAAAACTCACCAAAACCCCGCTAAACACCCCCGGGATTCTCCAAAATCTCCTCAATCCCCCCAAAACTGCCCCAAAAAACCTCCCCAACCCCTCCCCAAAACCCCCCTAGAACCACCTGGTATCCCCAAAAAAACACCCCAAAACCTCCCTAAAACCTCCCTAAACCCCCCCAAAACTCCCTCTTAACCCCCTGGGATCGCCCAAAACCCCCCAAAATCCCCTAAAATCTGCTAAAACCTCCCTAAACCCCCCAAAACGCCAAAACCCCCCAAAACCTCCCCCAAAACCCCCCAAAAGCCTCCCCAAAACCCCCCTAGAACCACCTGACATCCCCAAAAAAACCCCAAAACCTCCCTAAACCCCCCCAAAACTCCCTCAAAAACCCCCCAAACCTCCCCAAAAGCCTCCTCAAAAGCCTTCCCAAAACTCCTGAAAAACCCCCCTAGAACCACCTGACATCCTCAAAAAAACCCCAAAACCTCCCAAAACTCCCTCTTAACCCCCTGGGACCCCCCAAAATCCCCTAAAATCTCCTAAAACCTCCCTAAACCCCCCAAAACTCCCTCTTAACCCCCCAAAACCTCCCCAAAAGCCTCCCCAAAACCCCCAAAAACCCCCCTAGAACCACCTGGTATCCCCAAAAAAAACCCAAAAACTCCCCAAAAACCGCCCTAGAACCGCCTGCTATCCCCAAAAAACCCCCAAAACTCCCCAAAACTCCCTCTTAACCCCCTGGGACCCCCCAAACCCCCCAACCCCCCAGCAGCGCCATGCTGAGCTGGCTGCGGCGGCAGCGCCCGTCGGCCTCTCCGGCCTCGCGGTGCCCGGGGCCGGTACCGGAGCCGTGCCCGGTGTCGGCGGCGCTGGCGGCGCTGTACCGGCAGAAGCTGCTGCCGGCCGAGGAGCTGTGCGGGCGCGCGGGGCTGCGCCGGCCGCCGCTGCTCGACGCCGACTTCCAGGCGCGGCCCTCGGTGCTGCTGCTGGGCCCCAGCGGCGCCGGCAAGAGCTCCATGCTGCGGTACCTGCTGGAGGAGGCGCCGCCGGGACCCGCACCGGGGCCCGAACCGGGCGCCGAGGCCTTCGTGGCCGTCACGCACGGCCCCGAGCCCGCGCTGGTGCCGGGAAACGCCGCCGTGGTGGATCCGCGCTGGCCCTTCCGGCAGCTGGAGGCGTTCGGGGGAGCCTTCCTCAACCGGTGAGTCGGTGGGATCCATTGGGATCTGTGATGGGATCTGGGGTGGGATCTGGGGTGGGATCCATCAGTGCCGTGGTGGATCCACGCTGGGCATTCCGGCAGCTGGAGGCATTTGGGGGCGCCTTCCTCAGCCGGTGAGTGGGTGGGATCCATTGGGATCTGTGATGGGATCTGGGGTGGGATTCGCTGGGATTTGGGGTGGGATTCACTGGGATCAGTGGTGGGATCCATCAGTGCCATGGTGGATCCGCGGTGGCCGTTCCGGCAGCTGGAGGCGTTCGGGGGCGCCTTCCTCAACCGGTGAGTGGGTGGGATCAGTTGGGATTGGATGGGATCAGCAATGGGATCTGTGATGGGATCTGGGGTGGGATTCACTGGGATCAGTGGTGGGATCCATCGGTGCCGTGGTGGATCCACGCTGGCCCTTCCGGCAGCTGGAGGCGTTTGGAGGAGCCTTCCTCAACCGGTGAGTGGGTGGGATCCATTGGGATTGGATGGGATCTGGGGTGGGATCAGTGGTGGGATCTGGGGTGGGATCCATCGGTGCCGTGGTGGATCCGCGCTGGCCCTTCCGGCAGCTGGAGGGGTTTGGGGGAGCCTTCCTCAACCGGTGAGTGGGGATTGGCACCGGGGATCCATTGGGATCCATGATGGGATCCATGGTGGGACCCACTGGGATCTGTGATGGGATCTGGGGTGGGATCTGGGGTGGGATCTGTGATGGGATCAGCGATGGGATCAGTGGTGGGATCCATTGGTGCCGTGGTGGATCCGCGCTGGCCCTTCCAGCAGCTGGAGGCGTTTGGAGGCGCCTTCCTCAACCGGTGAGTGGGTGGGATCCACTGGGATTGGATGGGATCAGTGGTGGGATCTGCGATGGGATCAGCGATGGGATTTGGGGTGGGATCAGTGGTGGGATCCATCGGTGCCGTGGTGGATCCATGGTGGCCGTTCCAGCAGCTGGAGGCGTTCGGGGGAGCCTTCCTCAACCGGTGAGTGGGTGGGATCCATTGGGATCCATGGTAGGATCCATGGTGGGACCCACTGGGATCTGTGATTGGATCTGGGGTGGGATCTGTGATGGGATCCAATGGGATCTGCTGGGATCGGTGTTGGGATCCGCCCCGAGATCCGTGCTGGGATCCAAGATGGGATCCGGGATGGGCTCAGCGCTGGGATCGGTGTTGGGATCCACTGGGATCCACTGGGACCAATGCCAGTGTCTGTGATGGGATCTGTGCTGGGATCCGCCAGGATCCACCGGGATCGGCGATTCCGGCCCCAAACCGGGATCGGGGATCCCCAGATCCCGCCCACCTCGCTGACTTTTCCCAATTTCCCCTTTTCCCACATTTCCGCCTCATTTTCCCCCAATTCCCCCCAATTTTCTCTGTTTCCCCCCAATTTTCTCTGTTTTCCCCCAATTCCCCCCATATTTCTCTGTTTCCCCCCAATTTCCCCCAATTTTCCCCCATTTCCCCCATTTCCCACCCCCAGCATCCCAAACCCCCCCAAAAATGGGATCCCACCTCCAGCAATCCCAAATTTCCCTCCAAACTCTCCTTTTCCCCCTTTTCCCCATTTCCCCCCATTTTTTACCCATTTTCCTCATTTTTGCCCATTTCCCCCCTTTTTCGCCCTTTCCCTCGATTTTTTCTCATTTTCCCCATTTTTTTCTCCTTTTTCCCCTTTCTTCCCCTTTCCCCCTTTTTTTCTCATTTTATTTTCCTTATTTTCCAGGTTTTTCCTCCTTTTTTCTCCTTTTTCCCCTTTCCTCCCTTTTTTTTTTCTCATTTTCTTCTCATTTTTTCCTCATTTTTCCCCCTTTTTTCCCTTTCTCCCCCTTTCCCCCCATTCCTTTCCCCGCCCCGGGATGAGCCATCCCTCTGGAATTCCGCTGCCGGGCGGGGCGGGGAAGCTTTTGGGGCGGGTTTTTTTAAAATTATTATTTAATTTGGGTTTTTTTTGGGTTATTTTGGGGTCAATTTGGGTTTTTTTGGGGCCCCCAGGTTCGTTTGTGCCACGCTGAACAATCCGGTCCTGGAGAGCATCACCCTGATCGACACCCCCGGGATCCTGGCGGGCACCAAGAACAGCATCGGCCGGGGTGAGGGGGTCCCCAATTTGGGGAGGGGTCCCCGAATTTGGGGAGGGGTCCCCGGAATTGGGGAGGGGCCGAAAAAATCCGGGAAAAACCAAAAAAAATCCTCGTGGGAACCCGAAATGCGGGAGGGAGACCCGGAATTTGGGGTGAAAGGGGCCCCGAGAATTTGGGGAGGGGTCCCTGAATTTGGGGAGGGGTCCCAAAATTGGGGAGGGGTCCCCGGAATTTGGGGGGAGGCGAAAAAATCCGGGAAAAAACCAAAATAACGGCGTGGGAACCCAAAATCCGGGAGGGGAATCGGAAATTTGCATAAAAGGGGGCGTGGCCCCAAAATTGGGGGAGGGGTCCCCAAAATTAGGGAGGGGTGGAAAAAATCCGGGAAAAAACAAAAAACAAAAAAAAAAACAAACAAAAAACAAAAACCAAACAAAAAAACCGCGTGGGAATTTGGGGGGAATTTGGGGGGAATTTGGGGGGAATTTGGGGGGAATTTTGGGGTATTTTGGGGCATTCGGGACGGATTTTGAAGCGATTTTGGGGATTTTTGGGTATTTTGGATGTTTTAGGGGTGATTTTGGGGTGCTCGGGATGGATTTTCAGGCGTTTTTGGGGAATTTTGGGGCGCTCGGGACGGATTTTAAGGAGTTTTTTTGGGAATTTTGGGAACTTTGCCCAAAATCGGGCGCCAAGGGCGGGGGGGGCGGGGCCGTCCCGAATTCCCGGGAATTTGGCCAATTTTCCAGGCGGGGCCGAACCCCCCCGGGACCCCCCCGGCCCCTCCCCCACTTCCTCCCCCACCCCAAAATCCGCGGCCGCTGCCAAGGGAGGGGGAGGGGCAAGAGGGGGGTTGGGAATGGGGGAAAAAGGGAAAATAGGGAAAAAAGGGAAAAAAAGGGAAAAAAAGGGGGTTTGGGAGTGGGGAAATGGGAAAAAAAAGGGGAAAAAAGGGGAGAAAGGGTTTGGAGAATGGGGAAAAAGGGGGAAAATGGGGGAAAATGGGGTTTGGAAATGGGGGAAATGGGGAAAAAATGGGGGAGGGAGGAAAGGGAAAAAAAGGGGGTTTGGGGATGGGAAAAAAGGGGAAAAAGGGGAAAAGTGGGATTTGGGAATGGAGGAAATGGGAAAAAGACAAAAAGAGGGGAAAGGGAAAAAAGGGGGATTTGAGAACAGGGAGGGAATGGGGAAAAAAGGGAAAAAGGGGGGGAAAAGGGGAAAAAAGTGGGAAAAGGGGTTTTGAGAATTGGGGAAATGGGAAAAAAAGGAAAAAAGGGGGAAAAGGGAAAAACTCCCCATTTTTCTCCAGGCTGTGACTTCCCGGGGGTGCTGCGCTGGTTCTTGGGTTGGATTATTTTGGGATTATGACAGAATTTAGGATTTTCATTGGGATTTTGGAATTATTTCAGAATTAGGGTTGGATTTAGGATTTCCATTGGGATTTTGGGATCAAACCCAGTATTTTTTCAGGTTACGACTTCCCGGGGGTGCTGCGCTGGTTCCTACAATGAATTATTTCAGAATTAGGGTTGGATTTGGGGTTCCCATTGGGATTTTGGAATTATTTCGGAATTAGGGCAGAATTTAGGATTTCCATTGGGATTTTGGGCTCCAATCCCCCATTTTCCTCCAGGCTACGACTTCCTGGGGGTGCTGCGCTGGTTCTTGGGTTGGATTATTTTGGGATTATGACAGAATTTAGGATTTCCATTGGGATTTTGGAATTATTTCAGAATTAGGGTTGGTTTTAGGATTTCCATTGAGATTTTGGGCTCCAACCCCCTATTTTTTAGGCTACGACTTCCCGGGGGTGCTGCGCTGGTTCGCGGAGCGCGTGGATTTGGGATCAGGGCAGAATTTAGGATTTCCATTGGGATTTTGGGCTCCAACCCCCTATTTTTTAGGCTACGACTTCCCGGGGGTGCTGCGCTGGTTCGCGGAGCGCGCGGCGCTGGTGGTGCTGCTGTTCGACGCGCACCGCCTGGACGTGTCGGAGGAGCTGGCGGCGGCGCTGGCGGCGCTGCGGGGCCACGAGGAGAAGCTGCGCGTGGTGCTCAACAAGGCCGACGCCGTGGGGCCGCAGCAGCTGCTGCGCGTCTATGGGGCGCTGCTGTGGGGCCTGGGCCGCGCCCTGGGCGCCCCCGAGGTGCCGCGGGTCTTCGTGGGCTCCTTCTGGGACCGGCCCCTGCGGCGCGACGAGCTGCGGCGGCTGCTGGAGCTGGAGGAGCAGGACCTGTTCCGCGAGATCCAGGAGCTGCCGCGGCGCGCCGCCACCCGCAAGGTCAACGACCTGGTGAAACGGGCCAGGGCCGTGCAGGTGAGGGGTTTGGGGGGTTTGGGGGGGTTTGGGGGGGTTTGAGAGGGGTCTGGGGGTGTTTGAGAGGGGTTTGAGAGGGGTTTTGGGGGGTTTGGGGGGATCTGCTATCACCCAACGCCGCCACCCGCAAGGTCAACGACCTGGTGAAACGTGCACGGGCTGTGCAGGTGAGGGGGTCTGGGGGGTTTGAGAGGGGTTTGGGGGTGTTTGAGAGGGGTTTGGGGGGTTTGGGGGGATCCACTATCACCCAACGCCGCCACCCGCAAGGTCAACGATCTGGTGAAACGCGCCAGGGCCGTGCAGGTGAGGGGTTTGGGGGAGTCTCAGGGGGTCTGGGGGTGTCTGGGGGTGTTTGAGAGGGGTTTGGGGGGGTTTGGGGGGATCCGCTGTCACCCAACGCCGCCACCCGCAAGGTCAATGATCTGGTGAAACGTGCCAGGGCTGTGCAGGTGAGGGGTCTGGGGGGTTTGGGGGATTCTTGGGGTGTCTGGGGTGTTTGAGAGGGGTCTGGGGGGGTTTGGGGCCGTTTGGGGTGTCTGGGGGTGTTTGGAGGGGTTTGGGGGGATCCGCTATCACCCAACGCTGCCACCCGCAAGGTCAACGACCTGGTGAAACGCGCCAGGGCCGTGCAGGTGAGGGGTTTGGGGGGTTTGGGGGTGTTTGAGAGGGGTCTGAGGGGTTTTGGGGGTTCTAGGGGTGTCTGGGGGTGTTTGAGAGGGGTTTTGGGGGGGATTTGGGGGGATCCACTATCACCCAACTCCGCCGCGCGCAAGGTCAATGATCTGGTGAAACGCGCCCGGGCCATGCAGGTGAGGGGGTTTGGGGGGTCTGGGGGGTTTGGGGGGATCCACTATCACCCAACGCCGCCACCCGCAAGGTCAACGACCTGGTGAAACGCGCACGGGCCGTGCAGGTGAGGGGTTTGGGAGGGTTTGGGGGTGTTTGGGGGTGTTTGGGGGGATCTCGGGGTGTCTGGGGGTGTTTGAGAGGGGTTTTGGGGGGTTTGGGGGGATCCGCTATCACCCAACGCCGCCACCCGCAAGGTCAATGATCTGGTGAAATGGGCACGGGCTGTGCAGGTGAGGGATTTGGGGGCTTTGGGGGGGTTTGGGGGTGTTTGAGAGGGGTTTGGGGGGCTTTGGGGGGATCTCAGGGGGATCTGGAGGTGTTTGAGAGGGATTTGGGGGGATCCGCTGTCGCCCAACGCCGCCACCCGCAAGGTCAACGATCTGGTGAAACGTGCCAGGGCTGTGCAGGTGAGGGGTTTGGGGGGTTTGGGGGGGTTTGGGGGGATCTCGGGGTGTTTGAGAGGGGTTTGGGGGGTTCTTGGGGTGTCTGGGGGTCTTTGAGAGGGGTCTGGGGGGGGTTGGGGGGATCTCGGGAGATCTCAGGGTGTCTGGGGGTGTCTGGGGGTGATTGAGAGGGGTTTGGGGGGATCTCAGGGGGTCTGGGGGTGTTTGAGGGATATCTGGGGAGGTTTGGGGGAGATCTGCCGGTGTTTGAGGAGGATCTGGGGGGATCTGGGGCAGTTTGATCTCCTGGAGACCCCTTGGAACCCAGCAGGATCCCTCTGGGGGGGTGTGGGGCGGGACCTGGGGGTTCTCCGGGCTCGGTGGATCCCGGTGGATCCCAGCGGATCCCGGCCGATCCCGGTGGATCCCGGTGCAGGTGCAGGCGCTGGTGCTGCGGCGGCTGCGGCAGGAGCTGCCGGCGCTGCCGGGCGGGCGCAGGAGGCGCTTGGAGCAGCGGCTGCCGGCGCTGCTGGCCCGGATCCAGAGCGAGCTGCAGATCCCGACCGCCGACCTGCCCGACTGCGCCCAGATCCAGGTGAGCCCCGACGGGATCCGGGGGGATCCGGGGGGATTGGAGGGGATCTGGGGGGATCCAGGGGGATATGGGGGGAATTTGGGGGATTGGAGGGGATCTGAGGGGATCTGAGGGGATCTGAAGGGAATTGGGGGGATTGGAGGGGATCTGGGGGGGATCCGGGGAGAATTTGGGGGGATTGGAGGGGATCTGAGGGGATCCAGGGGGGAATTTGGGGCATTGGAGGGGATCTGACGGGTTCTGGGGGGGATCTGAAGGGAATTTGGGGGATTGGAGGGGATCTGGGGGGATCTGAAGGGAATTTGGGGGATTGGAGGGGATCTGGGGGGATCTGGGGGTTTCCCGGACTGTGCCCAAATCCAGGTGAGCCCCGTCCTGGGGGATCTGATGGGATCTCCTGGGGTTTTTGGTCACTTTGACCCCTTTTCTTCCCATCTGATGGGGGTTTTTGGTGCTTTGATGGATTTTCATGGGATCTCCTGGGGGTTTTCACCTCTTTGACCCCTTTTCTTCCCATCTGACGGGGTTTTTCAGCGCTGTGATGGATTTTCATGGGATCTCCTGGGGTTTTTGGTCACTTTGACCCCTTTTCTTCCCATCTGACGGGGTTTTTCAGCGCTGTGATGGATTTCCATGGGATCTCCTGGGTTTTTTCACCTCTTTGACCCCTTTTCTCCCCCTCTGACTGTGTTTTTTACCCCAATCCCTTTCCCCACCGTCCCCCCATGCGTTCCCACCAGGAGCAGCTGCTGGCCCGGGATCTGCGGCGGCTGCCGCGGCCGAAGCGGCGGCTGCTGGCGGGGCTGGAGGAGCTGCTGGGCCGGGACCTGCCGGCGCTGAGCCCGCTGCTGGCCCGGGCGGCGCCCGCCCAGCCCGGCGTGCGCGGCGGCGCCTTCGACGGCGCCCTGGGGCCCTTCGGCCGCGAGGACGAGGACGACGAGGAGGAGGAGGACGATGAAGACGACGAGGAGTGGGTGGTGATGAAGGACAAGGCCAAGTACGACGAGATCTTCTACGGGCTGGCGCCCAGCGGGGGCAAGCTGAGCGGGCGGCGCGCCAAGGGCTGGATGGTGGCCAGCAACCTGCCCAGCTCGGTGCTGGGCCGCATCTGGCAGCTCAGCGACGTGGACAGGGACGGCATGCTGGACCACGAGGAGTTCGCGCTGGCCGGGCACCTGATCGGGGCCAAGCTGGAGGGACGGGGGCTGCCAACCGACCTGCCCCCGCGCCTGGTGCCGCCCTCCAAGAGGAGGCACAAGGGGTCGGCTGAGTGACCCCAAAATGCCAAAAATCCACACGGGAATAGCCAAAAACCCACCCAGAAATCCACCCAGAAATCCACCCAGAAATAGCCAAAAACCCACCCAGAAATCCACCCAGAAATAGCCAAAAACCCACCCAGAAATCCACCCAGAAATCCACCCAGAAATCCACCCAGAAATCCACCCAGAAATACCCAAAAATCAGGGATTCGCAGATGCTGCTCTGCCTGGTGCCGCCCCTCCAAGAGGAGGCACAAGGGGTCGGCTGAGTGACCCCCAAAATGCCAAAAATCCACACGGGAATAGCCAAAAACCCACCCAGAAATCCACACAGAAACCCACCCAGAAATAGCCAAAAACCTGCCCAAAATCCGTCCAGAAATACCCAAAAATCAGGTGCCGCCCTCCAAGAGGAGGCACAAGGGGTCGGCTGAGTGACCCCCAAAATGCCAAAAATCCACACGAGAATAGCCAAAACCCCACTCAGAAATCCACCCAGAAACCCACCCAGAAATCCATCCAGAAACAGCCAAAAACCTGCCCAAAATCCGTCCAGAAATACCCAAAAATCAGGGATTGGCGGATGCCCCCGCGCCTCGTGCCGCCCTCCAAGAGGAGGCACAAGGGGTCGGCTGAGTGACCCCAAAAATGCCAAAAATCCACATGGGAATAGCCAAAAACCCACTCAGAAATCCACCCAGAAATCCACCCAGAAATCCACCCAGAAATCCACCCAGAAATCCACCCAGAAATAGCCAAAAACCCACCCAGAAATCCACCCAGAAATAGCCAAAAACCTGCCCAAAATCCGTCCAGAAATACCCAAAAATCAGGTGCCGCCCTCCAAGAGGAGGCACAAGGGGTCGGCTGAGTGACCCCAAAATGGCAAAAATCCACACGGGAATAGCCAAAAACCCACCCAGAAATCCACTCAGAAATAGCCAAAAACCCACTCAGAAATCCACCCAGAAATAGCCAAAAACCCACCCAGAAATCCACCCAGAAATCCACCCAGAAATAGCCAAAAACCTGCCTAAAATCCGTCCAGAAATACCCAGAAATCAGGTGCCACCCTCCAAGAGGAGGCACAAGGGGTCGGCTGAGTGACCCCCAAAATGCCAAAAATCCACACGGGAATAGCCAAAAACCCACCCAGAAATCCACCCAGAAATAGCCAAAAACCTGCCCAAAATCCGTCCAGAAATACCCAAAAATCAGGGATTCGCGGATGCTGCCCTGCCTGGTGCTGCCCTCCAGGAGGAGGCACATGGGGTCCACTGAGTGACCCCAAAATAGCCAAAAATCCACACGGGAATAGCCAAAAACCCACTCAGAAATCCACCCAGAAATCCACCCCAAAATCCGTCCAGAAAAAGCCAAAAATCAGGGATTCGCGGATGCTGCCCTGCCTGGTGCTGCCCTCCAAGAGGAGGCACAAGGGGTCTGCTGAGTGACCCCAAAATAGCCAAAAATCCACCTAGAAATAGCCAAAAATCTACCCAGAAAAAGCCAAAATCAGGGACCCCAATAAAGGCAGAGCAGGGCTGGAGGAGCTCTCCTGAATTTTGGGGTGGGGGAACATTTTGGGGGATTTGGGGCTCATTTTTGGAGGATTTGGGGTAATTTTGGGCTCACTTTTGGGGGGATTATTTTTGGGGGGATTTGGGGGATTATTTTTGGGGGGATTTTGGGATTTTTTGGGGGGGATTTTGGGCTCATCTTGGGAGATTTTGGGGCTAATCTTGGGGGAATTATTGGGTAGTTTTTGAGGGATTTGGGGCCCATTTTTGGGGGGATTTGGGGCTGATTTTGAAGGATTATTTTGGGGGGATTTTGGGCTCGTTTTTGGGGCATTTGGGGTTCATTTTTATGGGAATTTTGGGCTCGTTGGATTGGGCTCATTTTTAGTGGAATTTTGGGCCCATTTTGGGGGGATTTGGGGATCATTTTGGGGGATTTGGGGCTCATTTTTGAAGGGTTTGGGGCTCGTTTTTATGGGAATTTTGGGCCCATTTTGGGGAGATTAGGGGATTATTTGGGGGGGGGATTTTGGGCTAATTTTGGGGGGTTTGGGGCTCATTTTGGGGGGATTTTGGGCTCATTTTCATTGGGCTCACTTTTGGGTGGATTTTGGGCTCGTTTTTAGGGGAATTTTGGGCTCATTTTGGGGGACTTGGGGTCATCGCCCCCCTCAGCTGCTGATGGGCCTTGACCTCACCAAGATGGCGTCAGGACCATGCCGAACCCTTTCCAAAATGGCGACGCAGCTGTTCCGCCCATCTGAAAGATGGCGAAGGAACCATTTCCGCCCTTCCTAGAGATGGCGACCATGCTGTTCACAGCCCTTCCTCCCCGCGGCGCTCGGGGATGGTTTTGCGGGGCTTGTGGCACACCCGGGAGGACTCGTGGCAAGTTTGGGAGGTTCAGGAGGACTGGGCGCGTTTTTAACGCGTTTCAAACCCGCTTTTTGCGCCCATCTCCACTCCCCGACCTTCCCAAAATGGCGGCACCATCGTGTCACTCTCTCAAGATGGCGGCCCCCAGCTCTTCCCGCCTTTTTTCCGCCGCGGCGGCCGGAAGCTGCCTCAGGGCGTTTCCGGTTCCCTCCCGACGCTCCCTCGCGAAATGGCGGCGGCCGAGGAGTTCCTCGCCTTCAACCCCGCCGGCCCCGCCGGCCCCGCCGCCGCCTCCCGGCGCCGCAACCGCGGGCCCCGCAACCGCAAGAAGGGCTGGAAGCGCTGGGGCGGCCCCGAGGCGCGGCTGGGCCGCGAAATCGGCGATTTCCTGGAGGATGTGGGGCTGCAGGAGCGGGCGGCCGGGTGAGCGGGTCGTCCTGAGGGGTTTGGGGGGTCCTCAGGGGTTTTGGGGAGGGTCTCAGTGGGGTTTTGGTGGGACCTGAGGGACTTTGAGGAGGTCCTGAGGGATTTTGGGGGGTCTCAGTGGGATTCTGGGGGGTCCTGAGGAGATTTAGGGGGTTCTGAGGGGTTTTGGGGGGGTCTCAGTGGGATTTTGGGGTTCCTGAGGGGTTTTGGGGGGGGTCCCAGAGAGGGTTTGGGGAGGGATCTTTAATTTTAGAGTGATCTGTGTTTTTTGAGTGAATCTCTCATTTTAGGATGATCTCAAATTTTAGGATGATCTTCAATTTTGGGGTTGACTCCCTAATTTTGGGGGTGACTCCCCAGCTTTGGGGTGAATCTCTGATTTTTCGGGGTCCCTTGCAGGGGCCTGATCTCGGAGCAGCCCAACGAGGACCTTTTCTTCCTGGACACCGGCAGCGCCCCCAAAAGTGAGGATTTCTGCCCAAAATCCCCCTCCCCGAGGGGTTTGGGGTGCCCCTGACCCCTTCAGGGTTTTTGGGAGGATTTGGGGATCATTTTTGGGGGGATTTGGGGATTATTTTTGGGGTAATTTTTGGGAGGATTTGGGCTCATTTTTGGGGGGTTTGGAGATCATTTTTGGGGCAATTTTGGTTAATTTTTTGTGGGGCTTGTCTTTTTTGGGGGAATTTTGTTCAATTTTTGGTGGGTTTGGGGATTGTTTTTGGAGGGATTTAGGGTCATTTTTGGGAGTTTGGGGATCATTTTTTGGGGGGATTTTGGGATCATTATTGGGAGGATTTTGGGTCATTTTTGGGGTGATTTTGGGGGTCATTTTTGCCAAATTTAAGGTTATTTTTTTAAGGATTTGGGGTCATTTTGGAGGTTTTCTGGATGATTTTGGGGGGGATTTGTGGCACATTTTGCGGGGATCCCCTCCTGAGGGTTTTGGGGTGCCCCTGACCCCCCAGGCCAGCCCCTGAAGAAGAAGAAGCCCCCCCAGAAGCCCCCCCGGAAGCCTCTGCACGTGGACCTGGTGCTGCAGCCGCTCTCCAAGGTGCCGCCCCCCAAAAAGTGAGTGCCCCTCAAAAATTGGGATTTTTGGGGGGCTTCCATCCCCAAATTCCCCTCAGGGACCCCCCAAATCCCTCCAGGATCCCCCAAAATCCCACCCGGTACCTCAAAATCCACCTGGGATCCCCAAAATCCCCTCAGGGACCCCCAAAATCCCCTCAGGGACCCCCAAAATCCCCTCAGGGACCCTCAAAATCCCCCCCAGGAACCCCCAAATGCCCCCCAGGACCTCAAAGTCCCCCCGGGATCCCCAAAATTCCCCTGGGATCCCCTAAAATCCTCTCAGGATTCTCCTAAATATCTTTGGGAATTCCCAAAATTCCCCAGGGATCCCAAAATCCCTCTGGAACCCCCCCAAATCCTCCCACACGGACCTTCCCCAAGTTTTAGGTTCCCATTTTTGGGGAGATTTGGGGCTCATTTTTGAGGGATTTGGGGCTCATTTTGGGTGGATTTGGGATTCTTTTTTTGGGGGGATTTGAGGCTCATTTTTGGAGTGATTTTGGGCTCATTTTTGGGGGGATTTTGGGCTCATTTTTGGGGGGATTTTGGGCTCATTTTGGGTGGATTTTGGGCTCATTTTTGGAGGGATTTTGGGCTGATTTTGGGGGTATTTGGGGCTCGTTTTTGCGCTATTTTGGGCTCATTTTTGGGGGGATTTTGGGCTCATTTTGGGCTCATTTTTGGAGGGATTTTGGGCTGATTTTGGGGGTATTTGGGGCTCGTTTTTGCGCTATTTTGGGCTCATTTTTGGGTGATTTTGGCCTGATTTTTGGGGTCCCGCAGCATCTGTGCCTACCAGACCCCGCACGGGCGGAAGGAGCGGCGCCGGCGGCAGTTTTGGGAGAAAAAAGCCGAAATCGGGGAGTTCCCGCGGCAGGAGCGGCGCCTGCGGGCCCGGCTGGCCCGGGGGGGCTGTGGGGCCCCCCAAAAACCCCCCGAGCTCGGCCGCTCCGACCCCCAGCGCCCCTTCTACGACATCTGGGGGGAGCACAGTGAGTGGGGGGGATTTGGGGGGGATTTTGGGGGGGATTGGGAAAATTTGGGGGCTTTTTTGGGGGGCTTGTTGCAATTTTGGTGGGATTTTGTGGGGGCTTGTTAGAATCTGGGGGAGTTTGGGGGGGTTTGTTACAATTTGGGGGGTTTGGGTGCGATTTTGAGGGGTTTGGTAAAATTTTGGTAGGATTTGGGGGGGGCTTGTTAAAATTGGGGGGATTTGGTGGGGTTTGGGTGGGATTTTGGGGGGCTTGGGGAAATTTGGGGGAGTTTGGGTGGGATTTTTGGGGGGCTTGGGGAAATTTGGGGGAGTTTGGGTGGGATTTTTGGGGGGCTTGTTTAAATTTGGGGGGATTTGGGGTTGGGGGGACAATTTTTGGGGAGAATTTTTAAAACTTGGGTGGATTTTTGGGGTTCCGGGGATAATTTTTGGCGGTTTAGTTCAAATTTGGGGGAGTTGGGGGTCCTGGGGGAGATTTTTTGGGGGTGATTTGAGGTTGGGGGGATTTTGGGGACCCCTCCCTGATCTCCCCGTGCCCCCCCAGACCCCCTGGACGCGCCCCTGGCCGGGCAGGACCCCTGGTACCTGCAGCAGACCAAGAGGCTCAGGGTGCAGGTGAGACCAAAAACACCCCAAAAATGGTCCTGGGACCCCAAAAATATATCCCAAAAACACTTCTGGGACCCCCCAAAATCCCTGTGAGACCCCCAGGAACAGCCCAGGGACCCAAGAGATCCCCCTGGGACTCCCCCAGAAATGCCCCTGGAACCCCCAAAATCCTCTTGGGACCCCCAAAATCCCCTCTGATCCCCCCCAGACCCCCCTGGGACCCCCAAAATCCTCCCCAAAACAACTCTGGGACCCCCCAAATCCCCCAGGAATGCCCCCCAAATCCCCTGGGATTCCCCAAAATGCCCCTGAGACCCCCCAAATCCCCTGGGACTCACCCCAAACACCCCTGGGACCCACCAAATCCCCTCTGAGCCCCCCCAAACACCCCTGAGACCCCCCAAATCCCCTGGGACTCACCCCAAACACCCCTGGGACCCACCAAATCCCCTCTGAGCCCCCCCAAACACCCCTGAGACCCCCCAAATCCCCTGGGACTCACCCCAAATCCTCTCTGAGCCCCCCCAAACACCCCTGAGACCCCCCAAATCCCCTCTTCTCCCCCCGGGAGCCCCCCCAGGCCGGGCTCTGATTTTGGGGTGTCCCCCCCTGTTCCCAGCGCCCCCCCCGGCTCCAGGCCAAGCCCTCGCCCCTCCCCCCCGTGGAGGTCATCGGCCAGGGGGGCTCCTACAACCCCCCCTTCCAGGACCACCAGGTTTGGGGGTTTTTGGGGGGCTCCACGGGGTTTTTGGGGTGGTTTTTGGGGGTTGGGAGGGTGTTTTGGGGGGTCAGGAGAGGATTTGGGGGGTTTTGGGGGGCTCCAGGGGAGGGTCAGGAGGGGTTTGGGGGGGCTATGAGGGGTTTTTGGGGACCATGAGGGATTTTTGGGGGGCTCCAGCGGGTTTTGGGGGGTCTGGAAGGGTTTTGGGGGGGCATGAGGGGTTTATGGGGGATTTTTAGGGGTTTTGGGGGGGTGAGAAAGGAGTTTGGGGGTTTTTGGGGGGGCATGAGGGGTTTTGGGGGGGTGAGAAGGGGTTTTTGGGGGGCTCTGGAGGGATTTTGGGGAGTCATGAGGGGGTTTTGGGCGTTTTGAGGGATTTTGGGGGACTTGGGGAGGTTTTTTGGGGTGGTTTTTGGGTGATTTTGGTGCAGTTTTTGGGGTGGTTTTTGGGTGATTTTTGGGGTGGTTTTGGTGTCGTTTTTGGGAGAGTTTTGGGGTGCTTTTTGGTGATTTTATGGTAGTTTTGGTGTTGGTTTTGGGGTGGTTTTGAGTAATTTTTGGGATAGTTTTGGTGTAGTTTTGCTGTAGTTTTTGGGGTGTTTTTGGGGTAGTTTTGGTGCAGTTTTTGGGGTAGTTTTGGGGTGGTTTTGGTGTTTTTTGGGGTGACGGTGCCCCTTTGGCAGGAGTTGCTGCTGCGGGCGCTGGAGGTGGAGACGAGGAGGAGGAGGGAGGAGGAGAAGGTGGAGAGGAGGCTGAAGGTCACCGAGGAGCCGCCCTCGCAGGTGGGGTCCCAAATTTGGGGTCTGGGCCTGGGATTTGGGCTCTGGGATCCCAAATTTGGGGTCTGGGCCTGGGATTTGGGCTCTGGGATCCCAAATTTGGGGTCTGGGCCTGGGATTTGGGCTCTGGGATCCCAAATTTGGGTTCTGGACCTGGAATTTGGGGTCTGAGCCCCAGGGTTTGAGATCTGAGCCCCAGGATTTGGGGTCTGGCTCCAGGATTTGGGGTCTGGCTCCAGGATTTGGGGTCTGGCTCCAGGATCTGGGGTCTGAGCCCGGGATTTGGGGTCTGGCTCCAGGATTTGGGGTCTGGCTCCAGGATTTGGGGTCTGAGCCCCAGGGTTTGAGATCTGAGCCCTGGGATTTGGGGTCTGGCTCCAGGATTTGGTGTCTGGCTCCAGAATTTGGGGTCTGAGCCCGGGATTTGGGGTCTGGCTCCAGGATTTGGGGTCTGAGCCCGGGATTTGGGGTCTGGCTCCAGGATTTGGGGTCTGAGCTCCAGAATTTGGGGTCTGGCTCCAGGATTTGGGGTCTGGCTCCAGGATTTGGGGTCTGGCTGCAGGATTTGGGGTCTGGCTCCAGGATTTGGGGTCTGAGCCCGGGATTTGGGTCCCGCAGGAGGCCGTGCTGCGGGAGCAGCTGCAGGGGCTGCTGGAGGAGGAGGAGGAGGAGGAGGAGCGGGATGAAGAGCGGGACGAGGAGCAGAACCCGCCCCGAAAGCGGGAACAGCCCGGCCGGAAAACGGAGAAACAGCGGCGCAGGGAGAAGGAGCAGAGGGAGAAGGTGAAAGAGCGGGAACGGGGTCGGGATTGGGGTCGGGATTGAAGGGATTTGGGTCAGGGTTGGGGTTGGGATTGGGATCAGGGTCAGGATTGGGGTCAGGGCCAGGATTGGGGTCAGGGTTGGGGTTGGGATTGGGGTCAGGGTCAGGAATGGGGTCAGGGTTGGGATTGGGGTCAGGATTTGGGTCAGGACTGAAGGGATTGGGGTTAGGGTTGGGGTTGGGATTGGGGTCAGGGTCAGGATTGGGGTCAGCGTTGGGATTAGGGTGAGTATTTGGGTCAGGATTGAAGGGATTTGGGGTCAGGGTTGGGGTTGGGATTGGGACTGAGGGGAGCGGGATGAGGAAAGGATGAGCCATGGGGTGGGATCAGTGGGGACAAGATGGATCCCTGATGGATTGATGGGATCCCTGATGGATTATTTATGGGATCAGGGCTGGGTTTGTGGGATCCCTGATGGATTTATGGGATTCCTGAGGGGTTTATGGGATCAGGGCTGGGTTTGTGGGATCAATGATGGATTTATGGGATCTCTGATGGGTTTATGGGATCAGGGCTGGGTTTGTGGGATCCCTGATGGATTTATGGAATCTCTGATGGATTTATGGGATCAGTGATGGATCAATGATGGATTTATGGGATCAATGATGGATCAATGATGGATTTATGGGATCAATGATGGATCAATGATGGATCTGTGGGATCAGTGATGGATCAGTGATGGATTTATGGGATCAATGATGGATCAATGATGGATTTATGGGATCAATGATGGATCTGTGGGATCAGTGATGGATCAGTGATGGATTTATGGGATCAGGGCTGGATTTATGGGATCAATGATGGATCAATGATGGATTTATGGAATCAGTGATGGATCAGTGATGGATTTATGGGATCCCTGATGGATTTATGGGGTCAGGGCTGGGTTTATGTATCAATAATGGATCAATAATGGATCAATAACAGATTTATGCGATCCCTGCCAGGCCGGTGCCCGTGCCCGCGCCCGCCTGGCGCTGCAGCGGCGGCAGGGGCTGTTCCGGCTGCGCCTCAGGGACGGGCTCGGGGCTGGGGCTGTGGGGTCAGGGCTGGGTTTATGGATCAATGATGGATCTATGGGATCAATAACGGATCAATAACGGATCTATGGGGTCCCTGCCAGGCCGGAGCCCGTGCCCGCGCCCGCCTGGCGCTGCAGCGGCGGCAGGGGCTGTTCCGGCTGTGCTCGCTGCGCCGGGCGCTGCGCCTCAGGGACGCGGAGCTGCGGCGGCGGCGGCTGCTGCGGGATCGGCAACGGCGGCTGCGGGAAACGGCCCCAAAGCGCCTGGGACGGCTCCGGTGGGGAAAATGGGGTTTTGGGGGGAAAAACGGGGATTTGGGGGGGAAAAATGGGGATTTGGGGTGGCAAAATGGGGGTTTGGGGTGGCAAAATGGGGGTTTGGGGGTTTGGGGTGGGAAAATGGGGATTTTGGGGTGTGGCAATGGGAAAAATGAGATTTGGGGTGGGAAAAAATGGGGTTTGAGGGGGGGAAAACGTGGATTTGGGGGGTTGAGGGGGAAAAAATGGGGATTTGGGGGTTTGAGGGGGGAAAAAAATGGGGATTTTGGGGTGTGGGGAGGGAAAAAATGGGGATGTGGGGTGGCAAAATGGGGGTTTGGGGTGGCAAAATGGGGGTTTGGGGTGGCAAAATGGGGGTTTGGGGAGGCAAAATGGGGGTTTGGGGGTTTGGGGTGGGAAAATGGGGATTTTGGGGTGTGGCAATGGGAAAAATGAGATTTGGGGTGGGAAAAAATGGGGTTTGAGGGGGGGAAAATGGGGGTTTTGGGGTGTGGGGAGGGGAAAATGGGATTTGGGGGGGAAAAGAGGATTTGAGGTGGGAAAAATGGGGTTTGGGGAGGGAGAAATGGGGATTGGGGTGGGGTTTTTGGGGTGGGATTTGGGATGATTCCCCCCCCCTTTTTGAGGCCAAATTTGCCAATTTTGGGGCTCTGCAGGTACGAGGACGCCGGGCCCGAGGTGCAGCTGAGCGAGGAACTCCCGGAGTCCCTGCGGCGCCTCCGGGTGGGTGCTGGGAGAAATCCACGTTTTTTGGGGATTTTTAAGGGATTTTTAGGGGGATTTTTGGGGGATTTTTGTGGGGATTTTTGGGGTTTTTTTGTGGGGATTTTTGGGAGAATTTTTGGGGATTTTTGAGCTTTTTTGGGGATTTTTAGGGGGAGTTTTGGGGGGATTTTTTGGGGGGATTTCTTTGGGCATTTTGGGGATTTTTAGGGGGTTTTTTTGGGGGCTTTTTGGAGGACTTTGGGGGGATTTTTAGGGGATTTTTGGGGTCGCAGCTGCCCGTGATGAGACCCATCCTTGCGCTGTGAGAATTCCCAAATTTGGGAATGTGAAGGATTTGGGGGTCCCGGGGTTTTGTCGTGTGGACGAGACCCCGGGAGAGGCTGAGGCTGCTGAGACCCCAAAATTGGTTTATTTTGGGGTTTTTTTTGGGGGGGTGTTGGGGGAGGTTCCTGAGGTCCTAAAAAGTGGGAAATGGCTAAAAAGGATTTTTGGTTTTTTTGGGAATGTCCCAAATTTGCAGCCCGAGGGCAGCGTCCTCCGGGACCGCTTCAAGAGCCTCCAGAGGAGGAACATGATCGAGCCCCGCGAGAGGGCCAAGTGAGTGGGATGGGGAAACCAAAATTGGGGGGAAAACCCAAAATTCAGGGGGGAAAACCCAAAATTGGGGGGGAAAACCCAAAATTCAGGGGGGAAAACCCAAAATTCAGGGGGGAAAACCCACAAAATTCAGGGGGAAATAGCAAAATTTGGGGGTAAAACTCCAAAATCTGGGGGGAAACACTGAAAATTCACAGGGAAACACCAAAACTCAGGGAAATACCCCAAAATTTACAGGGAAACCCCGAAATTCACGGGTAAAACCCCAAAATTTGGGGAAAACCCCCAAAATTCAGGGAAATACCCCAAAATTCACAGGGATACCCCAAAAATTCGGGAGAAACCCCAAAATTTACAGGGAAACCCCAAAATTCACGGGTAAAATCCCAAAATTCGGGGAAAAACCCCAAAATTCAGGGAAATACCCCAAAATTCACAGGGATGCCCCCAAAATTCAGGGGGGAAACCCCAAAATTCAGAGGGAAAACCCCAAAATTCAGGGGGAAACCCCCAAAATTCACAGGAAAAACCCAAAAATTCATGTGAAAAACCCCAGAATCCCGGGGGAACCCCCGAAATTCGGGGGACCCCACGCCCTGAGCCGTTGTCCCGCAGGTTCCGGCGCCGGTACCGGGTGAAGTACGTGGAGAAGCGCAGCTTCAGGGCCGTCACGTGAGTCTGGGGGCGCCGGGGGGGACCCCCAAAATTTGGGACCCCCCCTGACCCCCCCTGACCCCAACCCCCCCTCTCTGTTCCAGGCTTTGAGCGGGGACCCCCCAAAAAATAAATTCCGTGGAGCCGCCGCGGGCCCGGGGGTCTTTTTGGGAATTTTTGGGGTGGGGAGGGGGCAACTGAGGGAATTTTGGGGGTCTGAGCCCATTTTGGGGGAAAACTGAGACATTTTGGGGGTTCTGACCCTTTTTTGGGAGGTTCTGAGCTCAATTTGGGGTTTCTGAGCCCATTTTTTGGGTTCTGAGCCCATTTTGGGCATTCTGAGCCCATTTTTGGGGTTCTGAGCCCAATTTGGGGGTTCTGAGCCCAATTTGGGGGGTTCTGAGCCCATTTTGGGGGGTTCTGAGCCCATTTTTGGGGTTTCTTAGCCCATTTTAGGAGCGTCTGAGCCCATTTTGGGGGTTCTGACCCCATTTTTGGGGGTCCCACCCCATTTTGGGGTTTCTGAGCCCATTTTGAGGGGTTCTGAGCCCATTTTGGGGGTTCTGAGCCCAATTTGGGGGTTCTGAGCCCAATTTGGGGGTTCTGAGCCCATTTTGGGGGTTCTAAGCTCATTTGGGGGGGGGTCTGACCCCATTTTGGGGGGTTTGACCCCATTTTTTTAACTTAAATAAATCCAAATTTCCCTTAAATAAATCCAAACAGACCAAATTAATACAAATCCCCCTTTTAATAAATACACCCCAAAATAAATAAAAACAAATAAAAACATTCCTAAATTAAATACAAATCTCTCTAAAATAAATATAAACACCCCAAAATAATCACAAACCTCCCCTCTTAATAAATGAACCCCAAAATAAATTAAATATTTTCTAAATTGAATACAAATCTCTCTAAAATAAATAAAACCTTCCTAAAATAAATACAAACCTTCCTAAAATAAATACAAACCTTCGTACAATAAATAAATTCTTGCTGAAATAAATACAAATCTCACTAAAATAAATACAAACACCCCAAAATAAATACAAATTTCACTGAAATAAATACGAATTTCACTAAATTAAATACAAACACCTCAAAATAAATAAAAATTTCATTGAAATAAATACAAACCTCACTAAATTAAATACGAATTTCACTAAAACAAATACAAATTTCATTAAAATAAATACAAATGTCATTAAAATAAATAAAAACACCCCAAAATAAACCTGGCTGCCCCCCCAAAAAAATCCTCCCAGTCCCGTTTGCACCTGGGGGGGCCAAAATCCAACGCGGGGGAATAAAAGCAGCAGCAACTTTTGGGGTGAAACCCCAAATTTGGAGATTTTGGGGAAGAAATTTGGGGGTTCTGGGGGTGCAGAAGCAGCGGAACGGCGGCTCCGGGTCGCGGCGGCTCCGGGGGGATTTGGGGCCAAACTTCGGCATTTTGGGTCTGGGCTCCTCCCCGGCGGCATTCGGCTGCGGAATCGCGACATTTCGGGGGGAATTTCGGCTTTTTTGGGGCAGTTCCGTCGCCAATCCTTGGGAATTTGGGGGTGAAATCCTGGGAGTTTCCACCCCGATGGTTTTGGGGAGAAACCCCGGCGGTTTGGGGCTGAAATCCCGAGAGTTTGGGGGTGATCCCTTCTGAATTGGGCTGAAATCCTGAAAGTTTGGGTCTGACCCCCTCCAAATTGGGCTGAAATCCTCAAAGTTTGGGTCTGACCCCCTCCAAATCGGGCTGAAATCCCGACAGTTTGGGGCGATTCCTGCTCCTTTTCAGTCCAAACTCAGCGATTTTGGCTCCAATACTGGCGATTTCAGTTCCAAATCCCGACAATTTTGGTTCCAAACCCGGCGATTTTGGCTCCAAATCCCGACAATTTTGGTTCCAAACCCGGCGATTTTGGTTCCAAACCCGGCGATTTTGGCTCCAAATCCCGACAGTTTTGGTTCCAAACCCGGCGATTTTGGCTCCAATTCCGGCGATTTCAGTTCCAAATCCCGACAGTTTTGGTTCCAAACCCGGCGATTTTGGTTCCAAACCCGGCGATCTTGGCTCCAAATCCCGACAGTGGTGGCGGCTCCGAGCTCCAGTGACCCGGGGCTGCCATCCAGCAGCTGTGGCCCCAGACCCCGACAGTTTGGGGTGAAATCCCAACGGTTTGGTTCCAAATCCTTCCCAGTTCTGGCTCCAGTCCCACCAGTTTGGGACCAAAACCTTCCCAATTTTCCAGTCCAGGGCTGAACTCCTGCCCAGTCCCTGTCTTGATCTTAATCCTAGTCCTGTCCACCCCAATCCCATCCCAATCCCATCCCGATCCCAGTCCTGATCCCATCCTAACCCCAATCCCATCCCAGTCCCAGTCCCAAACTTTCCATCCCAATCCCATCCCAATCCAAACCCAATCCTGATCCCATCCCAGTCCAAACCCAATCCCAATCCCATCCCAATCCAGACCCAATCCTGATCCCATCCCAGTCCAAACCCAAATCCCATCCCAATCCAAACCCAAATCCCATCCCAATCCCAGCCCCATCACACGTAAACCGAGTCGCTGGACTGCGTCCTGCCCAGCGCGGGCTCTGATCCCGATCCCATCCCAATCCAAACCCAATCCTGATCCAATCCAATCCCAATTTCGATCCCATCCCAATCCAAACCCAATCCCACCCCGTCACACGTAGGCCGACTCGCTGGACTGCGTCCTGCCCAGCGCGGGCTCCGATCCCGTTCTATCCCAATCCCAATTTTGATCCCATCCCAATCCAAACCCAATCCCAATCCCACTCCCAGACCATCACATGTAGGCTGACTCGCTGGACTGCGTCCTGCCCAGCGCGGGCTCCAATCCAATCCCAGTTTCGATCCCATCCCAAACCCAATCCCAATTTCGATCCCATCCCAATCCAATCCCAATCCCATCCCACTCCCACCCCTCACACGTAGGCCGACTCACTGGACTGCGTCCTGCCCAGCGCGGGCTCCAATCCAATCCCAATTTCGATCCCATCTCAATCCCAATTTCCATCCCATCCCAATCCAAACGCAATCCCAATCCCATCCCAATCCCAATCCCACCCCGTCAGACGTAGGCCGACTCGCTGGACTGCGTCCTGCCCAGCGCGGGCTCCGATCCCGTTCCATCCCAATCCCAATTTCGGTTCCATCCCAATCCAATCCCAATTTCGATCCCATCCCAATCCAAACCCAATCCCAATTTCGATCCCATCCCAATCCCAATCCCACCCCATCACACGTAGGCCGACTCGCTGGACTGCGTCCTGCCCAGCGCGGGCGCGGGCGCCGCCGGCTCCTTGCGCCGCGCCTCGCTCAGGCTCTTGCGGCGCGCGCGGGCCCCGCGCACGGCGGCGCGCACCTTGCGCCAGCCCAGGTGGTTGAGCTCGGCCAGGTTGAGCAGCACGCAGACGCCCGAGACGGCGAACATGAACACCAGGAAGACGCTCTTCTCGGTGGGCCGCGACACGTAGCACTCCACCTCCTTGACGCACGGGTAGCGGTCGCACTCGAAGATGGCCGGCACGTTGAAACCGTAGAGGAAGTACTGCCCGCCCAGGAAACCGATCTCCAGCGCGTTCCGGAACACCACCTGGGCAGGAAGGGACAGGTGAGGGGTTGGGGGATGTCCTGAGATCTTCTGGACACCACCTGGGCACGAGGGGACAGGTGAGGGGTTGGGGATGTCCTGAACTCCACCTGGGCAGGAGGGGACAGGTGAGGGGTGGAGGATGTCCTGAGATCTTCTGGACACCACCTGGGCAGGAGGGACAGGTGAGGGATAAGGACAGGTCTGAGATCCTCCTGGGATGTCCTGAGATCCTCCTGAACACCACCTGGGCAGGAGGGGACAGGTGAGGGGTCAGGGACAGGTCTGAGATCCTCCTGAACACAACCTGGGCAGGAGGGACAGGTGAGGGGTTGGGGATGTCCTGGAACCCTCCAGAACACCACCTGGGCACAGAGGGGACAGGTGAGGGGTTGGGGGATGTCTTGAGATCTGGACACCACCTGGGCAAGGAGAGGGACAGGTGAGGGGTCAGGGACAGGTGAGGGTCAGGGACAGGTGAGGGGTCAGGGACAGATGAGGGGTCAGGGACAGGTGAGGGGTCAGGGACAGGTGAGGGGTCAGGGACAGGTGAGGAGTTGCATGTTGCCCTGGAACCTTCCGGAACGCCGCCTGGGCAAGGAGAGGGACAGGTGAGGAGTTGCAGGATGCCCTGGAACCTTCCGGAACACCACCTGGGCAGGAAGGGACAGGTGAGGGCTCAGGGACAGGTGAGGGCTCAGGGACAGGTGAGGGTCAGGGACAGGTGAGGGGTCAGGGACAGGTGAGGAGTTGCGTGTTGCCCTGGAACCTTCCGGAACACCACCTGGGCGCGCGGCACCCACCTGGATGACGTAGAACCTGGAGATGCCCTCCTGGCGCTTGGCCTTGGCGCTGCGGGGCGGCCGTGCCGGTGCCGCCGTGCCCGTGCCCGTGCCCGTGCCCACCTCGGGCTCGTGCCGCGGCGCCGGGGCCGGCGCGGCTCCGTCCGCCCCGTGCCGGCGCGGCTCCAGCAGCGGCGCCAGGAAGGAGCAGCGGCGCTCGCGCTGCTTGGCCGCCTGGTGCACGGAGTAGGTGATGAAGCAGAGGCTGGGCGTGCACACCAGGATGATCTGGAACACCCAGTAGCGGATGTGCGAGATGGGGAAGGCCTTGTCGTAGCACGCCTGGTTGCAGCCCGGCTGCAGCGTGTTGCACATGAACATGGTCTGCTCGTCCTCGTACACCGTCTCGCCCACGATGGCCACGATCAGGATGCGGAAGATGACCACCACGGTCAGCAGGATCCTGCGGAGTGACCACAGGGTCAGCAGGGTCAGGGAGTGACCACAGGGACAGGGAGTGACCACCACGGTCGGCAGGATCCTGGGGATGGACACAGGGACAGGGAGTGACCACCACCGTCAGCAGGATCCTGCAGGGTGGACATCACGGTCAGCAGGGTCAGGGAGTGACCACAGGGACAAGGGAGTGACCACCACGGTCAGCAGGGTCAGGAATGACCACCACGGTCAGCAGGATCCTGCAGTGACCACAGGGACAGGGAGTGACCACAGGGACAGGGAGTGACCACAGGGACAGGCAGTGACCACCACGGTCAGCAGGATCCTGCAGAGTGACCACAGGGAGTGACCACAGGGACAGGGAGTGACCACAGGGACAAGGGAGTGACCACAGGGACAAGGGAGTGACCACCACGGTCAGCAGGATCCTGCAGGGTGACCACAGGGAGTGACCACCACGGTCAGCAGGATCCTGCAGAGTGACCACAGGGAGTGACCACAGGGACAAGGGAGTGACCACAGGGACAAGGGAGTGACCACCAGGATCAGCAGGATCCTGGGGGTGGACACAGGGACAGGGAGTGACCACAGGGAGTGACCACCACGGTCAGCAGGATCCTGCAGAGTGACCACAGGGAGTGACCACAGGGACAAGGGAGTGACCACCACGGTCAGCAGGATCCTGGGGGTGGACACAGGGACAGGGAGTGACCACAGGGACAGGGAGTGACCACCACAGTCAGCAGGATCCTGCAGGGTGACCACAGGGAGTGACCACCACGGTCAGCAGGATCCTGGGGGTGGACACAGGGAGTGACCACAGGGTCAGGGAATGACCACCACGGTCAGCAGGATCCTGCAGAGTGACCACAGGGAGTGACCACAGGGACAAGGGAGTGACCACCACGGTCAGCAGGATCCTGGGGGTGGACACAGGGACAGGGAGTGACCACAGGGACAAGGGAGTGACCACCACGGTCAGCAGGATCAGGAATGACCACCACGGTCAGCAGGGTTAGGGAGTGACCACAGGGACAGGGAGTGACCACAGGGACAGGGAGTGACCACAGGGACAAGGAATGACCACCACGGTCAGCAGGATCAGGAATGACCACCACGGTCAGCAGGGTTAGGGAGTGACCACAGGGAGTGACCACAGGGACAAGGGAGTGACCACCACGGTCAGCAGGATCCTGGGGGTGGACACAGGGACAGGGAGTGACCACCACGGTCAGCAGGGTCAGGGAGTGACCACAGGGAGTGACCACCACGGTCAGCAGGGTCAGGAATGACCACCACGGTCAGCAGGATCCTGGGAGTGGACACCACGGTCAGCAGGGTCAGGGAGTGACCACAGGGACAGGGAATGACCACAGGGACAAGGGAGTGACCACCAGGGTCACCTGGGGTCACACCCGGGTCCCACCTGGGGTCACCTGGGTCACACCCGGGTCACACCCGGGTCCCACCTGGGGTTACCTGGGTCACACCCGGGTCACACCCGGGTCACACCTGCCCCCCCAGTCCCCCCGGGCTTTGTCGCAGGTGCCCTGCGGGGGTGGGGACAGCTTTGGGGACACGTGGGGGAGGGGCTGTCCCCGTGTCACCGGTGCCACCCGAGGGGAGGTGACAGCGGGGAGGGGCCAGCGGCGGGGGAGGGGCAGCGGGGGGGCGGAGAGGGGATTTTTGGGTCCCCGGGGGGATTTTTGGGTCCGGGTGGGGGATTTGGGGGTCCCGGGGGGGATTTGGGGGTCCCGGGGGGTCTCAGGCAGGGGAGGGAGGGGGGGGTTTGGGATTTCAGGGTGGATTTGGGGTGTCCGGGTGGGATTTAGGGTCCAGGGACAGATTCGGGGTGGAATTGTGGGGTCCCGGGTGGGATTTGGGGTGGGATTTCGGGATCCCGGGTGGGATTTGGGGTGGGATTTCGGGATCCGGGTGGGATTTCGGGATCCCGGGTGGGATTTTGGGGGTCCCGGGTGGGATTCCGGGGGTCCCGGGGGGTCGCTGACCTGCCGATCATGGTGGAGTGCTGCTGCACCGCCGCCTCCAGCAGCCGCTCCAGGATGGTCCATTCGCCCATGGCTCCGGCCCGGGGGGCGCCGGGACCCCCCGAGCCCCCCGGGACCCCCCCCGGGACCCCCCGGGACCCCCCGGGACCCCCCGGGACCCCCCGGGACCCCCCCGGGACCCCCCCGGGACCCCCCGGGACCCCCCCGGGACCCCCCGGCTCAGCAGCGGCGCCCCCCCCCGCCCCCCGGGATCGGGCGGATCCAGCGGATCCCCGGGATCCATCGAGCCCCGAGCGCTGGGGGAGGGGAGGGGGCGGGACTGGGAGGGACTGGGAGCACTGGGAGGGGACTGGGGGGTACTGGGAGGGACTGGGAGCACTGGGGGCGGGACTGGGAGGGGACTGGGGGGGACTGGGAGGGACTGGGAGTGACTGGGAGCGTTGGGGGCGGGACTGGGGGTGTTATACTGGGGGTGATACTGGTTATACTGGGGGGGACTGGGAGCACTGGGGAGCCTGCGACTGGGGGGTGATACTGGTTATACTGGCGGGGGACTGGGAATATTGGGGGTTTATACTGGGGGGTTATACTGGTTATACCGGGGTTACACTGGGCACAACCTCCAGGAAAACCAGTTCTGGTGCACCGCCATAACCAGTGCGCCCCAGTATAACCAGTCCATCCCCAGTATAACCAGTCCATCCCCAGTATAACCAGTCCATCCCCCTGGCATCTCTATACTGGTTTCACTGGTCCCAGCGGTGGTCCCGTACTGGTTTCACTGGTTTCACTAGTGGTCCCGTACTGGTTTCACGGGTGGTCCCGTACTGGTTTTACTGGTTTCTCCGGTGGTCCCGTACTGGTTTTACTGGTTTCACTGGTGGTCCCATACTGGTTTTACTGGTTTTTCCGGTGGTCCCATACTGGTTTCTCCGGTGGTCCCGTACTGGTTTCACGGGTGGTCCCGTACTGGTTTTACTGGTGGTCCCGTACTGGTTTTACTGGTTTCTCCGCTGGTCCCGTACTGGTTTTACTGGTTTCTCCGGTGGTCCCGTACTGGTTTTACTGGTTTCAGAGGTGGTCCCGTACTGGTTTTACTGGTTTATCCGGTGGTCCCGTACTGGTTTTACTGGTTTCACTGGTGGTCCCGTACTGGTTTTACTGGTTTCACGGGTGGTTCCGTACTGGTTTTACTGGTTTCACTGGTGGTCCCGTACTGGTTTCTCCGCTGGCCCCGCCCCCGCGCATGCGCAGTTGCCGCCATGGCGCCGCTCCCAGTCCATGTCCTTTACTGGTACCGGGGGGCCCAAACTGGGGGGGCCCCAAATACGGGGGGGTCCCCAAATGTGGGGGGGGTCCCCAAATGTGGGGAGGGTCTCTGAGCCCCGGGGGAGACCCCAATTCTGGGGGGATGGTCCCCAATCCCGAGGGGGTCCCTAATCCCGGGGGGAGGGAGGTCCCGAATTCCGGGGGGGGTCCCCAATTCCGGGAGGGGTCCCCAATTCCGGGAGGGGTCCCCAATTCCGGGGGGGGGGTCCCCAATTCCGGGAGGGGTCCCCAATTCCGGGGGGGGTCCCCAATTCCGGGAGGGGTCCCCAATTCCGGGGGGGGTCCCCAATTCCGGGAGGGGTCCCCAATTACGGGGGGGGTCCCCAGTCCCGAGGGGGGTCTCCAGTTTTGGGTGAGGGTCCCAAATTCAAGGGGAGGGGGGTGTCCCCAATTCTGGCTTTGTCCCCAGTTCCGGGGGGGGTCCCAAATTCCGGGGGGGGTCCCCAATTTTGGGTGAGGGTCCCTAATTCTGGGGGTGTCCCAAATCCCGGGTGGGGGTCCCCAATTTTGGGTAAGGGTCTCCAATTTCGGGGGGGGTGTCCCCAAATCCCAGCTGGGGGTCCTCAATTCTGGGTGAGGGTCCCCAATTTTGGGGCGGTGTCCCCAATTTTGGGGGGGTCCCCATTTTCACCCCTCCCCCAGCGGAGCCTGAGGCTACAAACCCAAGGTGAGCCCCTCCCCCACCCCCTTCCCTGCCCCCTCCCCAAAATCCGGGGGTGGGGGAGGGGGGGTACCCCAAATCCCCCCGGGGGGGTACCCCAAAACCCCCCCAGCCCCACCAGTGACCCCCCCCCCCATTCCCAGTTTGAGCAGCTGCGGCGGGAACTGGAGCGGCGCTTCCCGGGAGCCCTGGACGTGGTGGGTCTGGGGACCCCGATTTTGGGGTGAATTCCCGGGATTTTGGGGGGAATTCCCGGGATTTTGGGGGGAATTCCCTGGATTTTGGGGGGATGTGCAGGATTTGGGGTGAATTCCCAGGGTTTGGGGGTGAATTCCCAGGATTTGGGGTGAATTCCCAGGATTTTGGGGTGAATTCCCAGGATTTTGGGGGTGAATTCCCATGATTTTGGGGGTGAATTCCCAGGATTTTGGGGGTGAATCCACAGGATTTTGGGGGTGAATCCACAGGATTTTGGGGTGAATTCCCAGGATTTTGGGGGTGAATTCCCAGGATTTGGGGTGAATTCCCAGGATTTTGGGGGTGAATTCCCAGGATTTTGGGGGTGAATTCCCAGGATTTGGGGTGAATTCCCAGGATTCTGGGGGTGAATTCCCAGGATTTGGGGTGAATTCCCCAGATTTTGGGGGGATGTGCAGGATTTGGGGTGAATTCCCAGGATTCTGGGGGCGGGACAAAACCCCCACTTGAATTTGGGGTGGGATCCAGAGGATTTTGGGGGGGGGTTTTGGGGTCCCCCAGGATTTTTGGGGGGGTCTCTCAGCTGCCCCCCCCCCCCAGCGCGGCCAGGGCACCCCGGAGGTGACGGGATGGTTTGAGGTGACCGTGGGGGGACGCCTGGTCCACTCCAAAAAGGTGGGTGCCCCTCCCCCACCCCCGTTTTGGGGTGTCTCCCCTCCCCCACCCCCATTTTGGGGTGTCCCCCCCGACCCCGTCCCCATTTTTGGGGTGTCCCCCCCAGAACGGCGATGGCTTCGTGGACAGCGAGCCCAAACTGCGCCGGATCGCGGCCGCCATCGAGTCCCGCCTGGCCTAGGCCCCGCTAGGGCAGCGCTGTCGCGACATGGCGCGAGAGACGGCAGATATCGCGATAGAGCGGGGGGATCGATGGATATCGCGATAGAGCGGGTGGGATCGATGGGATATCGCGATATATTGGCCGATATCGGTAGATATTGGTAGACGGCAATGGGTATCGCGATATATCGGGAGATATCGATGGATATCACGATATACTGGCAGATATTGGTAGACGGCAATGGGTATCGCGATATATCGGGAGATATTGATGGATATCGTGATTTATCAGCAGAGGTTGATTGATATCGTGATGTACCAGGAAATACCAGAAGATACTGGCAGATATTGCGATATATGGGGAGATATTGATGGTTATCGCGATATATCAGGAGATATTGGTGGATATCGCGATACGCCAGCAAATATCGCCGGATATCACGATATATCGGGAGATATCACAATATATCGGGAGATATCGCCGGATATCACGATATATCGGGAGATATCACAATATATCGGGAGATATCGCCGGATATCACGATATATCAGGAGATATCACCGGATATCGCGATATATGAGGAGATATCGCCGGATATCGCGATATATCGGGAGCCATCTCGGGACATGTCGCGACAGCGCTGCCCCCCCCGGCCCCCCGCCCCCCCCGCTCCATGACGGGAATCGCCGAAACGCCGCCGGCACCGGCGCTGCCCCGACCCCGCGCGGGAGGGACGCGGGGCCCAGCCCCCCCAAAACCCCCAAACTTCACCCCAAAATTCTCACATCCCACCCAAACCCCCCCCGATCCCCAGAGTCCCCCAAAATTTCACCCCAGATCCCTCAGAGCCCACCCAAAATCCCAACATTTCACCCCAAATCCCTCAAATCCCACCCTGACCCCTCAGAGCCCACCCAAAATTCCAAAATTTCACCCCAAATCCCACCCAAAATCCACTCTGACCCCCAGAGCCCGCCCGAAATCCCAAAATTTCGCCCCAAAATTCACAAATCCCACCCTGACCCCCAGAGCCCACCCAAAAATCCCAAAATTTCACCTCAAATCCCACCCAAAACCCACCCTGAACCCTCAGAGCCCACCCAAACCCCTGAAATTTCACCCAAAATCCTGTGGATCCAACCCAAAATCTCTCCATTCCACCCAAAATCCTCAAATTTCACCCAAAATCTCTTTATTTCACCCAAAACCCTCAAATCCCACCCAAAACCCTCAAATCCCACCCAAAGCCCCTCGGAGCCCACCCAAAATCCCAAAATTCCACCCCAAAACCCCTCAAACCCACCCAAAACATTCCAATATTTCCTTCCGCCCCAAATCCTTCATGTCCCACCCCAAAAATTTTTTTTTTCCCCTCTCCCAAAATTCCCCTTTTACCCCCAAATCCTTCCCCTCGCTGCCTTCGCCGCTGCCGTTTTGGGCCAAAATCACCTTTTTTTTGGGGTTTTCCTCCTGCGGAGGGCTCCTGGCAGGGTGAAAAATGGGGAAAAACTCTTTGAAAGCACTGCAAATGTGTTATTATTTCTTTGTTTCCCCGGTTTCTGGGATCTCTGTGGCCTTTTGGGAATAAAACTTTGGAATTTTGAGCCCAATTTGGGGCTGTTTTTTGGTTTTAAGTGATTTTAGGGGAAATTGGAGGGATGAGGGCTGCGCCTCCTTCCAGGCTCTTCAAAATTCCATTTTTTTGTTAATCCTAAAAATTGACAGTATGGAATTGTGGAATTTTGGGAATAAAAGGATGGCAAATTGAACTGGATTTTGGGTTGTTGCAGGGGATTTTTGGGTTGTTTCAGGGGGATTTTGGGTTGTTTCAGGGGGATTTTGGGTTGTTTCAGGGCCTTTTTTTTTTCAGGGGGATTTTGGGTTGTTTCAGGGGGTTATGGGTTGTTTCAGGGGATTTTTTTGGGTTGTTTCAGGGGGATTTTGGGTTGTTTCAGGGGGATTTTGGTCATTTCAGGACATTTTTTGGATCAACGCACTCTGAGCTCTTCAAAACTTAATTCCTTTACTTAACCCTAAAAGAAACCCACATGAAATCGTGGAAGCGCTCATTTTGGGAATAAAAGACTCAAAACCGAGCCGGTTCTGGTTACTTTTGTGAGTTTTTTGGGGTTTTTGTGGGTTTATCGTTTGTTTTCAAGGGGAGAGAGACCTGAAGGAGCAATGAAACCTCGCTCCGAGCTCTCCCAAACCCCGTCCTCCGGCATAAACCCCCAAACCCAACACCCCGCGGTTGGGGAATGACGGGAATTACGGGATTTAGTGAATTTATGGGATTTTAAGGCTGGAAAAAACCGAGAAACCCCCTCACGGCGCCCAAGATGGCGGCGGCCAAGATGGCGGCGCGGCCTCACCTCAGCCGACCCCGCCCCCTCCCCCCCCCCGTTCCCGCCCGCCGCGCGCGGGGCACGACGGGAACCGCCCTCAGCCGGGACCCGCCATTTTCTGCCGGGAAAGGCGGGAAGGGGGAGAGCGAACCTGCACCGCGGGACCCGCACGGCTCCAGCGCCGCCGCCAGCGCCGCTCGCAGGTACCGGCAGCGCCGCGTCGGTACCGGGGGGCTGGTGAAGGGGGGAAGGACCGGGGAGGCTCCGGTGCGCGGGGTAGGGGGGGGTGGGGGGGGGGGGACCGGGGTCGCCTGAGGAGACGCTGCTCCTCAGTCCCGCCTTCCGTGCGGTGCCGCGCGCTGATTGGCTAGGAGGCCGGGGCGTGATTGGCTGCGAGGCGCGTCAGTCAAAGGGGCGGAGCGCGAGCGCCGCCTCGCCGGCGAATCAGCGGGGGCCTCGCGGAGGCTTCTGGGTGCGGTAGTTCGCCGGCAGCGTGGGCGCCGCTTTCAGCCAATCAGGCTTCGGGGCGGGGAGCGGTCATGTGACGCGGCGCGCGGGGCGCTGCTGGGAGTTGTAGTCGCGTAGGCCGCGCGCGGCCCTCGCCCGGTTTCTTTTTTTTGTTGTTTTGTTTTGTTTTTTCCCGTTTTTCCCGTTTTTCGCCCCGTTTTTCTCTCTCCCCGCCCTTGGCAGGCTGTGACGGCCCGGAATGGCCCGCACCAAGCAGACGGCTCGGAAATCTACCGGCGGCAAAGCGCCGCGCAAGCAGCTGGCCACCAAGGCGGCCCGGAAGAGCGCGCCGTCCACGGGCGGCGTCAAGAAACCGCACCGCTACCGGTAACTGGGCAAACTGGGCAAACTGGGAGGGACTGGGAGGGCACTGGGGGATACTGGGAGGGCACTGGGGGGATACTGGGCAGTAACTGGGGGTACTGGGAGGAAAGTCGGGTGGGACACAGGGACAGGTGAGGCCCCAGGTGGGTGCTGGGGACAGGTGAGGCCCCGGGTGGGTGCCCGGTGCCCCCCAGGTGGGTGCCCGGTGCCCCCAGGTGGGTGCCCGGTGCTCCCCGGGTGGGTGCTCGGTGCCCCCAGGTGGGTGCCCGGTGCCCCCGGGTGGGTGCCCGGTGCCCCCCAGGTGTGCCCACAGCACCTTTTTCCCCCCCCAGCCCCGGCACGGTGGCGCTGCGCGAGATCCGGCGCTACCAGAAATCCACGGAGCTGCTGATCCGGAAGCTTCCGTTCCAGCGGCTGGTGCGGGAGATCGCGCAGGACTTCAAAACCGACCTGCGCTTCCAGAGCGCCGCCATCGGCGCCCTGCAGGTGAGGGCCACACCTGGGCACACCTGGGTACAGCTGGGCACACCTGGGTACAGCTGGGGGCACACCTGGGCACACCTGGGTACTGACCCAAAACCGACCTGCGCTTCCAGAGCGCCGCCATCGGCGCCCTGCAGGTGAGGGGCACACCTGGGCACACCTGGGCACACCTGGGTACAGCTGGGGGCACACCTGGGTACACCTGGATACACCAGGGCACACCTGGGCAGGTGAGGGGCACACCTGGGCACAGCTGGATACACCAGGGCACACCTGGGCAGGTGAGGGGCACACCTGGGTACACCTGGGTACAGCTGGGTGCACACCTGGGCACACCTGGGTACTGACGCAAAAGCCACCTGCGCTTCCAGAGCGCCGCCATTTGTGTCCTTTGTCACACCTGTGTGTGTCACACCTGTGTCACACCTGTCACACACCTGTCCCACACCTGTCTCACCTGCAGGAGGCCAGCGAGGCGTACCTGGTGGGGCTGTTTGGGTACACGGGGGGGTGACACAGGGACAGGGAGGTGACAGGTGTGTCACACACCTGTATCTCACACCTGTATCTCACCTGTCTCACCTGTCAGGAGGCCAGCGAGGCGTACCTGGTGGGGCTGTTCGAGGACACCAACCTGTGCGCCATCCACGCCAAGCGCGTCACCATCATGCCCAAGGACATCCAGCTGGCGCGGCGGATCCGCGGCGAGCGCGCCTGAGTCCCGCGGATCCGGGAAAATCCGGGCGGGATTGCGGCCATTCCGCCACTCCCGCCGCTTTTGGGGCAAATTCCTCCTTTTTTTGTACGCTCGGGGGCGGGCTGGGGCTCCCCGGTTTTCTACGCGCGGTTTTGGGGGGGAAAAGAGGAATTTCGGGGGGAAAAAGGGGAATTTTGGGGGGGAAAAGTGGAATTTTGGGGGGGAAAGGGGAATTTTGGGGGGAAAAACTGGAATTTTGGGAGTGGGGGGATAAAAAGGGGAATTTCGGGGCGGTGCCGAGGTGTCGGAATAAAGAGAAAATCCCGCAGAAATTCCGGGTTCCTTCGGGGTTCCTCCCGGATTTTTGGGGTTCCTCAAATCCCAGCCTTTCACCCCAAAATCCCGGACTCCAAATTCCCAAAAATTCGGGTTTTTTTGGGGTGGTTTTCCCCTTTTTGGTTGGGTTTTTTTGGGGGGGGTTTTATGGATGCTTGAGATATTCCGTATTTTGGGAATTCCCGGTTTTCCAGGCGTCGTTTGGGGGTAAAAAGGGGGAATTTGGGGGTGGGGGGGGCGCTGTGACCCCGACTGTGCCGGAATTTAAAAAATCCCAGGAAAATCCCCAATTTCCTGGGAATTCCACCCAAATTTTTGGGAATTCTCAAATTCCCGCCCTTTATCCCAGGATTTCAGGAATGGGGCCAGGTTAATTAGGAAATGGGAAGTTAATTAAGGTGGGCGTGGCTTCCCCACCTTCCTAAAATAAGGAAAATCCCCAATTTCTGTGGAATCCACCCGAATTTTTGGGGATTTCTCAAATTCCCGCTTTTTATCCCAGAATTTGGAGACTGGGGCGGGGTTAATTAATTAATTGGTTAGGGAATGGAGGGGTTAATTAGGGAGTGGGGGGGTTGAGGTGGGCGTGACCTCCCACCTGCCCAAAATAGGGAAAATCCCAGGAAAATCCCCAATTCCCTGGGAATTCCACCCAAATTTTTGGGGATTTTTGGGAGCGGAGCGGAATTAATTAATTAGGAAATGGTGGGTTAATTAGGAAATGGGGGGGGTTAATTAGGGAATGGGGGGTTAATTGTGGTGGGCGTGGCTTCCCCACCTTGCTAGAATAAGGGAAATAGCAGGAAAATTCTCAATTTCCTGAGAATTCCACCCAAATTTTTGGGGATTTCCCGGGTCTGTGCCCGGCCCGGGCGGGGGAGGGGCGGGATTAGCCCGGGCCAAACCGGGCCAAACCGGGATCAGCCGGATTAGGGGGAGGGGCGGCACCTGGGCCCGGGGGGGGAGGGGCGGGGGGAGGGGCAGGGGGGGCCGAGAGGGAAATTCCCCCAAAAATGGGAAAATTCCCCCAAAAATGGAGAAATTCCCACAAAAAAATGGAGAAATTCCCCCCAAAAATGGAGAAATTCCCCCAAAAAATGGGAAAATTCCCCCAAAAATGGAGAAATTCCCCCAAAAATGGGGAAATTGGGGCGATTCCCGTGAGACTAGCCCGGGGTTTGGGTTAAAAATAGAGCGGGTTCTGATTTAAAAATTCAGATTTTTGTGTTAAAAATAGAGGTGATTTTGATTTAAAATCCAATTTTTTTATAGTAAGGATAGAGGGGATTTTGATTTTTAAAAATTCAATTTTTATATTAAAAATAGAGAGGGTTTTGATTAAAAAATTCAAATTTTTGTCTCAAAAATATAGGAGATTTTGATTTAAAAATCCAATTTTTTACAGAAGGATAGAGGGGATTTTGATTTTTAAAAATCCAACTTTTGTGTTAAAAACAGAGGGGATTTTGATATAAATACCAGATTTTTGATATTAAAGAAGTGTAAAAAGTTTTCATTTAAAAATCCTATTTTTTTGTACTAAAAGTAGGGAGGATTTTGATTAAGAAAGCCAATTTTTTATATTAAAAATAGAGATTTTAATGTAAGTAGCCAATTTTTAATATGAAAAATAGAGAAGATTTTGATGTAAGTATCCAATTTTTTTTATTAAAAATAGGGGGAATTTTGATTTACAATACAATTTTATATTTAAAATAGAAGTTTGATTAAAAATCCATTTTTTAATATTAAAAAATAGGAGAACTTTTATTTTAAAATCCAACTTTTTAGATTAAAAACAGAGGGGATTTTGATTAGAAAATCAGATTTTTTTAATGTGAAAAAAAAGGAGAATTTTGATTTTAAAATCCAAATTGACATTAAAAACAGGAGAATTTTGATTTTTAAAAATCCAATTTTTTTTTTCCACGTTGCTCCTTCCCCATTTCCCCCCCCGCGATGTCCCTGCGATGTCCCCACAATGTCCCCGAGTGTCCCCTCAGCCCAGACGTGGCAGCTGGGCCGGGATTAGTGACACCCCCCCCCAAAAATGTCACCTCAGAGCCAGCTCGGTGCCACCCCCCGTCCCCAAATCTGTCCTGGTGTCCCCAAATCTGTCCTGGTGTCCCCAAATCCTGATGTCCCCAAACCCTGGTGTCCCCAAATCTGTCCCGATGTCCCCAAATCTGTCCTGGTGTCCCCAAATCCCGGTGTCCCCAAGTCCCAGTGTCCCCCCCATGTCCTCTCTCTGTCCCCCCATGTCCCACTCCTGTCCCCCCCTCTGTCCCCCCTTTTGTCCCCCTTCCATGTCCCCCCAATGTCCCCCAATGTCCCCTAATGTCCCCCCAGTGTCCCCCAATGTCCCCTTTGTGTCCCCTCAATGTCCCCCCATATGCCCCATGTCCCCCAGTGTCCCCTCAATGTCCCCTCAGTGTCCCCCCCAGTGTCCCCCCCAGTGTCCCCTCAATGTCCCCCCCAGTGTCCCCCCAGTGTCCCCCCAGTGTCCCCTCATATCCCCAATGTCCCCCAGTGTCCCCCCAGTGTCCCCCAGTGTCCCCCCAATGTCCTCTTTGTCCCCCCCAGTGTCCCTCAATGTCCCCTCAGTGTCCCCCCCAGTGTCCCCTCAATGTCCCCCCATATCCCCAATGTCCCCCAGTGTCCCCCCAGTGTCCCCCCAGTGTCCTCCCAGTGTCCCCCAGTGTCCCCCAATGTCCCCCCAGTGTCCCCCAATGTCCCCTTTGCCTTTGTGTCCCCCCAAGTGTCCCCCCAATGTCCCCCCATATCCCCAATGTCCCCCAATGTCCCCCCAGTGTCCCCTCAATGTCCCCTCAGTGTTCCCCCAGTGTCCCCTCACTGTCCCCTCAGTGTCCCCCCCAGTGTCCCTTCGATGTCCCCCCAGTGTCCCCCAATGTCCCCCCAGTGTCCCCTCAGTGTTCCCCCAGTGTCCCCTCACTGTCCCCTCAGTGTCCCCCCATGTCCCCCCCCGTGTCCCCCCCGTTAATTGGTGCCACTCCGGATTAGCGGTGGCCAATGTCACCGCTGTCCCCCCGGATTAGGGGTGACATCACCGCCCCCTACTTAAGGCTCCCCCCGCCGCGGGGGTGCCTCCCCTGCCACCGCCGCTGTCACCGTGCCACCGGCGTGCCACCAGCGCCGTGCCACCGGTGTGCCACCAGCACCGTGCCACCAGCGCCGTGCCACCAGCGCCACTGTCACCGTGCCACCAGCGCCGTGCCACCAGCGCCACTGTCACCGTGCCACCAGCGTGCCACCAGCGCCGTGCCACCAGCGCCGCTGTCACCGTGCCACCAGCGCAGGTACGGCCGGGCGGGGGGCGCGGAGCCACCACGGGGATGGGGACATGGGGACAGGGCCACCAGGGCCTTGGGGACATGGGGACAGGGCCACCAGGGAGATGGGGACATGGGGACGGGGCCACCAGGGCCTTGGGGACATGGGGACAGGGCCACCAGGGAGATGGGGACATGGGGACGGGGCCACCATGGGGATGGGGACATGGGGACAGGGCCACCAGGGAGATGGGGACATGGGGATGGGGCCACCAGGGCCTTGGGGACATGGGGACAGGGCCACCATGGGGATGGGGACATGGGGACGGGGCCACCAGGGAGATGGGGACATGGGGATGGGGCCACCACGGGGATGGGGACATGGGGACAGGGCCACCATGGGGATGGGGACATGGGGACGGGGCCACCATGGGGATGGGGACATGGGGACGGGGCCACCAGGGAGATGGGGACATGGGGATGGGGCCACCACGGGGATGGGGACATGGGGACAGGGCCACCAGGGCCTTGGGGACATGGGGACAGGGCCACCACGGGGATGGGGACAAGGGGACAGGGCCACCAGACCCTTGGGGACATGGGGACAGGGCCACCAGGGAGATGGGGACATGGGGACGGGGCCACCAGGGCCTTGGGGACATGGGGCTGGGGCCACCACAGGGATGGGGACATGGGGACGGGGCCACCAGAGCCTTGGGGACATGGGGACGGGGCTACCAGGGAGATGGGGACAGGGGGACGGGGCCACCAGAGCCTTGGGGACATGGGGACAGGGCCACAAGGGAGATGGGGACATGGGGACAGGGCCACCAGAGCCTTGGGGACATGGGGACAGGGCCACCACGGCCTTGGGGACGGGGACAGGGCCACCAGAGCCTTGGGGACATGGGGATAGGGCCACCAGGGCCTTGGGGACATGGGGACAGGGCCACCATGGGGATGGGGACATGGGGACAGGGCCACCACGGGGATGGGGACATGGGGACAGGGCCACCACGGCGTTGGGGACATGGGGACGGGGCCACCAGAGCCTTGGGGACATGGGGACGGGGCCACCATGGGGATGGGGCCACCATGGGGATGGGGCCACCAGGGAGATGGGGACATGGGGACAGGGCCACCAGAGCCTTGGGGACATGGGGGGACATTGGGGGGGACCTCGGGGGGCTTGGAGGGGACACGGGGGACATTGAGGGGGACATCAGTGGGACTCGGGGACACGGAGGTTTTGGGGGGGGTCGCATTTGGCACGGGGGAGTTTGGGGGGCACGGGGGAGGTTGGGGGGGGTGGGGACAGCTCGGTGTCCCCCCGGTGCCATCGGTGCCCCCCCGGTGTCCCCCCGGTGCCATCGGTGTCCCCCGTGTCCCCCCGTGTCCCCCCGTGTCCCCCCGTGTCCCCCCGTGTCCCCACAGCCCCGCCATGATGTCCTACCTGAAGCAGGGGCACTTCGGCGTCAGCGGGCTGGGCCTGGAGCTGCTGCCCCCCCCCGTGGGGTACCCGGGTACCCCAAAATCTGGGGGGGCCACTGGGGGGTGGGGATGAGGGAAACCCCCCCCAAAACCCCAAAATTTGGGGGGTGGGGTTGTGGGACCTCCCCAAAATCTGGGGGGGGTCACTGAGGGGACCTGGAGCTGCTGCCCCCCCATCCCGTGGGGGACCCGGTACCCCAAAATCTGGGGGGGGGTCTTTGGTTGGGGGGGGGGGTGGAGATGAGGGAAAACCCCCAAAACCCCAAAATTTGGGGGGTGGGGCTGTGGGACCTCCCCAAATCCCGTGGGGTACCCAAATCCGAGGGTCCCCCCCCATTCCCGGGGGTCCCTCCCCATCCCCGGGGGTCTCTCCCCAATCCCGGGGGTCTCTCCCCAATCTCGGGGGTCTCTCCCCATTCCTGGGGGTCCCTCCCCATCCCCGGGGGTCCCTCCCCAATCCCGGGGGTCCCTCCCCATTCCTGGGGGTCCCTCCCCAATCCCGGGGGTCTCTCCCCATTCCCGGGGGTCCCTCCCCATCCCCGGGGGTCCCTCCCCAATCCCGGGGGTCTCTCCCCAACCCCGGGGGTCTCTCCCCATCCCGGGGGTCCCTCCCCATTCCCGGGGGTCTCTCCCCAATCCCGGGGGTCTCTCCCCATCCCCGGGGGTCTCTCCCCAATCCCGGGGGTCTCTCCCCAATCCCGGGGGTCCCTCCCCATCCCCGGGGGTCCCTCCCCAATCCCGGGGGTCTCTCCCCATCCCCGGGGGTCCCTCCCCATCCCGGGGGTCTCTCCCCATCCCCGGGGGTCCCTCCCCAATCCCGGGGGTCTCTCCCCAATCCCGGGGGTCTCTCCCCAATCCCGGGGGTCCCTCCCCATTCTCAGGGGTCTCTCCCCAATCCCGGGGGTCCCTCCCCAATCCCGGGGGTCTCTCCCCATCCCCGGGGGTCTCTCCCCATTCCCGGGGGTCTCTCCCCATCCCCGGGGGTCTCTCCCCAATCCCGGGGGTCTCTCCCCATCCCCGGGGGTCCCTCCCCAATCCCGGGGGTCTCTCCCCATCCCCGGGGGTCTCTCCCCAATCCCAGGGGTCTCTCCCCATTCCCGGGGGTCTCTCCCCAATCCCGGGGGTCTCTCCCCATCCCCGGGGGTCTCTCCCCATTCTCGGGGGTCTCTCCCCAATCCCGGGGGTCTCTCCCCATCCCGGGGGTCTCTCCCCAATCCCGGGGGTCTCTCCCCAATCCCGGGGGTCCCTCCCCATCCCGGGGGTCCCTCCCCATCCCGGGGGTCCCTCCCCAATCCCGGGGGTCTCTCCCCAATCCCGGGGGTCTCTCCCCAATCTCAGGGGTCCCTCCCCATCCCGGGGGTCCCTCCCCATTCCCGGGGGTCTCTCCCCAATCCCGGGGGTCTCTCCCCAATCTCAGGGGTCCCTCCCCATCCCGGGGGTCCCTCCCCATTCCCGGGGGTCTCTCCCCAATCCCGGGGGTCTCTCCCCAATCCCGGGGGTCTCTCCCAATCCCGGGGGTCCCTCCCCATTCCCGGGGGTCTCTCCCCATCCCGGGGGTCTCCCCCTGCCCAGGGACCCCCCGGAAGCAGCGGCGGGAGCGCACCACCTTCACGCGGGCGCAGCTGGACGTGCTGGAGGCGCTCTTCGCCAAGACGCGCTACCCCGACATCTTCATGCGCGAGGAGGTGGCGCTGAAAATCAACCTGCCCGAGTCCCGCGTGCAGGTGGGACACCTGGGGGACAGGTGGGACACCTGGGGGGACAGGTGGGACAGGTGTGACATGGCTGTGACACGGCTGTGACACGGGACAGCAACAGGGACAGGGACATGTCTTCATACGCGAGGAGGTGGTGCTGAAAATCAACCTGCCCGAGTCCCGCGTGCAGGTGGGACACCTGGGGGACAGGTGGGACACCTGGGGGGACAGGTGGGACACGGGACAGGTGTGACATGGCACAGGTGTGACAGGTGTGACAGGACAGGTGTGGGGACACCTCTGACACAGGTGTGACATGGGACAGGTGTGACAGGTGTGACACAGGACAGGTGTGACATGGGCCAGGTGTGACAGGTTTGACACGGGACGGGTGTGACATGGCACAGGTGTGACATGGGACACGTGTGACACAGGACAGGTGTGACATGGGCCAGGTGTGACAGGTGTGACACGGGACAGGTGTGACTTGGCACAGGTGTGACACGGGACAGGTGTGGTGACAGGTGTGACACAGGAGGGGACACGGGGACGGGAAGGTTTGGGGGGACACAGGTACAGGGGCGGGGCAGGAGGAGCAGGTGAGTCCCAGGTGGGACGGGGATGGGGGAGCACAGGGAGCCTCAATAGCGCCGTGTGTCCCCCGTGTCCCCCCGTGTCCCCCGTGCCTCAGTTTCCCCGTGTCCCCCCACGTCCCCCACGCCCCCCGTGCCTCAGTTTCCCCGTCTCCTCACCCCCACCCCCATCACAACAGGTCTGGTTCAAGAACCGCCGCGCCAAGTGCCGCCAGCAGCAGGCCCAGGGCTCGGGCCCCCCCAAACCGCGACCACCCCCCAAAAAGAAGAGCTCCCCACCCCGCGACCCCCCCCCGGAGCCGCCCCCGGGCCCCTTCACGCCCCCCCCGGCCCCGCCCGTCTCCATCTGGAGCCCCGCGGCGCTGTCGCCGCTGCCGCTGCCGGAGCTCCCGGGGGCTCCTCCGCCCTTCCGCGCCTTCCCCGCCCCGGGGGGCTTCGCCCAGACCTACCCCGGCTACTTCGGGGGGCTGGAGCCCTTCCTGCCGCCCCCGGCCGGGGGGCTGAGCCCCCTGGGCCCCCCGGCCGCGCTCGGCCTGGCCGCGGCCCCCGCGGCCTTCGGGGCCGGCCCCGCGCTGGGCTTCGAGTGCCTGGAGCTGAAGGAGCCCGGCGGCGGCTGGAGGGGCAACCTCGGCCCCGCAGAGTGCCTGGAGCTCAAGGAGCAGAGCAGCTGGAAGTTCCAGGTCTTGTAGCTCATTAACGCCCGCAGCGGTAATTAATTAACTCCTGGGACTTGCATCGGTAATCAGTTCTGGATCACGGATCGGTAATCAATTCCTGAGCAGAGCAGCGGGAAGTTCCAGGTCTTCTAGGTCATTAATGCCCGCAGCGGTAATTAATTAACTCCTGGGACTTGCACCAGTAATCAGTTCTGGATCGCGGATCGGTAATCAGTTCTGGATCGCGGATTGTTAATGAGTTCTGGATCACAGATCGGTAATCAATTCCTGAGCAGAGCAGCTGGAAGTTCCAGGTCTTGTAGCTCATTAACGCCCGCAGCGGTCATTAATTAACTCCTGGGACTTGCATCGGTAATCAGTTCTGGATCACGGATCGGTAATCAATTCCTGGGACTCAGATCGGTAATCAATTCTGGATCACAGATCGGTAATCAATTCCTGAGCAGAGCAGCTGGAAGTTCCAGGTCTTGTAGGTCATTAATGCCCGCAGCGGTAATTAATTAACTCCTGGGACTTGCATCGGTAATCAGTTCTGGATCGCGGATTGGTAATCAATTCTGGATCGCGGATCGGTAATCAATTCCTGAGCAGAGCACGGGAAGTTCCAGGTGTTGTAGGTCATTAATGCCCGCAGCGGTAATTAACTCCTGGGACTTGCATCGCTAATCAGTTCTGGATTGCGGATTGGTAATCAATTCCTGGGACTCGGATCGGTAATCAATTCCTGGGACTCGGATCGGTAATCAATTCCTGAGCAGAGCACGGGAAGTTCCAGGTCTTGTAGTTCATTAATGCCCACAGCGGTAATTAATTAATTCCTGGGACTTGCATCGGTAATCAGTTCTGGATTGCGGATCGGTAATCAATTCTGGATCACAGATTGTTAATCAATTCCTGGGACTTGCATCAGTAATCAATTCCTGGGACTCAGATTGGTAATCAATTCCTGAGCAGAGCACCGGGAAGTTCCAGGCGTTGTAGTTCATTAATTAATTCCCAGAGTGGTAATTAATTTCTGGAACTTGCATCGTTAATCAGTTCTGGATTGTGGATCAGTAATCAATTCCTGGGGCTCAGATCATTAATTGGGACTCGGATCGTTAATCAATTCCTGAGCAGAGCACGGGAAGTTCCAGGTGTTGTGGGGCCCGGGGGCCTGCAGTTAATTAATTAATTCCCGGAGCGTTAATTAATTCCTGGGACTTGGAGCGTTCATCAGTTCTGGATCGTGGATTGGTAATTAATTCCCAGGACTCGGGTCATTAATCAATTCTGGATCGTGGATCGTTAATCAATTCCCGGGACTCGCATCATTGATCAGCTCTGGATCACCAATTGTTAATTAATTCTGGATCGCCGGTCGTTAATTAGTTCTGGATCATGGATTGTTAATCAATTCCCGGTACTTGGATCCTTCATTAATTCCCGGGATTGTTAATTAATTCTGGATCGCCGATCGTTAATTAGTTCTGGATCACCGATTGTTAAGCAATTCCTGGGACTCGCATTGTTATTTAATTCTGGGTCGCCGATCATTAATTAGTTCTGGATTGCCGATCGTTAATCAATTCTCGGGACTCGCATCCTTAATTAAATCTGGATCGCGAATCGTTAATTAATTCTGGATCGCGGATCGTTAATTAATTCTGGATCGCGGATCATTAATTAATTCTGGATCTCGGATTGTTAATTAGCTCTGAGGTGCGGCCAAAAGTCCCAAAAAACGGAAAATTCCACAAGGTGCCACCAGGGTGTCCCCAAAGTGCCACCACGGTGTCCCCAAAGTGCCACCACAGCTCTGAGGTGTCCCCAAGGTGCCACCACGGTGTCCCCAAGGTGCCACCAGGGCTCTGGGGTGTCCCCAAGGTGCCACCAGGGCTCTGGGGTGTCCCCAAGGTGTCCCCAGGGCTCTGGGGTGTCCCCAAGGTGCCACCATGGTGTCCCCAAGGTGCCACCACAGTGTCCCCAAGGTGCCACCAGGGCTCTGGGGTGTCCCCAAGGTGCCACCACGGTGTCCCCAAGGTGCCACCAGGGCTCTGGGGTGTCCCCAAGGTGCCACCACGGTGTCCCCAGGTGCCACCAGGGCTCTGGGGTGTCCCCAAGGTGCCACCACGGTGTCCCCAAGGTGCCACCAGGGCTCTGGGGTGTCCCCAAGGTGCCACCACGGTGTCCCCAAGGTGCCACCAGGGCTCTGGGGTGTCCCCAAGGTGCCACCACGGTGTCCCCAAGGTGCCACCAGGGCTCTGGGGTGTCCCCAAGGTGCCACCAGGGTGTCCCCAAGGTGCCACCAGGGCTCTGGGGTGTCCCCAAGGCCGGAGCCCCCACCCGGGGCAGAGTCCGGGGCGGTGCCACCTGTGCCAGGTGTGTCACCTGTGCCACCTGTGCCACCTCCCCCCCCTCGGGTCCCTTATCTGGGGGGTCAAAGTCCAAAATCCGACCCCACCCGGGGAGGGGCCGGAACTGGGGGGGCCCGGGTGGGGGAGGGGTATAAAGCACCCCAAGGTGCCACCTCGGTGCCACCTCAGTGCCACCGCTGTCACCTCAGTGCCACCTGTGCCACCTGTGCCACCGCCATGACCTTCGTGCCCCCGCCCGGGTACCTGCCCTCCTACAACCCGGTGGGTACCCCCGGAACGGGCTGGGCACCCCAAAAATTGGGGGCGGGGGGATGGGGGGGGTCCCTGTCACCCCAAAAACCGGGGGGAGGGGTCAGGGGGGTCCCTGTGAGCCTGGAAGGGACATTTGGGGTCCCTGTCCCCCCAAAAACCGGGGGTCGGGGGTCGGGGGGGGCCCTGTCACCCTATCCGGGAGATTTGGGGACCCCCTGACCCCTCAGGGACATTTTGGGGCCCCCTGACCCCCTCAGGGGGATTTGGGGACCCCTCAGGGACATTTCGGGGTCCCCCCGACCCCCTTTCCCCAGCCCCTGCCCTTCGTGGCCGCCGTGCCCGGGGGGCTCCGGCCCGGGATGGCGATTTACGTCCAGGGGGTGCCGGCCCCGCAGGCAGACTGGTACTGGGGGCACTGGGAGCACTGGGAGGGACTGGGGGGGTACTGGGGGGGTACTGGGGGCACTGGGGGGGGTACTGGGAGGGACTGGGGGGCACTGGGAGCACTGGGAGGGACTGGGGGGGACTGGGAGGGACTGGGGGGCACTGGGGGGGCACTGGGAGGGACTGGGGGGCACTGGGAGCACTGGGAGGGACTGGGGGGGACTGGGAGGGACTGGGGGGGTACTGGGAGCACTGGGAGGGACTGGGGGGCACTGGGAGGGCATTTGGAACAGTGGGGTGCAGTGGGAGGGTACTGGGAGGGCACTGGGGAGTACTGGGGATACTGGGGACACTGGGAGGGCACTGAGGGGTACTGGGAGGGCACTGGGAGGGCACTGGGGGGTACTGGGAGGGCACTGGGAGGGCACTGGGGGGTACTGGGAGGGTACTGGGGATACTGGGAAGGCACTGGGAGGGTACTGGGGATACTGGGAGGGCACTGGGGCTACTGGAGGAGCACTGAGGGGGCACTGGGAGCACTGGGAGGGCACTGGGGGGGCACTGGGAGGGCCCTGGGAGGTACTGGGTGACCCCAGGTGACCCCAGGTGACCCCAGGTGACACCGACCTGTCCCCAGGTTCCACCTTAACCTGGCCGGGACCCGGTGCTGCACCTGAACCCCCGTTTTGGGGTGGGGGTCGGGGGGGTCTCTGGGTGACCCCAGGTGACACAGGTGACACAGGTGGCACAGGTGACACCGGTGGCACTCACCTGTCCCCAGGTTCCGGGTGAACCTGGCGGCGGGGCCCGAGGAGGAGGCGGACGTGGCGCTGCACCTGAACCCCCGTTTTGGGGCGGGGGTCGCGGTGCTGAACAGCCGCCGCGGGGGGCGCTGGGGGGACGAGCAGCGGCGGGAGCTGCACCCGCTCTGCCCGGGGGGACCCTTCGAGATCGTCATCAGCGTCACCCCCGAGGGGTACCGGGTACGGCGGGGCTGGGGAGGGGTTTGGGGGGGATTTGGGGGGTCCTTGGGGGGGTTTGGGGTCTTTAAGGGGGGGTTTGAGGGGTCCTTGGGGGGGTTTGGGGTCTTTAAGGGGGTGTTTGAGGGGTCCTTGGGGGGGTTTGGGGGGTCCTTGGGGGGGTTTGGGGTTTTTAAGGGGGGCTTTGAGGGGTCCTTGGGGGGATTTGGGGGGTCCTTGGGGGGGTTTGAGGGGTCCTTGGGGGGTTTGGGGTCTTTAAGGGGGGATTTGGGGGGTCCTTGGGGGGGTTTGGGGTCTTTAAGGCGGGGTTTGAGGGGTATTTGGGGGGTCCTTGGGGGGTCCTTGGGGGAGTTTGGGGTCTTTAAAGGGGGGTTTGAGGGGTCCTTGGGGGGATTTGAGGGGTCCTTGCGGGGGTTTGGGGTCTTTAAGGGAGGGTTTGGGGTCTTTAAGGGGGGGTTTGGGGGGTCCTTGGGGGGGTTTGGGGTCTTTAAGGGGGGGTTTGAGGGGTCCTTGGGGGGGTTTGGGGGGTCCTTGGGGGGTTTGAGGGGTCCTTGGGGGGCTTTGGGGGGTCCTTGGGGGGGTTTGGGGTCTTTAAGGGGGGGTTTGGGGGGTCCTTGGGGGGCTTTGGGGGGTCCTTGGGGGGGTTTGGGGTCTTTAAGGGGGGGTTTGAGGGGTCCCTGGGGGGATCTGGGGTCTTTAAGGGGGGGTTTGAGGGGTCCTTGGGGGGATTTGGGGTCTTTAAGGGGGGGTTTGAGGGGTCCTTGGGGGGTCCTGGGGGGGGTTTGGGGTCTTTAAGGGGAGGTTTGAGGGGTCCTTGGGGGGGTTTGGGGTCTTTAAGGGGGGGTTTGAGGGGTCCTTGGGGGGGTTTGGGATGTCCTTGGGGGGTTTGAGGCGGGGTTTGGGTTCTTTAAAGGGGGATTTGGGGTCTTTAATGAGGGGTTTCAGGGGTCCTTGGGGGGGTTTGGGGTGCCCCAGGGCTGTTTTGGGGTCCCAGGGGTGTTTTTGGGGTCCCAGGGGTGTTTTTGGGATGGTTTTTGGGTATTTTTGGTGGTCTCAGGTGTGGTTTTGGGCTGTTTTTGGGGTGTCCCGGAGCTGTTTTTGGGGTCCCAGGGATATTTTTGGGGTCCCAGGGGTGTTTTTGGGGTGCTTTTGGGCAGTTTTGGGGTCCCTGAGCCGCTGTCCCCCCCAGATCCTGGTGAACGGCACCTTCTACGAGGAGTTCCCGCACCGGCTGCCCCCGGAGCTGGTGACGGCCGTGAACGTGGACGGGGACCTGGAGCTGGGCTCGGTCTCGGTGCTGGGGGGCGCGGTGAGACCCCAAAAAATAACCCTGCACCCCAAAAAACACCCCTGCACCCCAAAACCTGCACCCCAAAAACCGCCCCTGTACTCCAAAACCCCCCAAAACAGCCCCAAAACTCACCTGAGAGCCCCCCCTTACCTGGAGCTGGGCTCGGCCTCGGTGCTGGTGGGGGCGGTGAGACCCCAAAAACTCACCCGACCCCAAAAAATAACCCTGCACCCCCAAAACCTGCACCCCAAAACCCCCCAAAACAGCCCCAAAACTCACCTGAGAGCCCCCCCTTACCTGGAGCTGGGCTCGGTCTCGGTGCTGGGGGATGTGGTGAGACCCCAAAAACTCCCCCGACCCCAAAAACAACCCCGCACCCCAAAACCTGCACCCCAGAAAACACCCCTGCACCCCTAAAACCAGCCCCAGACCCCAAACCCCACTCCTGGGCCCCAAAATTCCACCCTTGCACCCCAAAATTCCACCCGTTACCCAGAATTACCCCCCCCCAGACCCCAAAATTCCACCCCTGGACCCCAATCCCCACTCCTAGACCCCAAAATTCCACTCCCAGACCCCAAAATTCCACCCTTGCACCCCAAAATTCCACCCCTGTTACCCGAAATTCTCCCCCCAGACCCCAAAATTCCACTCCCGGACCCCAAAATTCCACCCCAGGACCCCCAAACCCCTCTGACTCCCCTCTTTCCCTGCAGGGCGCGTTTCCCCCGTGTGTCCCGGTGAGTTGGGGGGGTCCTGGGTGGGTTTTGGGGGTCCCCCAGGTGGGTTTTGGGGGTCCCCCAGGTGGGTTTTGGGAGTCCCCAGGTGTATTTTAGGGGTCCCCAGGTGTATTTTAGGGATCCCCAGGTGGGTTTTAGGGGTCCCCAGGTGGATTTTGGGTACCCCCAGGTGGGTTTTGGGGGTCCCCAGGTGGATTTTGGGGGTCCCCAGGTGATTTTGGGGTCCCCTGACCCCCCGGCTCTGCCCCCCAGGACGCACCGCAGGTCGCCCCCATCTACCCCGACTATAACCTGCCGGTAAGTGGGGAGGGGTCCCCCCAAAATCCGACGCCTCCCCCATCGGGGGAGGTCCCCGGGGGGTTCCCCGGGTGCGCCCCCCGACCCCCCCACTGACCCCCCACTGTACCCCACAGGTGATGGAGCAGCCCCCCACCCTGCACCCGGTGAGTCCGGGGGGATTTGGGGGTCCCAGGGGGTCCTGGGGTGATTCAAGGGGGAATTTGGGGCATTTTGGGGTGACTTAAGGGGGATTTGGGGCATTTTGGGGTGACTTAAGGGGGATTTGGGGCATTTTGGGGTGATTCCAGGGGGGATTTGGGGCATTTTGGGGTGGCTCAAGGGGGGATTTGGGGGTCCTGGGGGGTTTTGGGGTGACTCAAGGGGGAATCTGGGGGGTCCTGGGGGGGTTGTTGGGATTTGGGGGGGTCCTGGGTGGGTCTCTCCCCTCTCTGAGCCCCCTCCCCATTTTTGCCCCCCCCAGCCCGTCCCATTCATCGCCACCATCCCGGGGGGGCTGCTCCCCAAAAAAACCATCGTCATCAAGGGCTTCATCCCCCTCCACGCCAACAGGTACTGGGGACCCCCCAAGACCCCTCCCCAAAATCCCCCTGACACCCCAAACCTGCCTGTGGTCCCAAAATCCCTTCTCGCCCCCCCGGCACCCCGAAACCTCCCAAAATCCACCCCAGGACCCCCAAACACAAAAAATTCTGCCCAAACCCCTCTGTCACCACCCCAGGACCCCCAAATCCCCCCCAAAATCCCCCCAAACACCCAAAATCCTCCCCAAATCCCCCTCCAAACATCCCAAAATCCCCCCAAACCACCCAAATCCCCCAAATCCTCCCCAAATCGCCCTGCCACCATGCCAGAACCCCCTAAATCCCCCCCAAATCTCCCCCAAACCCCCCAAAATCCTTCCAAATCCCCCCAAAGCCTCAAAAATACCCTTCAAATATCCCACCCCCCCCAACACCCCAAATCCTCCCCAAACATCCCAAATCCCCCAAATCGCCTCCAAACATCCCAAATCCTCTCCAAACCCCCAAATCCCTCCCAAACACCCCAAATCTCCACCAAAATCCCCTCCAAACACCCCAAATCCACCCCCAAACACCCCAAATATCGTCTAAACTTCCCAACCCCCCCCGCAAAATCCCCTCCAAACACCCCAAATCCACCCCCAAACACCCCAAATATCGTCTAAACTTCCCAAACCCCCCCCAAAATCCCCTCCAAACACCCCAAATCCCCTCCAAACACCCCAAAACTCATAAAATCCTCCCCAAATCCCTCCCAGGTTCCACATCAACCTGCGGGCGGGCCCGGGGGGGGACGTGGTGCTGCACCTGAACCCCAGGATGGATGAGGACGACGCCGTGGTCCGGAACTCGTTTTTGGGGGGCTCCTGGGGCCACGAGGAGCGCGACATCTCCTGCTGCAGCCCCTTCCTGCGCGGCCGCTACTTCGACGTGAGCGGGGAGGGGGCTCGGGGGGCTTCGGGGGGGTTTTGGGGTCATGGGGAGGGGAGCTGGGTGAGATTTGGGGTCCTCAGAGGGGTTTTGGGGTCTCTGGGGTGACTCTGTGGGTCCCTGGGGTGACTCCGGGGGTCCCTGGGGTGATGATGGGGATCTTCGGGATGGTTTTGAGGGTCTCTGGGGTGACTTTGGGGTGATATTTGGGGTCTCTGGGGTGATGTTTGGGATCTCTAGGCTGATTTCAGGCTCCCCGGGGTGATTTCGGGGCTCCCCGGTGTGATTTCGGGGGTCACTCCGCGGTGCCAGCCCCCCGATGTGCCCCCGTACCCCTCCAGCTGTCCATCCGCTGCGGGAACCATCGGTTCAAGGTGTTCGCCGAGGGGCAGCCGCTCTTCCACTTCCACCACCGGGTGCCGGCCGGGCCCCACGTGGACGTGCTGGAGATCGAGGGCGACGTCGTCCTGTCCTACGTCCACTTCTGACCCACAAGTGGCACTGCCACTGTCCCACAGCTGCCCTGGAACAGCCCCAGAACTGCCCTGGAACAGCCTCAGAACTGCCCCACAACTGCCCCATAACTGCCCTGGAACAACCTCAGAACTGCCCCACAACTGCACTGGAACAGCCCCACAACTGCCCCATAACTGCCCTGGAACAACCTCAGAACTGCCCCACAACTGCCCCATTACTGCCCTGTAATTGTCCCAGAACTGCCCCAGAATTGTTCTGGAATTGCCCCATTACTGCCCCAGAACTGCCCCATTATTGCCCCATAATTGCCCTGTTATTGGCCCATTAACGCCCCATTCCTAGTCCAGAATTGCCCCATAACTGCCCCATAACAACCCTATTACTGCCCCATAACAGCCCTATTACTGTCAATAAAGAACTGCCCCCTAATTGTCCTCTCCCAACACTGACCTCAATAAAACTGTTCCTGCTCCAGCTCAGTGGAATTGAGGGGAAAAGAGAAACGTGAGGGGAGAGGGAAATGTGAGGGAAAAAGGGAGAGGAACGTGAGGGGAAAAGAGAGGGAAATGTGAGGGGGAAACGGGGGGAAATGTGAGGGGAAAAGAGAGGGAAATGTGAGGGGGAAACGGGGGGAAATGTGAGGGGAAAAGAGAGGGAAATGTGAGGGGGAAACGGGGGGGAAATGTGAGGGGAAAAGAGAGGGGAATGTGAGGGGAGAAAAGGGCGGGAAACGTGAGGGGAGAAAAGGGCGGGAAACGTGAGGGGAGAAAAAGGGCGGGAAACGTGAGGGGAGAAAAAGGGCGGGAAACGTGAGGGGAGAAAAGGGCGGGAAACGTGAGGGGAGAAAAGGGCGGGAAACGTGAGGGGAGAAAAAGGGCGGGAAACGTGAGGGGAGAAAAGGGCGGGAAACGTGAGGGGAGAAAAAGGGCGGGAAACGTGAGGGGAGAAAAAGGGCGGGAAACGTGAGGGGAGAAAAAGGGCGGGAAACGTGAGGGGAGAAAAAGGGCGGGAAACGTGAGGGGAGAAAAGGGCGGGAAACCTGAGGGGAGAAAAGGGCGGGAAACGTGAGGGGAGAAAAAGGCGGGAAACGTGAGGGGAGAAAAGGGCGGGAAACGTGAGGGGAGAAAAAGGGCGGGAAACGTGAGGGGAGAAAAAGGGCGGGAAACGTGAGGGGAGAAAAGGGCGGGAAACGTGAGGGGAGAAAAAGGGCGGGAAACGTGAGGGGAGAAAAAGGGCGGGAAACGTGAGGGGAGAAAAGGGCGGGAAACGTGAGGGGAGAAAAAGGGCGGGAAACGTGAGGGGAGAAAAAGGGCGGGAAACGTGAGGGGAGAAAAGGGCGGGAAACGTGAGGGGAGAAAAAGGGCGGGAACCGTGAGGGGAGAAAAAGGGCGGGAAACGTGAGGGGAGAAAAAGGGCGGGAAACGTGAGGGGAGAAAAAGGGCGGGAAACGTGAGGGGAGAAAAAGGGCGGGAAACGTGAGGGGAGAAAAAGGGCGGGAACCGTGAGGGGAGAAAAAGGGCGGGAAACGTGAGGGGAGAAAAGGGCGGGAAACGTGAGGGGAGAAAAAGGGCGGGAAACGTGAGGGGAGAAAAGGGCGGGAAACGTGAGGGGAGAAAAGGGCGGGAACCGTGAGGGGAGAAAAAGGGCGGGAAACGTGAGGGGAGAAAAGGGCGGGAAACGTGAGGGGAGAAAAGGGCGGGAAACGTGAGGGGAGAAAAAGGGCGGGAAACGTGAGGGGAGAAAAGGGCGGGAAATGTGAGGAGAGAAAAGGGCGGGAAACGTGAGGGGAAAAGAGAGATGTGAGGGGAAAAAGGGGGGAAACGTGAAGGGAAAATAGAGGGAAATGTGAGGGGAAAGAGGGAAACGTGAGGGGAAAAGAGAGATATTAGGGGAAAACGGGGCAAAATGTGAGGGAAAAAAAGAGGGAAATATGAGGGGAAAAGAGAGGGGGGGAAAGGTCAGAAAATGAGGGAAAAAAATAAAACAAGTGAGGGGAAAAAATAAAAAAGTGAGGGGGAAAGGGGTGGGAAAGGGGAGAGAAAAAAGGATGGGGAACATGGGGGAAAAAACCCCAGCACAACGTAGGGACCCTGCACTCACATTTAGCTCTGATTTTACCCCAAAAATATTCCTGCCATCACTTATGGATCACCTCAGGTTTTACGCCCACAACTGCCCTGACATGTCAAAAAAAATCACCTCAGTTTTACCCCAAAATGTCCCAAAAGTTCATTTTTACCCCAAAATGGTTGTTCCCTCCCCTCAAGATTACCTCGTTGGCTCTACAAAAAAAAAAAAAAAGGGAGGAAAAACTCCAAGATTACAGAGGGTTTTTTTTCCAGCAATATTTTAATTACAGGACAAAGAAGCTGCTACGTGAATATATATTTATATAATAAATCCGTAAAGTTATAAAGGAAACCGGAATTTTCTGCTTCCTGTCAAAATTTTCCAGGATCAGGCGCTTTATTAGGTGGATTTCTCTTAATTTTCCTCCTTGTTTATCTTAATTTTTATTATTTTTCCACAGTTCTTATGATGTCTCTCTTTATTTTTCTCCATACTCTTCTTTATTTATCATTATTTTCCCATATATTTCTGTATTCCTCCAGATTTCTTCACGATTCTCCTCATTTCTCTCCTAATTTTTCCACATTTTTTCATTTCTCCGTATTTTTTCCCTGATTTTCCATCTCTGACCACATTTTTCCTCCTAATTTTTTCCTCATTTCTCCCTGCTTCGTATTTCCCATCTTTTTTCCCTATTCCCCCCTATTTCCCCCCCCTTTTTATTTTTTGGTCCACAAAACGCTGCTCCGAGGTGGGAATGTGAGTGAAAAAAACCTAAAAAAACCCCCCCAAACCCCCGAATTTTTCCCTCTGGAAAAGCCATAAATTAGGTGTGAGGCGCGGGGGAAAGGCGAGGGGAGAGGGAACCCTTGGGCCGCGCCGCCGATCCCGTGGAAAATCCTGGGAATTCCTGGGAATTCCTCTCTCCGCGTCCCGTTACCAAAAATAACCGGGGAAAAGTGGGAATCGCGTCCCGAAATATCCCAAAATCAATCAACTGTTGCATAGTAGGAGGCGGGGGGGGGTTTGTGTCGGGGATCCTCGGGGAGGATCCATGGGGATCTGGGACCGTCGGGGATCCTCGGGGGTCCTGGAGGATCCTTGGCGATCCGGGATCCCTGGGGATCCTGGGGAATCCCTGGGGATCTGGGAGCATTTGGAATCCGGGATCCTCGGGGGTCCTGGGGAATCCTTGGGGATCCTGGGGGACCCTCGGGGATCTGGGACTGTTGGGGGTCCAGGATCCTCGAAGGTCCTGGAGGATCCTTGGGGATCTGGGACCATCAGGAGGGATCCAGAGGGATCCTTGGTGACTTTTGGGGGATCCTGGGGGACCCTAGGGGATCCAGGATCCTCAGGGATCCCAGGGGATCCTGGGGGACCCTCGGGGATCCTTGAGGATCCGGGACCATCAGGGATCCAGGGGGATCCTTGGGGGACTCTGGGGGATCCCGGTGGATCCCGGTGGATCCCGCTCAGAGGTCGCTCTCGCCGTAGAGCGCCGTGGAGAAGGATTTGTAGTCCAGGGCGCCGGGGACGCCGTCGGGGCCGGGGTAGGGCGCCATGCGGGCGATGCAGTACTCGGCCTGCGCCGCCGGCAGCTCCCGCCGCAGCTCCGCCGCCGTGATGTAGTTCTGGGCACCGGGAGCGGGGAAAAAGGGGAAAAAGGGGGGAAATGGGGGAAAAAGGGGGTAAATCGGGGGTAACCGTGTCTCCCAACATCAGGGATCCCACCAGAGGATTGGCTGACTTCAAAATCCTGCCTTGGTCCGATTCCCCAAATCCCACCCTGGAATTCCCGAATCTCACCCCAGAATTCTGCTGTGTCCTTCCCAAATTCCAGCCCAGAATTCCCAAATCTCACCACATAATTCCACTTTTCCTTCCCAGACCCCCCAGCCCCATTCCCAAACCCCCCTGCCCCACTCCCAAACCCCCCAGCCCCACTCCCAAACCCCCTGCCCCACTCCCACACCCCCCAGCCCCACTCCCAGCCCCCCAGCCCCACTCCCAAACCCCCCAGCCCCACTCCCAGCCCCCCAGCCCCACTCCCAAACCCCCCTGCCCCACTCCCACATCCCCAGCCCCACTCCCAAACCCCCCAGCCCCATTCCCAAACTCCCCAGCCCCACTCCCAGCCCCACTCCCAGCCCCCCAGCCCCACTCCCAAACCCCCCTGCCCCACTCCCAAACCCCCCAGCCCCACTCCCAAACCCCCCAGCCCCACTCCCAAACCCCCCAGCCCCACTCCCAGCCCCCCAGCCCCACTCCCAAACCCCCCTGCCCCACTCCCAAACCCCCCTGCCCCACTCCCAAACCCCCCAGCCCCACTCCCAGCCCCCCAGCCCCACTCCCAGCCCCCCAGCCCCACTCCCAAACCCCCCAGCCCCATTCCCAAACCCCCCAGCCCCACTCCCAAACCCCCCAGCCCCACTCCCAAACCCCCCAGCCCCACTCCCAGTCCCCAGCCCCACTCCCAAACCCCCCAGCCCCACTCCCAGCACCCCTGCCCCACTCCCAAACCCCCAGCCCCACTCCCAAACCCTCCAGCCCCACTCCCAGCCCCCCAGCCCCATTCCCAAACCCCCCTGCCCCATTCCCAAACCCCCCTGCCCCATTCCCAAACCCCCCAGCCCCACTCCCAAACCCCCCTGCCCCACTCCCAAACCCCCCAGCCCCCCACCCAGCCCCCAGCCCCACTCCCAAACCCCCCTGCCCCACTCCCAAACCCCCCAGCCCCATTCCCAAACCCCCCAGCCCCACTCCCAAACCCCCTGCCCCATTCCCAAACCCCCCCAGCCCCACTCCCAAACCCCCCAGCCCCACTCCCAAACCCCCCAGCCCCACTCCCAAACCCCCCCAGCCCCACTCCCAAACCCCACTGCCCCACTCCCAGCCCCCCAGCCCCACTCCCAGCCCCGCTGCCCACCTTGTCCCCGGCCAGCACGCGGAAGCTGTTGATGACCTGCTCGGCCGTGTCCGTGTCCGTGGTTTCCTGGGACATGAAGTCGATGAAGGCCTGGAAGGTGACGCTGCCGCTGCCGTTGGGATCCACCACGGCCATGATCCGCTGGAACTCGGCGTCGCCCTGCGGGGAGAGGCGCCGTGGGCAGCCCTGCTGCGTCCCCAGAGATTCCAGGGCCTTCCAGAACCTTCTGCCCGCGAGCGCCGGAGCTTTCCCAGAGCTTTTCTTGGAGTTGTTTTCTGTTTCCGTGGTTCCGGCGCGTTCCCCCCGGGATTGCCCTGCCCTCCCTTCCCCTGGGTGGGATAGAAATGGGAGGAAAGGGCAGAGGAAGCAGGAGAGGAGGAAGGTGAGGAAGGTGAGGAAGGTGAGGAAGGTTACCAGGCCGGATCCCGCGGCGCCCAGCAGCGCGCGGAAGTCGCTGGAGTCCGTGCGGCGCTTCGGCTGCCGCCAGGAAGGGCAGAGGAAGAGGAAGAGGGAAAGGGAGGAGGAAGAGAAAAGCAGAGAATCTGTTAGAGGAGAGGAAACCAGCCCAGAAAAGGAATGAGGGAAGGAAGGATGGAAAGGAAGGGAGGAAAAAAAGGAAACAGAAAGGGAAACGGGGAAAAAGGGGAAGAGGGGAAGAGGGGAAGTGGGGAAGAGGGAAAAAGGGAAAGGGAAAGGGAAAGAAGGGAAAGAAAGGAAAGGAAAGGAAAGGAAAGGAAAGGAAAGGAAAGGAAAGGAAAGGAAAGGAAAGGAAAGGAAAGGAAAGGAAAGGAAAGGAAAGGAAAGGAAAGGAAAGGAAAGGAAAGGAAAGGAAAGGAAAGGAAAGGAAAGGAAAGGAAAGGAAAGGAAAGGAAAGGAAAGGAAAGGAAAGGAAAGGGGGAAGGGAAAAAGGGAAAGGAAAAAGGGGAAGGAAAAAGGGGAAGGAAAAAGGGGAAGGAAGGAAGGAAGGAAGGAAGGAAGGAAGGAAGGAAGGAAGGAAGGAAGGAAGGAAGGAAGGAAGGAAGGAAGGAAGGAAGGAAGGAAGGAAGGAAGGAAGGAAGGAAGGAAGGAAGGAAGGAAGGAAGAGGAGGAAGAGGAGGAAGAGGAAGCAGGCAGTACCTGCCGGTCGTTCTCGACGTCGTAGCCCAGACTGATCAAACAGGCCTTGAACTCCTCCGGGCCCAGGGCGCCGCCGTGGTCCTGGGCAAACGGGGCAGAAATGGGGGAAATGGGGGAAAACGGGCGGGAAACAACCCGAGGGGCGGCTGCGGGCGGGATCCCAGATCCCCCCGGATCCCCCTGGATCCCCCGGATCCCCCCGGATCCCCGGGATCCCCGACCTTGTCGAAGTGGTTGAAGGAGGCGCGGAACTCCTGCATCTGCTCCTGGCTGATGCCCTTGGCGTCGCGGGTCAGGATCTGGTTCTCCACCTCGTTGATGGTGCGGGCGATGGTGGTCAGCAGCTGCTCCCAGCCCACGCGCAGGTGCTGCGGCCACGGGGCAGGCAGGGGCAGTGAGGGGCGGCCCGATCCCCGGGAGGGTCACCCTGATCCCCAGGAGGGTCACCCTGATCCCCACGGGATCGTCCTGATCCCCTGGGATGGATCCAGCACCCACAGGGTCACCCTGATCCCTGCGGGATCACCCTGATCCCCAGGGATGGGATCCAGTGTGCACGGGATCACCCTGATCCCCAGGGATGGATCCAGCACCCACGGGATCACCCTGATCCCCACAGGATCACCCTGATCCCCAGGGATGACCCCAAATCCCCTTGGGATGACCCCAAACCCCCTCGGGATGATCCCAAACCCCCTCAGGACAATCCCAATGCCCTCAATGACCCCAAATCCCCTCAATGACCCCAAACCCCCTCAGGATGACCCCAAACCCCCTCAGGATGACCCCAAACCCCCTGGTGACCCCGAATCCCCTCAGGATGACCCCAAACCCCCTCAGGATAACCCCGAGCCCCGCGGTCCCACCTCCATGGTGTAGTTGGAGTGCTGGTTGTCGAAGATCAGGGCCTCCTGCACCAGCTGGTGCTGCTGCTCCAGCAGCTCCAGGTTGGGCTTGTACTCCACGATGTTCTCCTCGTACTCCTTCAGGTGGTTCAGCTGGTCCTCCAGCGTGCCGTTCATCTCGATGGAGATCCGGCCGATCTCCTGTGATGGGGGGTTCCCTTCCAGAGCCCGCTGGGTCCCCCCGGTGATCCCCGATCCCCAAATTCCATCCCTCGTCCGGGATGGCACCAGCCCAGCCCTTCCCACAGCTCCCAGAGCTGGGACAGCGCGGGCATGGAGCAGCCCCAGAGCTGACTGCAGCATCTCCACCAACTCCACCATCTCAGCATGTCCACCATTCCATCATCTCCACAATCCCACCATTCCATCATCTCCACAATCCCACCATTCCACCATCTCCAACATCTCAGCATCTCCACCATCTCCACCATCCCCACCATTACACCATCTCCAACATCCCACCATTCCATCATCTCCACCATTCCATCATCTCCACCATTCCATCATCTCCACCATCACCATCCCCCCATCTCCAGTATCTTCACCATCACCATCCCACCATCTCCACCATCACCATCTCCACCATTTCACCATTCCACCATCTCTACCATCACAATCCCCCATCCCAATAGCTCCACCATCGCCACCTTCACCATCCAACCACTCCATCATGTCCACCATTCCCCCATCTCCAGCATCTCCACAATCCCACCATCACCATCCCCATCCCGCCATCACCATCCCACCATCTCCATCATCCCCATCCCACCATCCCCATCATCCCCATCCCACACCATCCCCATCCCACCATCCCCATCCCACCATCCCCACCATCCCCATCCCACCATCCCCATCCCACCATCTCCATCATCCCCATCTCCATCATCCCCATCTCCATCATCCCCATCTCCATCATCCCCATCTCCATCATCCCCATCCCGCCATCCCCATCATCCCCATCCCACACCATCCCCATCTCAATCATCCCCATCCCACCATCTCCACCATCCCCATCCCACCATCCCCATCCCACCATCACCATCCCACCATCACCATCCCACCATCACCATCACCATCCCACCATCTCCACCATCCCCACCATCCCCATCCCACCATCCCCATCTCCACCATCCCGCCGCCCCCCGGTGCCGCCGACCTCCATCTTGGTCTGGATCCAGGGCCCGACGCGGTTGGCCTGGCTGCCGAACTGCCGCCGCAGGCGCTCGTTGGAGTCCTGCCGCGCCTGCTCCTCCTGCAGCGCCTGGTCCCGCTGCGGCACCAGCTGCTGCACCTGCGGGACACCGCGGCCGTCGGGAACGGGGACGGGGAACCGGGAATGGGAACCGGGAAACCGGGAACGGGGAACCGGGAAACCGGGAACGGGGAACCGGGAAACCGGGAATGGGGAACCGGGAAACCAGGAATGGGGTCAGGAACGTGCCGGGAAACCGGGAATGGGGAACCGGGAAACTGGGAATGGGGAACTGGGAAAGGGGAACCGGGAAAGGGGTTGGGAAGGCGGGAAAGGGAAGTGGGAATGGGGTCGGGAACGTGCTGGGAAACCAGGAATGGGGTCGGGAATGCGGGAAAGGGAACCGGGAATGGGGTCGGGAACGCGCTGGGAAACCAGGAATGGGGAACTGGGAAAGGGGAACCAGGAAAGGGGAACCGGGAAACCGGGAATGGCGTCGGGAATGTGGTGGGAAACTGGGAATGGGGTCGGGAAGGCGGGAAAGGGAAGCGGGAATGGGGTCAGGAACACGCCGGGACACTGGGAATGGGGAACCGGGAAACCGGGAATGGGGAACTGGGAAAGGGGAACTGGGAAAGGGGAACCGGGAAAGGGGAACCAGGAATGGGGTCGGAAAGGCGGGAAAGGGAACCGGGAACGGGGCCGGGAACGTGGGAAAGGGAACTGGGAAACATGGAAAAGGGTTAAAATAGGAAAGGGGTGGGAAACATGGAAACATGGAGGGGAAGGGGTTAAAATGGGAAAGGGTGGGAAACACAGAAGGGAATAGGGAAAAATGGGAAAGGGTGAGAAACACGGAGGGGAACCGAGAAAAACGGAGGGGGAACCGGGAAACATGGGAAAGGGGTGGGAAACACGGATGGGAAACTGGGAAACACGGAGGGGAAACCAGGAAAAACGGGAAAGGAGTGGGAAACAGGGAGGGGGAAAATGGCAGGAAGAGGGGAAAAACTGCAGGAAAAGGGGGAAACGGCGGGAAAAGGGGAAAAACGGCGGGAAAGGGGGAAAACCACAGAGAAAGGGGGAAAAACTGCAGGAAAGGGGGAAAATAGCAGGAAAAGGGGGAAATGCAGGGAGGAGGGCGGGCTCCGTACCCGCTCCCACTTGGAGTTGATGACCTGGGCCGTGACCGAGGTGTAGGGGTTGCTGGCGGGCAGCTGGATCCCGTGCAGCTCCGCCATCCGCTGCGCCTCCCGCTGGATCCCCAGGATCGCCTCCCGCTCCTTGTCCGCGTCCGGCAGCGTCGACTTGAACTGCTCGTGGGCCGCGATCAGGCCCTGGGGGCACGGACAGGGCTCCTCACAATTCCACGGAATTCCATGGAATTCCTCAGAATTAATTCCACAGAACTCCTCGGAATTCCACGGAATTCCACAGAATCAATTCCACAGAACTCCTCAGAATTCCACGGAATTCCACAGAACTCCTCAGAATTAATTCCACAGAACTCCTCAGAATTCCATGGAATTCCACAGAACTCCTCAGAATTAATTCCACAGAATTCCACGGCACTCCTCAGAATTCCACTGAATTTCTCAGAATTAATTCCTCAGAATTCCACAGAATTCCTTAGATTTACAGGGAATCCCTCAGAATTCCTCAGAATTAATTCCTCAGAATTCCACAGATTTCGTCAGAACTCCTCAGAATTCCACAGAACTCCTCAGAATTAATTCCACGGAATTCCACAGAATTTCACAGAACTCCTCAGAATTCCTCAGAATTAATTCTTCAGAATTCCTCAGAATTTCACAGAACTCCTCAGAATTAATTCCTCAGAGTTCCACAGAATTCCACAGATTTCCTCAGAACTAATTCCTCAGACTTCCAGAGAACTCCACAGAGTTCCACATAATTCCTCAGAACTCCACAGAATTCCTTAGAGTTCCACAGAATTCCTCAGAACTCCTCAGAATTCCAGGGATTGCAGCTGGGAGCTGCTTGATCCCCACAGCTCCCACGCCTCTGCCACTCAGCCAGCAAGGAGAACACCCCGAAAATGGCATTTTTTGGATTTTTGTGGTTTCTGGGGCGGGGTTCGGGGCGCCCACCTGGATCTCCTCGATGGTGTGCACGATGAACATGTCCTGCAGGTCCTCCATGGCGCTCTCCATCCAGTTGTTGAAGGGCGCCGCGCGCTTGGCGTACTCCAGGTGCAGCTCGTCGATGGTCTCCAGCTGCTTCTCCGTTTTCTGCCGCCACAAACGCCGGCGTCGGACCCCGGGGTGGGACCCGGGGTTGGGATGGGAGGTTGGGATCCCAGGGTTGGGATCTGGGACTGGGATCCCGGACTGGGATCTGGGACTGGGATCTGGGGTCGGGATCAGGAGTTGGGATCCAGGATTGGGATCCCAGGGTTGGGATTGGAGATTGGGATCCCAGGACTGGGATCTGGGACTGGGATCCGGGGTTGGGATTGGGGACTGGGATCTGGGGTCGGGATCAGGAGTTGGGATCCAGGATTGGGATCCCAGGGTTGGGACTGGAGATTGGGATCCAAGATTGGGATCTCAGGGTTGGGATCCGGGGTTAGGATCCCAGGGCTGGTTGGGATCCTGGGGGCAGTGGGGATCCCAGGTTGGGATTGGGGATTGGGATCCGGGATTGGGACCCCAGGGTTGGAATCCAGGGTTGAGATCGGGGATTGGGATCCTGTGGCTGGTTGGGATCCGGGGTTAGTTGGGATCTGTGGTTGTGATCCCAGGTCAGGCTGGGATCTGAGGTTGGGATCCCGGGGTTAGTTGGGATCTGGGATTGGGATCCCGTGGCTGGTTGGGATCTGGCGTTAGTTGGGATCCGTGGTTGTGATCCCAGGTCAGGCTGGGATCTGGGATTGGGATCTGGGGCTGGGATCCCGTGGCTGGTTGGGATCCTGGGGCTGGGATCCCAGGTCAGGCTGGGATCTGGGGTTGGGATCTGGGGCCGGGATCCCGTCCCCCCCGCCCCCCGGGACCCCGCGGACCTCCAGCGCCTCGCGGCGGCTGTGGGTCAGGGAGCCCAGCAGGTCCCACTGGTCACAGATCTTCTGGCACCGGGCGTTGACGCTCGGCGCGTCGTAGTAATCCAGCTCGCTGGGAAATGGGGAAAAACGGGGAAAAAATGGTGAAAAATGGGGGGAAAACAGAGAAAAACAGGGGGAAACAGGGAAAAAATGGGGGAAAAGGGGAAAAAATGGGGGGAAATGGGGAAAAAACAGGGAAAAAATGGGGGCAAATGGGGAAAATGGGGGAAAATAGAGAAAAAATTGGGAAAAATGGGGAAAAAATGAGAAAAACCAGGGGGAAACAGGGAAAAATGGGGGGAAATAAGGAAAAATGGGGGGAAACGGGGAAAAACAAGGGGGAAAATGGGAAAAAAACAGTGGGAAAAGAGGGAAAGGCCATGGGAAAAGGGAGAAGGGGAAAAGGAAGAAAAGGGGAAAATAGTGGGAAAAGGTGCAAAGGGGAAAAAGTGTGGGAATATTTCAGGTCAGTTTGGGTATATTTTGGGATAGTTTGGGTTATTCACTTGGTAATATTTTCGGGTGTATTTTGGGACATCTCTCAGGTTATTCTGGGGATATTTTGGGGTCTCCCATCCTGTACTTGGGTGATGGCTGGGAGCTGCTTTTGGGGTCTCCCCACAGGACACTTTGGGGGTGATTTTGGGGTCCAATTTGGGGTGTTTTGTGTTCCCATACTTGAGCTCCTGGGCGATGGCCGCGATCTGCTCCACCCGGTCCTGGTGCGCTGCCAGGTCCGACTCGAAGGCCTCGTGCTTGCGGAGCAGCGCCCGCACCTGGGCCAGCGAGGCCGTGCCCGAGTCCCGGTCCCGCAGGGCCACCTCCTTACCTGGCACAGGTGTGGGGACACCCCTGAGACCCCAAATCCCTCTCTGTGCCACCCCCTGTGCCACCTCCTTACCTGGACACAGGTGTGGGGACACCCCTGAGACCCCAAATCCCTCTCTGTGCCACCCCCTGTGCCACCTCCTTACCTGGCACAGGTGTGGGGACACCCCTGAGACCCCAAATCCCTCTCTGTGCCACCCCCTGTGCCACCTCCTTACCTGGCACAGGTGTGGGGACACCCCTGAGACCCCAAATCCCTCTCTGTGCCACCCCCTGTGCCACCTCCTTACCTGGCACAGGTGTGGGGACACCCCTGAGACCCTTAAAATTAACCTGTGACACCCCCTGTGCCACCTCCTTACCTGGACACAGGTGTGGGGACACCCTTGAATCCCTGTCATCCCCAAATCCATCCTCTGAACACCCAAATCCATCCCCTAAACCCCCAAATCCATCCCCTAAACCCCGAAATCCATTTCCCATTCCCCAATTCCATCCCCTGAAGCCCCAAATCCATTCCCCATTCCCCAATTCCATCCCCTGTTCCCCAATTCCATCCCCTGCTCCCCAATTCCATCCCCTGCTCCCCAAATCTATAGCCTGAATCCTCAAATCCTGGGGTCTGAACCCCCAGTTCCATTCTCTGCTCCACAAATCCATCCCCTGACGTCCCAATTCTATCCCCTGAACCCCCAAATCCATTCCCCGTTCCCCAGTTCCATCTCCTGCACCCCCAGTCCCATCCCCAGCCCCCCAAACCTCTGACCCCCACCCCGGTACCTTCCGTCCAGCCCTCGTGGATCGAGGCTTTCTGCCGGAATTTCTCGGCCAGGTGATCCAGGCGCTCCAGGCGCCGCAGCTCCGTCAGCAGCCACTCCTCGTGGCCCTTCTCGGCCTGCTCCAGGCGCTGCCACCCTGCCCCGATGTCCTGGGGACCCCAAAAACCCCCAGAGTCACCCCAAAATCCCCTAGGGTCACCCCAAAATCCCCCAGGGTCACCCCACCTTGGGGTCACCCCAAAATCCCTCAGAGTCACCCCAAAAACCACCAGGCTCACCCCAAAACCCCCCAGGGACCCTCCCAAATCCCTTGAGCCCACCCTGCCCTCTGACAGCTCCCAAGGGGGTGGGTTTAGGACCCCCCAAGAACCCCCAAATCTCCTCCCAGGACCTCAAAGCCCCCAGACCCACCAAGACCATCCTGCCCTCAGAGGGTCAGGGCAGATTTGGGGCAGCTTAGGGTGGGTTTAGGACACACCAAGACCCCGAAGCCCCCAGACCCACTGAGACCATCCTGCCCTCAGAGGGTCAGGGCAGATTTGGGGCAGCTTAGGGTGGGTTTAGGACACACCAGGACCCCGAAGCCCCCAGACCCACTGAGACCATCCTGCCCTCAGAGGGCTGGGACAGATTTGGGGAGTTCGGGGTGGATTTAGGACACACCAAAGTGGGTTTAAGCTCCCCCAGGACCCCGAAGACCCCAGACCCACCAAGACCATCCTGCCCTCAGAGGGTCAGGGCAGATTTGGGGCAGCTTAGGGTGGGTTTAGGACACACCAGGACCCCGAAGCCCCCAGACCCACCGAGACCACCCTGCCCTCGGAGGGCTGGGGCAGATTTGGGGCAGCTTAGGGTGGGTTTAGGACACGCCAGGACCCTGAAGCCCCCAGACCCACCGAGACCATCCTGCCCTCGGAGGGCTGGGGCAGATTTGGGGCAGTTCAGGGTGGTTTAAGCCCCCCCAGGACCCCGAAGCCCCCAGACCCACCGAGACCATCCTGCCCTCGGAGGGCATGAAGGCGGGCCGGCCGCTGAGGCGCAGTTTGGTCTGCAGGGTGTTGAAGTTGATCTCCAGCTGGCACTTCTCCTGCACCTTGGGGGGTTTGTGCACCCTGCGGTACTCGCGGAAATCCTCCAGCTTCTGCTGCATGGCCGGGATGGTTTTCTGCGGGTCCCGCGCCTCCAGCCAGGGGATGGTGCGCTGGATCCACGCCAGCAGCTGGGGAGAGATGTGGGGTGTGGGGTGTGAGGTGGGGTTTGAGGTGGGGTTTGGGGTGGGATTTGTGGTGTGGGATTGGGTTTGGGATGGGGTTTGGGATGGGGTTTGTGCGCTGGATCCACGCCAGCAGCTGGGGAGAGATTTGGGGTGTGGGATGGGGTTTGGGATGTGGGGTGGGGTTTGGGATGGGGTTTCAGGTGTGGGGTGGGGTTTGGTGTGTGGGATGGGGTTTGGGATGAGGTTTGGGATGCGGTTTCAGGTGTGGGGTGGGGTTTGGGATGAGGTTTGGGATGAGGTTTGGGATGGGGCTAGTGTGCTGGATCCACGCTAGCAGCTGGGGGAGAGGGATTTGGGGTGTGGGATGGGGTTTGGGATGGGGTTTCAGGTGTGGGGTGGGGTTTGGGGTGTGGGATGGGGTTTGGGGTGTGTGGATGGGGTTTGGGATGAGGTTTGGGATGGGGTTTCAGGTGTGGGGTGGGGTTTGGGGTGTGGGATGGGGTTTGGGATGAGGTTTGGGATGGGGTTTGTGCGCTGGATCCACGCTAGCAGCTGGGGGAGAGGGATTTGGGGTGTGGGATGGGGTTTGGGATGTGGGGTGGGGTGTGGGATGGGATTTGAGGTTTGGGATGGGGCTGGATCCACGCCAGCAGCTGGGAAACAGGGGTTTGGGGATCTGGGAGGGGGTTTGGGGGTGGTTTTGGGGTGGGATTTGGGGTTTTCCCCCCTTACATCCGAGGCCAGGCACTCACAGTGCTCTGTGAGAGGTTTGGGGGTGGTTTTGGGTTTTGGGGATGTTTTTGGGGTGGGATTTGGGGTCTGGGGGTGTTTTTGGGGTGGGATTTGGGATTTCCCCCCCTTACATCCGAGGCCAGGCGCTCGTAGTCCTCCATGAGCTGCTCGTTCTCCTGGTTCACGGCCAGAACTTTGCAGATCCGATTCGCCGCCGTCTCCGCCTGAGGAAAAACGGGATTGGGAATATGGGGTTGGGAATGGAAATAGGGGAATGGGAATATGGGATTGGGAAATTGGGAATGGGAATATGGGATTGGGAATGGGCATATGGGAATGGGAATATGGGATTGGGAAATGGAATTGGGAAATGGAATTGGGAATAATACGGGAATGGGAATAGGGGAATGGGAATACGGGATTGGGAATATGGGAATGGGAATACAGGAAAAAAAAGAGGGAAAAAAGGGAGAAAAGGGGGGAAAAGGGGGAAAGGGGGGAAAAAGGGGAGGAAAGGGGGAAAAGGGGAGAAAAAAGTGGGAAAAAAGGGGGAAAAAAGGGAGAAAGAAAAAGGAAAGCCAGCCCCCTCTGGGCCCAATCCCAATCCCGATCCCAATCCCGAATCCGCACGGGCTGTCCTGCCCCAGGAGGAGGAGGAGGAAGAGGAGGAGGAGGAAGAGCTGGGCTGGAGGTACCTGGGTGGGAGGCAGAGGAGGAATCCAGGAGGAGGAGGAGGACGGACTCCAGCGGGAAGAGGAAGAGGAGCTGGGAAGGGCCGGGAGGAGGAAGAAAATAAAGGAAATAAATGAAGGAAATAAAGGAAATAAATGAAGGAAAACTGTAAATTAAAGAAAAGGGGGGAAAGGGAGGGAGGGAGAGGAAGGGAATGGAGGAAGCAGGAAAAGGAAGGTGGGGGAGGAAGGGAATAAAGGAAAGGGAAAAAGAAGGGAAGAAAGGGGAAAATGAAAGGAATAAAGAAAAAAGAAATAAAGGAAAAAGGAAAGGAATAAAGGAAAGGGGAAAGGAAGGGAATAAAAGGGAAAAGGAAGGGAATACAGGGAAAAGGAAGGGAATAAAGGGGGAAAGGAAGGGAATAAAAGGGAAAAGGAAGGGAATACAGAGGGAAAGGAAGGGAATAAAGGGGAAAGGAAGGGAATACAGGGAAAAGGAAGGGAATACAGGGGAAAGGAAAGGAATAAAGGGGAAAAGAAGGGAATACAGGGAAAAGGAAGGGAATAAAGGGGAAAAGAAGGGAATAAAGGGGAAAAGGAAGGGAATGCAGGCAGGGAACGAGGCAGGGAACACAGGAAGAACCCCAGGGAAGCAGCGTGAGCTCAGCAGAGCCAGGCCCACTTCCCCCATCCCCAAGCCAAGCAGAGCAGCAGCCAGGCAGATCCCAGACCCCGGGCAGATCCTGGGCAGATCCCAGATCCTGGGCAGATCCCAGACCCCAGGGAAGGGCAGCGGGACCTCCGGGGCCGGGCTCACCTTCTGGGCCCCGGAGAAGGCGTGGTAGAAGCAGGACACGTAGGTCATGATGGCCTTCTCGTCGGGCCGCAGCGTGCCCACGATATCTGCCCGGGGAGAGCAGAGGACAGCCACAGCTCCAGCAGCATTCCCAAAATCCCAGCGCGGGCGGGAAGCGCTTCCCGGGGTCGGGACCACCCGCCCCAGGGATGGCTCATGGGGGGTTTGTCCTGCCTGGGCCCCGTTCCTCAACGCCCCGGCAGCCAGAGGGGCTTCCCGGAACCTTGGCCCGCCCTGCACGTGGATCTCACGTGGATTTCCTGTGGATTCCCATGGATTTCCCATGGATTCCTACAAATTTCCCATGGATTTCCATGGAATCCCGTGGATTTCCATGGATTTCCCATGGATCTCTACAAATTTCCCATGGATTTCCCATGGATTTCCCATGGATTCTCATGGAATCCCATGGATTCCCACCGATTTTCACTAATTTCTAATGGATTTCCAAGGATTTCTATGGATTTCCAAGGATTCCCATGGATTCCCAGAAATTTCCCATGAATTCCCATGGATTTCCAAGTTCCCATGGACTTCTGTGGATTTTTATGGAATCCCATGGATTTCCAAGGGCTTCTATTAATTTCCCATGGATTTCCCACGTATTCCCACGGATTTCCATTAATTTCCCATGGATCTCCATGGATTTCCCATGGATTTCCCATGTATTCCCACAGATTCCCCACAGATTCGGGAATCCCAGGCGGATTTAACCCCTCGTGAGCCAGCCAGGGGTGGTCCCGGAGCCCCCACGAGTGACAGCGGCCGTGGCTGGAAGAGAAGCGAGCATGAGAGCAGAGAGAGAATTCCGAGAATTCCAGAGGGGGGAAGGTTCCGGAAGGACGGGCGGATCCGGGAGGATTCTCCCGGTACCTTCTGGGCCCCGGAGAAGGCGTGGTAGAAGCTGGACACGTAGGTCATGATGGCCTTCTCGTCCGGCCGCGCCGTGTTCACGATGTCTGCGGGGAACCGCACGGGTTAAACTGGGAGCAAACTGGGAGCAAACTGGGAGCAAACTGGGAGCGGCTGGGGCACGGGGCTGGCGGGATTCCCGGCTGGAATTCCGCTCCGGGGGCTCCAAATCCCGGGGGAACCCACACCGATGGATTTGGGATGGATGGGAAAAATTTGGGTTAGGGCAGGCGCCTCCTCCGGGAGTCCTGGGATTGAGTGGCCTTGGAATTGTGGGGTCCTGGAATTGAGGAATCAAAGCGTTATGAAATCCTGGAATTGTGGGGTCCTGGAGTTGTGGGGTCCTGGAGTTGAGGGATCAGAAAGTTGTGGGATCCTGGAATAATAAAATCCAAGAATCACGGGATCCTAGCAAAAAGAGATGCCAGATTTATGGGATCCTGGAATTGTGGAGACCTGGAATAATGCAACCCTACAGTTATGGGATCCTGGAAGAAGGGAATTCCGGATCTATGGGAATTGTGGAGTCCTGGAATAATGAAATCCGAGAATTACGGGATCCTGGAAGAAGGGAATGCCAGATTTGTGGGATCCTAGAATTGTGGAATCCTGCAATTGTGGAATCCGAGAATTACGGGATCCTGGAGGAAGGGAATGCCAGATTTGTGGGATCCTGGAATTGTGGAGATCTGAGTAATGAAATCTGAGAATTGTGGGATCCTGGAAGAAGGGAATGCCAGATTTGTGGGATCCTAGAATTGTGGAATCCTGGAATTGTGGAATCCTGGAATAACAAACCCCTGCAATTACGGGATCCCGGAGGAAGGGAATGGCAGATTTGCAGGATGCAGGAATTGTGGGATGGCACAGCTGTGGAGTCCTGAGGGTCCTGCAGCCCTGGAATTCCAGGATGGTGGAACCAAAGGATTACAGAACCCTGAACATCCCAAATCCCAGATGGATCCACGCGGAGAGCTGGGAATTGCTGCTAAACCGGAGAAATCCAGGATAAATCAGGGATCCGGCGCCTCCCGCCAGGAAATCCCCCTGCAGGGCCTGGAAGAGATCCCGGGATCCGCCGGATCCCGCATTCCGCGCTTACCCTCGGCGTCCAGCATCTTGGGGATGTCCAGGTACTTCTCGGCCACCTCGAAGGCGTTGTTGAGGTTGGTGACGGGGTCGTCCTGCGGGGCAGCAGAGCGGGAGGCTCCGTGGGCGGGAATTCCCGGAATTCCGGGATTTTCCGGGGGGAAAGGTGGGGGTTACCTTGCGCAGCTTGTCGTACTCGATCAGCTCCGGGCGGTGTCGGTGGATGAGGGCGTTGAAGGCCAGCCCGTCCTTCCAGCTGCGGGAAAACGGGAGTGAGGAAAACCGGGAATCCGTGGGGAAAACCAGGATCAGACCCCGGGAATCCATGGGAAAAACCGGGATCAGATCCCGGGAATCCACGGGAAAAACCGGGATCAGATCCCGGGAATCCACGGGGAAAACTGGGATCAGATCCCGGGAATCCACGGGAAGAACCGGGATCAGATCCCGGGAATCCACGGGAAAAACCGGGATCAGATCCCGGGAATCCACGGGAAAAAACGGGATCAGATCCCAGGAATCCATGGGAAAAACCGGGATCAGATCCCGGGAATCCACGGGAAAAACCGGGATCAGATCCCGGGAATCCACGGGGAAAACTGGGATCAGATCCCGGGAATCCACGGGAAAAACCAGGATCAGATCCCGGGAATCCACGGGAAAAAACGGGATCAGATCCCGGGAATCCATGGGAAAAACCGGGATCAGATCCCAGGAATCCATGGGAAAAACTGGGATCTGATCTTGGGAATCCATGGGAAAAACTGGGATCAGATCCTGGGAATTTGGAGGGAATTTGGGAATTCTGCCCCTGCCTGAGCCCAGCCCACCCTGGGGAATAGGAATATAGGAATGGGAAGGGGAAGGGGAAGAGGAAGGGGAAGGGGAAGGGGAAGAGGAAGGGGAAGGGGAAGGGGAAGGGGAAGGGGAAAGGGGAAGGATGAAGGGGAAGAGGCAGGACCTGATGTGGAAGTTCTGGACGTTGACGTTCTTGTAGGGCGCCGTTTTCCGCTGGCACCAGAGCAGGAGCCCCTCCTTGGCCGAGGTCTCTGCGGGAGCAGGGAGCAGGGATCGGGGCGATCCCGGGACTGGATCCCGGGGGGATCCTGGGGCAGATCCCACAGCCCCAGCAGCAGATCCCAGGCTGGATCCCTCAATCCCAGGGGAGGATCCCCCAGTCCCAGAATCAGATCCCAGGGTCCCAGGAGCAGATCCCAGGCAGGATCCCTCAATCCCAGGAGTGGATCCCAGGGGAAGATCCCACCACCCCAGGGGCAGACCCCGGGGTGGATCCCAGAATCCCAGGAGCAGATCTCAGAGGCGGATCCCGTGTGGATCCCCCAATCCCAGAGCGGATCCTGGGGCAGATCCCCTGTGGATCCCCCAATCCCGGGAACGGATCCCATGTGGAGCCCCAATCCCAGGAGCAGATCCCAGAGGCAGATCCCGTGTGGATCCCCCAATTCCAGGAGCAGATCCCATGTGGAACCCCAATCCCAGGAGCAGATCTCGTGTGGATCCCCCAATCCCAGGAGCAGATCCCATGTGGAACCCCAATCCCAGGAGCAGATCCCAGAGGCAGACCCCGTGTGGATCCCCCAATCCCAGGAGAGGATCCCGGGACAGATCCCGTGTGGATCCCCCGACCCCGGGAGCGGATCCCATGTGGAGCCCCAATCCCACGAGCAGATCCCAGAGGCAGATCCCGTGTGGATCCCCCAATCCCAGGAGCAGATCCCATGTGGAGCCCCAATCCCAGGAGCGGATCCCCTGTGGATCCCCCAATCCCGGGACAGATCCCATGTGGATCCCCCAATCCCAGGAGAAGATCCCATGTGGAACCCCAATCCCAGGAGCAGATCCCGTGTGGATCCCCCAATCCCAGGAGCGGATCCCGTGTGGATCCCCCAATCCCAGGAGCGGATCCCGGGACAGATCCCGTGTGGATCCCCCGGCCCCGGGAGCGGATCCCGCGCGCCGTTACCTTCCACGGAGATGTCCTGGATGGCGAAGCGCAGGATGATGGTCCAGATCATGCCCAGCGTCATCTTGGCGTTCCCGTCCACGATCTCTGCGGGAGAGCCACAGGGATCGGTTCCGGCTGGGAATTCCCAGGGGGAACCACGGGGCTGTGGGATCCTGGGAATGGCGGGGGGGCTCCACAAGAGCAGGGGCCAAAAACTGCGGAACGCCAAAAGGAACGGATCCCGCATTCGGGAATCTGCGGTAATGGGACCACGGGATCTGGGAACGGCGGGATCCTGGATTTAGGGAGTCTCAGGACACAAAGTTCTGGAATTGCGGGACCCAAAAATCATGGAACCCTGGGATTAGGGGATGCAGGGTTTGTGGGATTGCAGAACGGGAATCACAGATCCTGGGATTATGGAACCACAGATCCCGTTCGTTACAGAACCACGGAATCCCGGGATCATGGAACCGCTGGGGCTGGAAAAGACCTGGAAACCCACAGAGGGAGGAATCCCACAAGGGAGGGAAGCAGGAGGAATTCCGGGCTCCTCATCCCCATCCCACATTCCCAGCAGTGCCTCCAGCAGCCCCAGCCCTGTTTTTTGGGAATTCCTGGGACGGGGGCGGGCGCTGGGCGTCTCCCGGCTCGGGGCCGGTCGGGACTCGCTCGGCTCCGGGCACGCGGAGCTTTCCCGAGCTCGGATCCCAACAAACCGGCCCGGCCGGGGCCGCTGCCAGCCCGGCCCGCCCGGCCCGGCGGGGATCCCGTGGGAATGGTCCTCGAGGTCCCGCAGGGAATGATCGGGATCCCGCAGGGAATGGTCCCAATCCCGCAGGGAACGGTCCCAGATCCCACAGGGAATGGTCCCAATCCCACAGGGAATGATCGGGATCCCACAGGGGATGGTCCCAGATCCCACAGGGAACAGTCCCAGATCCCACAGGGAACGGTCCCGATCCCACAGGGAACGGTCCCAGTCCCGCAGGGAATGGTCCCAGATCCCACACGGAATGGTCCCAGATCCCACACGGAATGGTCCCAATCCCGCAGGGAATGATCGGGATCCCACAGGGGATGGTCCCAATCCCACAGGGAATGATCGGGATCCCACACGGAATGGTCCCAGATCCCGCAGGGAATGGTCCCAATCCCGCAGGGAATGATCCCAGTCCCGCAGGGAATGATCGGGATCCCACAGGGGATGGTCTCAATCCGACAGGGAATGATCAGGATCCCACAGGGAATGGTCCCAGATCCCACAGGGAACAGGCCCAAATTTAAAGGGTTTTGGGTCAAGTTTAAAGGGTTTGGGTCAGAATTAAAGGCTTTAGGTCAGGGTTAAAGGGCTTAGGTCAGGGTTAAAGGGTTTGAGTCAGGGTTAAAGAGATTGGGTAAGGATTAAAACCCATCCAAATCCCAATTTTGGCCTAGAAGGGGCGAACCCCGGGCACTGGGGCGGTGAATCCCAGCGGATCCCAGCAGATCCCAGCGGATCCCGAGGTGGGGCCTCACCCTCGGCACCGATGGAGACGAGCTTGACGCCTTTGCTGGCGATGAAGTCCAGGGCCTTGTTGACGTTGTTGATCTTGTGCACCCTCATCTTGCCCCGCTCGGGCTTCGGGAGCCGCTCCCCTGCAACGGCACCAGGCTCAGAAGTGAAGGGTTTGGGTCAGGACTAAATGATCTGGGTCAGGACTAAATGATCTGGGTCAGGACTGAAGGGTTTGGGTCAGGACTAAATGATCTGGGTCAGGACTCAAGGGTTTGGGTCAGGATTAACAGGTTTGGGTCAGGGATAAGGGGTTTGGGTCAGGATTAACAGGTTTGGGTCAGGACTAAGGGGTTTGGGTCAGGATTAACAGGTTTGGGTCAGGACTAAGGGGTTTGGGTCAGGATTAACAGGTTTGGGTCAGGGATAAGGGGTTTGGGTCAGGGCTGAAGGGTTTGGGTCAGGACTAAATGATCTGGGTCAGGACTGAAGGGTTTGGGTCAGGGCTCAAGGGTTTGGGTCAGGACTGAAGGGTTTGGGTCAGGACTAAATGATCTGGGTCCGGACTAACAGGTTTGAGTCAGGACTAACGGGTTTGGGTCAGGACTGAAGGGTTTGGGCCAGGACTAACAGGTTTGGGTCAGGACTAACAGGTTTGAGTCAGGACTAAAGAGTTTGAGTCAGGACTAACGGGTTTGGGTCAGGATTGAAGGTTCTTGGTTAGGGCTAACGGGTTTGGGTCAGGACTCAGGGGTCTGAGTCAGGACTGAAAGATCTGGGTCAGGGTTAAAGGGTTTGGGTCAGGGCTAAAGGGTTTGGGTCAGGGTTAAAGAGTTTTGGGTCGAGTTCAAAGATGTTTGGGGAAGTTTCAGTACTTTGTGCCCAGCCTGGAAGTTTCTGGGCACAGTTTGGAGGGTTGTGGGCCCAATTTAAACACTGTGGGCTCATTTTGAGGTTTTTTTTGGGCCCAGTTTGGGGTTTTGGGCCCAGTTTGAGGGTTTTTGGGCCCAGTTTGGGGGTTTGGGCTCAGTTTAAGGATTTGGGCTCAGGCCTGACCTGAGATGACCTCGAGGAGCAGCATCAGCTTGAGCCCGTCCCGGAAATCCTCGTCGATGTTCTCGATCTGCGTGCCGGCCTTGCGCAGGTGGGAGTTGCACCAGGCCGTGAACGTCTGCGGGGCCAGGGGGGGGTCAGCGGGACCCCCGGGGTGTGGGGGGACCCCCAAGGTCAGTGGGGGATCTCTGGGGTGTGGGGGGACCCCCGGGGTCAGTGGGGGATCTCTGGGGTGTGGGGGGACCCCCAAGGTCAGCGGGACCCCCGGGGTGTGGGGGGATCCCCAGACTTTGGGGGAAAAGGGGGAGATTGGGGGCCTGGGGATTCCTCATCCCACTGGGAATGACCCCACTGACCCCACTGGGAATGACCCCGGGTTATTGACCCCACTGATCCCAGCAGGAATGACCCCGGGTTATTGATCCCACTGGGAATGACCCCACCGACCCCACTGGGAATGACCCTGGGTTATTGATCCCACTGGGAATGACCCCACCGATCCCAGCAAGAATGACCCCGGGTTATTGACCCCACTGGGAATGACCCCACTGGGAATGACCCCGGGTTATTGATCCCACTGATCCCAGCAGGAATGACCCCGGGTTATTGACCCCACTGGGAATGACCCCGGGTTATTGACCCCACTGGGAATGACCCCGGGTTATTGACCCCACTGGGAATGACCCCGGGTTATTGATCCCACTGATCCCAGCAGGAATGACCCCGGGTTATTGATCCCACTGGGAATGACCCCACTGATCCCAGCAGGAATGACCCCGGGTTATTGACCCCACTGGGAATGACCCCGGGTTATTGATCCCACTGATCCCAGCAGGAATGACCCCGGGTTATTGATCCCACTGGGAATGACCCCGAGCCTTTCACCCGCCGGGAACGCCGATCCCACAGCCCCCACTGCAGTGATCTGCGGTGCTGGGACGGCTCCACCCCACAATCTGCTCCTGGGGCCGCATTTTGGGATCAGGGATCTCCTCCCGACAGATCCCTGCCCGCTCCATCCCCGGGATGCGACCCCAGAGCCATCCCAGCAGGGTTCCCGGGCAGATCCCGGTTTTGGGCGGGCAGATCCCGGTTTTGGGTGGGCAGATCCCAGCAGGGTTCCCGGGCAGATCCCGGTTTTGGGCGGGCAGATCCTGGTTCTGGTCGGGCTGATCCCAGCAGGGTTCCCGGGCAGATCCCAGTTTTGGGTGGGCTGATCCCAGCAGGGTTCCCGGGCAGATCCCGGTTCTGGGCAGACCCATCCCAGCAGGGTTCCCGGGCAGATCCCGGTTTTGGGGTGGCTGTGGGCTCGTTCCCGGGCGGCTCCGGGGCGGCGCCGGGACTTTGGCCGGTGCCAGGCCCGCACATGCCTGTGCCAGGCGCGGCCGGGCGCGGCCCTGAGTCACCGGCCCCGAGGGATCCCGAGAGATCCCAGAAATATCCCCTTCTGGGATCTCCTTCATGGGCAAACACAACGGGCCTTGAGTCACCTGGCCCCGAGAGATCCCAGAAAAATCCCAAAAAATCCCAGAAAAATCCACCTCTGGGATCGCCTTCATGGGCACGAACAACAGGCCCTGAGTCACCTGGCCAGGAGAGATCCCAGAAAAATCCCCAAAAATCCCATTAAAATCCCGCTCTGGGATCTCCTTCACGGGCAAACACAACGGGTCCTGAGTCACCCAGCACTGAGAGATCCCAGAAAAATCCCCAAAAATCCCATTAAAATCCTGCTCTGGGATCTCTTCCTGGCCCTGCAGTGCCCAGGGGTCACCTTCCAAAAACCGGGGAAATGCCACCAAATCCTGGGAATTTCTGTGCCAAATCCCGGGAATTTCTGTGCCAAATCCTGGGAATTTCTGAGCCAAATCCCGGGAATTTCTGTGCCACATCCCGGGAACTTCTGTGCCCAGGGAATCCTTGCTGTCTCCCCGGCCCCAGGACGTTCCCACAGCCCCAAAGCCGAGGGTTTTCCCCCCAAAAAAGGAGGAATTTGGGAAGGATGGGTGGGAAGCCGGGGCCATCGGAATTCGGGATAAATCCCGCCCGGAGTGACCCCCCCCAGCCCCGGCGCGTTCCGGCCAGAAATAACCATCCCAAAAATGCCTAAAAAAGGAGATTCCGCACGGGCCTCTGGAATTTCCTTCCCACGGAACCGCTGGAAAAGCGTTTTCCAGGCATTGTGTCCGGGACCCCTCCCGAAATCCGGGCAGGCACCGAGCCCGCCCCAAATCCCGGGATTTCGGGGCTGGGAAAGGGATTTATCCCACTTTTCATCCCTCCTTTCCTCTGTTTGTCCATGCAAACCGCTGGGAAACAGCGGCAGGGAGGAAAACCTGCCTCCTCTTCCTCCTTTCCATGGAAAAATTGGGAATTTTCCTCCATTTTTTCTCTAAAAATTGGGAATTTCAGAGCTGGAAAATGCATTTCCCTCCCTCTTTTCCTCCATTTTTTTTCCCTAAAATCCCAACTTTGGGATGCAAAATCCCTTGGGAAGAATCTGGGATGTGTTTGTCAACGATCCCAAGGGTTTATTCCCAACTTTTTAAGGGAAAAATCCCTAATTCTGGGCACTGGGCACGCTGGGAATGCTGCCCTGGGTTGTTCCCTGGGGAATTTTTTCGGGGAGATCCTCAGAGACAGCGATTTATCCCCAAAAAAGCCCCAGATTGGGATTTTCCTCCGGGAGCCTCCCAGAATTCCTCATTTTTGGGTCCTTCTTGGGGTTTTCCCAGTGTGGGAGCCCCGGGAATGCTGACCCCGAGAATTCCAGGCGGGAATGAGCCCCCCGGGTGGGTTTTGGGGTCTTTTCCCGGGGTTTGAATAAGGGCAGGAACGAATTCGCTCCCACATCCCCAAATTCCCGTTAAAATGTGGCAGAGATGAAAGAAAATTCCAGAGGGAATAAAAAACTCATCCAGGCGTTCCTCTTAGCGGGGTTAATTAACGCCATTTGCATAATTAACATAATTAACGAGGCGCCGCTTGTCCGAGGAGAGGGAAAAACGAGGAAAAATCAGGGAAATAACCCAAAATCCACGATGAGGGGTCAGAAAATCTGGGAAAAGGGGAAAAAAAAAGGGAAAGTGATGGAAAAAGTCAGGAAAAGTCACCCAGAAATCAGGGAAAATGAGGAAAAAAATGGGGGAAATTACTTAAACATGGGGAAAATTACCAAAAATTCAGGAAAACTGAGGATGAACTGGGAAAATTAGCAGAAAAGTGGGAAAGTGATGATAACACCAGGAAAAGTGGCCCAAAAACAGGGGAAAATGATCCAGAAGCTGTGAAAAATGACCAAAACCCAGGAAAAGTTCCCCAAAAACTGTGAAAATGACCAGAAAATTTTAGAAAATGACAAAAAACTGGAGCAAAGTCAAAAAAGTCAGGAAGTTACCTAAAAAAATCAGGAAATTGGACCAAAAAATGGGGAAAAAATGATTAGAAATGGTGGGAATGAACAAAATAATGGAGGGAAATGACTAAAAATCAGGAAAAATGATTAAAATTGGGGGAAAATGACTAAAGTTTGGGGGAAAAGATCGCGAAAAATGAGGAAAAAATATAAAAAAATGGGAGAGATGAGCAGAAATGAGGGAATCTGAGGGTTTTGGGGCGCTGCTGACTCCCGTCCCTGGCACATCCCGGGTTTTCCCCTCCCCTCGGAATGTTTTGCTGTTGTTTTTTCGGATGTTTTCTGTTGCTTTCGCTGCATCTGCCGCTCCCGGGGGAGGCCGGAGCGCGGAATTCTCCTCATTCCTTGCCCTTATTGGGCTCCGGGCCGGGATTTTTGGGACGAGCTCGGTCATTCCGGGCGGCACAGGTGGAGTTTGGGTTTTTGCTCAGGTCCGCAGGTGGCTCAGGGCGTTCCCGCATTCCACGCGGGATCAGCGGCTCCAAGGCCGGCCACGCCTCGCCAGGGGTGCGGCACCCCCGAAACTCCCCAAAAAATCGGGTTTTGGGGGGGATTCTCCAGCCCACAGCAACCTGTGGGGGATGCCTGGGTTTATTCTGTGATTTTTTACACCAAAAATCCACCCCTGCGGCCAGGATGTGCCGAGGTTCCTGGGTCAGGTGGGTGGGAACAGCTGGAAATGGCCTAAAAATGGGAAAAATTAGAAATATCGGCAAAGCCAAGGAGCAGAGGGAGGGAAGATCCCTGCTGAGGGGTCGGGATCCCAAAGAGGCCGGATTTCAGTTCTCTTCCCAGTGGATCCCAGTCTGGAACTGGGGGGAAAACCACCTGTTCAGGGCAAAAATTCCTGGGGTTATAGGGAGGAAAAATACCAGTTCAGGCAAAAATTCCTGGGAGGAAAAACACCTGTTCAGGGCAAATCTTCCTGGGAGGAAAAATTCCTGTTTGGGGAAAAAATTCCTGGGAGGAATAATTACCTGTTTGGGGCAAAAATTCCTGGGGTTTTATGGGAGAAAAAACACCTGTTCAGGGCAAAACTTTCTGGAAGGAAAAAAAAAGTTGTTTGGGGCAAAAATTCCTGGGGTTTTATGGGAGAAAACACCTGTTCAGGGCAAAAATTCCTGGGAGGAAAAATACCTGTTTGGGGCAAAAACTTCCTGGGAGGAAAAAAAGCTGTTTGGGGCAAAACTGCCTGGGAGGAAACACTCCTGTTTGGGGCAAAACTTCCTGGGATTTTATGGGAGAAAAACACCTGTTCAGGGCAAAAATTCCTGGGAGGAAAAGCACCTGTTTGGGTAAAAATTCCTGAGAGGAAAAATACCTGTTTGGGACAAAAATTCCTGGAGTTTTAGGGAAGGAAAAACACCTGTTTAGGGCAAAACTTCCTGGGAGGAAAAATACCTTTTTGGAGCAAAAACTCCTGGGTTTTTATGGGAGAAAAAACCACCTGTTTGGGGCAAAAACTTCTGTGTTTTTATGGAATGAAAACCACCTGTTTGGGACAAAAGTTGCTGGATTTTTCTGGGGGTTTGGGAAGGAAGGGAGGAAGGAAAGGACGGCCGGACTCTCCGAGGGGCCGGGTTCCGTTCCCGCTGCTCTCCCGCTGCTCCGGCCGCATTGCTGGAATTCCAGAGGCGAATCCCTGGGGCGGACGCGGCCCCTTCCCCACGGCCACCATCCCCACCCGGGGGCTGTGGGATACTCGGAGTTCCAGCGCCCACGAGCAGGAATTCGGTGGGAAAGCAGGAGCCGCCTCTTGGGGGAAGGAGATTCCCAAATTCCCCAAAAAAGTGAGGAGGGGGCCGCGGCAATCCCTAAACGCCGCTCATTAACACTAATTAACGAGGCCGGCAGAGCTCATCCATCTTCCGGCATTCCCGCGGGGAAATCCACCCAAAATCCTGAGAAATCCACGGAAAAATTCCCATTCCGGGCCGAGGGAAAGCAGCAGGAACGGGGTGGGAGAGCGGGACACGAGTGGGAAGCGCCGGGAATGTCAGGAAGCGGAGGAGGAAGAGGAGGAGGAAGCTCGTCCTGCGCTTCCTGTGCCAAAAATAATCCAATTTAGCCCGGTTTTTTCTTAGAAAAACCTGGAATTCCCAGGTAACCACGGCAACGGAGCAGCGCCGAGCCCGAGGTGTCCGCAGGACAGGGGCTCCCCCGAAATGTCCCAAAAACGGACGGGATTCGCCCAAAATTCGGGGGATTACACACAACACGCGGGGAACTCAGCCCCGGGTTAGTGAATGAACACGAACCTGAGGGAATTCACACCAAAAGTCAGGGAATTCAACCAAAGCACAGGAACTGAACACAAAACTGACGGAACTCACGGCAGAACTCAGGGAATTCACCCCAACCTGTGGGAATTCACCCCAAACACGGGAATTAACCCCAAACTGCAGGAATGGAACCCCAAACTGCAGGAATGGAACCCCAAACTGCAGGAATGGAACCCCAAACTGAAGGAATTTACCTCAAACTGAAGGGATTGACCTCAAACTCCGGGAATGCACCCCAAAGTGAAGGAATTCACCCCAAACTGAAGGAATTCACTCCAAACTGAAGGAATTCACACCTAACTGTGAGAATTCACCCCAAACAGCAGGAATTCCCCCCAGACTGTGAGAATTCACCCCAAACTGAAGGAATACACCCCAAAGTGAAGGAATTCACTCCAAACTGTGGAAACGGAACCACCAACTGAAGGAATTCACCCCAAACTGAAGGAATTCATCCCAAAGTGTGAGAATTCACCTCAAACTGAAGGAATTGACCCCAAACTCCAGGAATGCACCCCAAAGTGAAGGAATTGACCCCAAACTGTGGGAATTCACCCCGGACTCCGGGAACGCACCCCAAAGTGAAGGAATTGACCCCAAAGTGAAGGAATTGACCCCAAACTGTGAGAATACACCCCAACCTGAAGGAATTCACCCCAAACTGTGAGAATTCACCCCAAAGTGTGAGAATTCACCCCAAAGTGCGAGAATACACCTCGAACTGAAGGAATTCACTCCAAACCGTGGAAATGGAAGTACAAACTGAAGGAATTCACCCCAAACACGGGAATTCACCCGGGAGTTCCGCCCGTCTCCAATGATTAACCCGGAACACTCCGGCGCCCGCTCGGAATTCCGGGCCAGCCCCTCCCAGCTCCCGGCGGTTCCCACGCCGGAGGGTCCCGGAGCTTTTTTGGGGGGGGGGGCGGTGCAGGGAGACCCCCGCAGGTCCCGCTGGCCCGGGAAGGCGGCGGATCCCGGCGGATCCCGGCGGATCCCCCTTTGCCCAGTGCCCTTTATCCCGTCCCGGAGCTCTCCGGAAGTTTCCCCACCCGGAATCGGGGGGGACCCTCCGGAATCCCTCCCCCAGAACCGGCAAAAAACCCTCGGGGTTCGCTCCAGATCCTCACAGCCCCCTCCCCAGCAAGGGAGACCCCCGAACACAGCTCTGGGGGTCCCCAAAATTCAGCCTTTAGGTGTTATATCCCCCCCAAACACAGCCCCGGGGGTCCCCAAAATTCACTCCTCAGCTGTCATAGCCCCCCAAACACAGCTCTGAGGGTCCCCAAAGTTCACCCCTCACCCCTCAAGTGTTGTACCCCCCAAACACAACCCTGGGGTCCCCAAAATTCACTCATCAGGTGTCATATCCCCCCAAACACAGCCCTGGGAGTCCCTAAAGTGTCCCACTCACCCCTCAGGTGTTGTACCCCCATAAGCACAACCCTGGGGGTCCCCAAAATTCACCCCTCACCCCTCAGGTGTCTCTCAGCCACCCCAGGATCCCTCATGGATCCCCTCGGGGACCTCAGGATCCCTCAGGGATCCCCTCAGCCAGCCCAGGATCCCTCATGGATCCCCTCAGCCAGCCCAGGATCCTCATGGATCCCCCCAGGTATCTCTCAGACACCCCAGGACCCCTCACGGATCCCCTCAGAGACCCCCCCAGCTCCCCTCAGAGACTCCTCAAACCCTCCAGACCCCTCTGGGAACCCCTCAGGCTCTGAAATCCCCTCAGGGACCCCTGAGCCCCTCACGATCCCCTCACGATTCCCCCTCAGCCCCCCCCACCTTGCGCTGCTGCTTCTCCCAGGCGGGGTCCAGGAGCAGATCTCGATCCCAATCATCCTCCTGGGCCATGTAGTCGCCGTTGGGGCCGGGCCCGTTCCCGCCGTACGGGTGGGGCTGCCCCGCGCTGTGGTAATCCACCATTATCGCCGCGCTGCTGTCGCGACAGGCGGAGGAAGCGGCAGCGACACGGACCCGAGCCGGCCCCCCCCCGCGCCCCGACTGCGCAGGCGCCGCCGCCCGGGCCCCGCCCACCGCGCCGCGCGCGCACGGGCCGGGCGGGGCCACGCCGGGCCACGCCCCTCCCGCCCTCAGGCGCCACCGCGGCCCCGCCCACCGCCACACCCACCGCCCTCACCGAGCCGAGACCACGCCCACCCAGCCCCAAAGCCACGCCCACTCCGAAGCCCCGCCCACCTCCCCTCAGACGCCCCCCTCCATTTTGAGGACCCCCAAAAATGAGCCCAGTCCAGCATTGGAGCCTCTTTACTGGTTAAACTGGGCAGGGTCGGGGTTGGGGGGCTGGAATTGGGGGGTCGGTGTTGAGGGCTCGCTTCTGGGGGCGCTCAGAGAGAGGATGCCATGATGCTGGACACACCTGGGAGAAAAACAGGTAAGCTGAGGGGGGGTCCTGGGACAAAGCTCCCTCAGACACCCCCGGGCCTCTCCTGGATCCCTCCCCAGACCCCCAAAACTCCTCATGATACCCCCAGGACCCTCCTGTATTGCCCCAAACCTCCTCCAAAACCCCAAAATCCCCATGGGATCTTCCTGTATCCTCCCAACACCCCCCAAAACCCCCTGACCTCTCCCAAAACTTCCCCAAACTCCCGCCAGGATGCCCCAAAACCCCAACCCACTGTCGAAGTCGATCTTCTCCACGATGTTCTTGGGTTTGATGTTCTCCTCCTGGTTGGAGATCAGGATCCGCCCCGGCTCCGGCTCTGTCCACCCGTATTTGCTCATCCACACCCTCAGCTGCGACTCTGGGGTGCACGGCGGGGTCTGGGGGGGCTGGACACCCCCCAGGGACCCCCAAAATCCCCCCAGGACCCCCAAACCCTTCCAGACCCGCTTGCACCTCCCCAGGACCCCCCAAACCCCATCAGAGCACCCCCAAAACCCCTCAGGACCCTCCCAAGTTCCCTCAAGAACCCAACTTCCACTTGGGACCCCCTAAAACATCCCCAGGACCCCCCAAACTCCATCAGAGCACCCCCAAACCCCCTCAGGACCTTCCAGACCCCAAAACCCCACCCAGGACCCCCCCAAAACCCTTCCAGACCCTCTTGCACCTCCCCACGAACCCCCCCAAACTCCCTCAGGACCCTCCCAAGCTCCCTCCAGACCCCAAATTCCCACCCAGGACCCCCCAAAACCCCTCCCAGGACCCCCAGCCCCCTCACCTGAGAGGTCCCCCAGCATCTCGGCAAGCAACCAGCGATCGATGTGCTGGTAGGTGATCCCCACCACGTGGCAGATGACTGCAGGGACCCCCACGGTGTCACTGAGCCCCCCAAAACTGCCCAGAACCCCCACAGCACCCCCAGACAACTCCCTGGGACCTCCTCAGAATCCCCAGGATGCCCCAATTCCCCCCCAGGACCCCCAAAACCCCCTCAGGGATCCTCAAATCTCCCCTGAATCACCCCCAGGTTCCTCCAGGAACCCCTGAAACCAACCCAGGACCCCCAAAATCTCACCAGGACCCCCAAAACTCCCTCAGGGACCCTCAAACCCCCTCTGAACCACCCCCAGGTTCTTCCAGGAGCCCCGAAAGATAACCTAGGACCCCCAAAACTTCACCACGACCCCCAAAACCCCCTCAGGGACCCTCAAACCCCCTCTGAACCACCCCCAGGTTCTTCCAGGAACTCCTAAAGATAACCTAGGACCCCCAAAACCTCCCCAGGCCCCCCAAACCCCCTCAAGATTCCCCCCAAAACATCCCCAGGACCCCCAAAACCTCCCCAAACTCCCTCAAGATTCCCTCCAAGCCCCCCCAAAACCTTCCAAGACCCCCCAGATCCCCCTCACATTTCCTGACGGAGTCCTCGAAGCCGGTGATCCCCTCCAGCAGCTCCATGTTCTCATCCAGCGCTTGCTGCCGGAATCCCGGGGGTCACCCCCACATTTAGGGCTCCCCCTTGGTCTCCAGGACCCCCTCCCCGGGTTTTGGGGGACCCCGATTTTGGGGGGCTCACCCAGAAGGACTGGAAGTGGCAGGTCTCCAGCAGCTCCCCCAGGTACAGGATCTGCCGGATGGGCCGCTCCTCTTGCTGCGTTTTGGGGAGGTCAAGGGGAAATTTGGGGAGAAAAGAGGGGGTGCAGGTGCCCCCCTCGACCGAACCCCAAAAACCTCCCTCCCCCAGCTCCCAAAATCCGGGTTTTGGCCAGGATTTTGGGGGAGAAACAACAGATTTGATCTCTCTGGGGTTAGAACTGGGCGGTGTCGGGCAGAGAAAAGGGGGGGGGTCCCTGTGGAGGTCTGGGGGGTCCTTGTGGAATTTGGGGTTCCCCATGGAATTGGGGGGATTCCCTCTGGAATTGGGGGCTGAACCGGATTTGGGGGGTTCCCCAGATTTGGGGTGCCCAGATATGTGTGCCTGGTCGATCACGCACTTGCAGAGGGTGAAGTCCCCCTGGATTTGGGGGGTTTCCATCTGGATTTGGGGTTTTTCCCTGGATTTGGGGTTTCTCCCTGGATTTGGGGTTTCCCCCCACATTTGGGGTGCCCAGATATGTGTGCCTGGTCGATCATGCACTTGCAGAGGGTGAAGTCCCCCTGGATTTGGGGGTTTCCATCTGGATTTGGGGTTTCCCCCTGGATTTGGGGTTTCCCCCCACATTTGGGGGTTTCCATCAGGATTTGGGGGTTTTCCCTGGATTTGGGGGTTCCCCCTGGATTTGGGGTTTCTCCCTGGATTTGGGGTTTCCCCCTACATTTGGGGGTTCCCCCTGGATTTGGGGTTTTTCCCTGGATTTGGGGGTTCCCCCTGGATTTAGAGTTTCCCCCCACATTTGGGGTTTCCCCCCACATTTGGGGTGCCGGGATACGTGTGCCTGGTCGATCATGCACTTGCAGAGGGTGAAGTCGGTGTGGGGCAGGTTGGTGAGCGCCTTGAGCAGGATCTGCGCCGTCACCCCGGTCTGGAAGAAGGCGGGGTTGAACTGGTACCTGCACAGGTGAGCTCAGGTGAGGCCTGGGGGGGCTCAGGGACCCCAAAACCCTCCCTGAGCCCCCCAAAATCCCCCCCGAGCCCTCACAGCTTCAGCACGGCCAGGTTGGCCTCCAGGTCGTAGGCGTTCTCCTTGGCCTGCGTCTCCACGTAGCGCTCCAGCGTGGCCAGGTTCTCGGGGTTGTACCTGTGCAGGTGAGGGAGACACCTGTGACACACCTGTGACACACCTGGGGCACATCTGGGGCACACCTGGGGCCCCCCGTTACACATCCCAGCCCCCCACTGCACAGCTCCAGCGTGGCCAGGTTCTCGGGGTTGTACCTGTGCAGGTGAGAGGGACACCTGTGACACACCTGGGGCACACCTGTGACACACCTGTGACACACCTGGGGCCCCCCGTTACACATCCCAGCCCCCCACTGTACAGCTCCAGCGTGGCCAGGTTCTCGGGGTTGTACCTACACAGGTAAGGGGGGCTGGGACACACCTGGGCACCCCCGGAACACACCTGGGACACACCTGGGACACACCTGGGGCACACGTGGGCCCCCCCGTAACACTCCTGGGACACACGTGGGCCCCCCCGTAACACACCTGTGACCCCCGTAACACACCTGGGACCCCCCAAGTCCCCTCCCAGTCCCCCCCAGCGCTCCCAGTACCGGTCGATGCCCCGCAGCAGTTTCCCCACGTTCGCCCGCATCTGCTCGAACAGCGCCATGTTCGCTCCTCTGCCGGAAGTGACGCCACGGCCGCCGCCGCTGCACGGCGGCAAAGGCGGGGCCGGGGAGCCGTGACCACGCCCATGTGTATGACGTATTAGCGCACTGGCCACGCCCCCGAGTTAACCACGCCCCCTCCCAGTATCAGTCCCGGACTGGGGGGGTGGGGGGGATGGAGGGACTGGGACAAACTGGGATTAAAGCGGATCGTACTGGGCTGTACTGGGATTGTGCAGGAAGGGCAATGAGACCGTACTGGGTTATACTGGAACTGCACTGGGTTGTACTGGTTTATACTGGTACTACACTGGGATCATACTGGGGTTATACTGGAACAGTACGGGGTCGTACTGGGATTGTGCAGGAAGGACAGTGAGACCGTACTGGGTTATACTGGAACTGCACTGGATCGTACTGGGATTGTGCAGGAAGGAAAGCGAGACCGTACTGGTTTATACTGGAACTGCACTGGGATCATACTGGGGTTATACTGGAGCTGCACTGGGTTGTACTGGGATTATACTGGAACTGTACTGGATCATACTGGGTTATACAGGATCTTACTGGGAGCATACTGGGTTATACTGGATCATACTGGGATCATACTGGGGTCAGCGCCAGGCTGAACCGGGGCGGCAGAGGAGGGTCAGTCACGAGCCCGGGGATCCTGGGCGGTTTTGGGGGGTCCCAGCGGTTTTTGGGGGTTCCCAGGGAGCTCCTGGAGTGTCACGTTTTTCACCCTTTTCCCCTGACATTTTTCATCCTTTTCCCCTCACATTTTTCTCATTTTCCCCCTCACGTTTCCCGCCTTTTTTTCCCCCTCACGTTTCCCGCCTTTTTTTCCCCTCACATTTCCCACTCTTCCCCTCACATTTCCCCCACTTTTCCCCTCAGCTCGCCGGGGTTTTGGGGGTCCCCCAGTTGGTTTTGGTGGTACCCAGTTGTTTTTGGGGGTCAATAACGAGCCGGGGGGGCAGCGACACTTGGCAGCGTTTATTTGGGGAGGGGGAAAGGCACTTGAAGAGGGGCTGGGGTAATTTTGGGGCTTTTTGGGGGCGTCAGTGACGAGCCAGTGACACTCAGCAGCGTTTATTGGGGGGGGGGGTCAAAGGCACTTGAAGGGGATTTGGGGAGGGGATTTTGGGGAAGGGGATTTGAGGAAGGGGATTTTGGGAAGGGATATTTTGGGGAGGGGGATTTTGGGGTCATCCCAGCTGATCCTCGTACTGCTTGCGGAAGCAGTCCCCGGCCGGGAAGAAATCCCAGCAGCGCTCCTGGTACATCTTCCACACGTAAGATTCCTGGTGGGGAAATTGGGGAGGGGGCGTCGGCGCATGGGGGACCCCCCCACAGCACCCTCACCCACACTGGGAATTCCAGAGACCCCCTCCCAAATCCCCTAGAAATGCCCCCAAATCCCACAGACACCCCCACAAATCCCCCAGGGACCCTCCCCAAATCCCCTGGAGACCCCCCCAAATTCCACAGAGACCCCCTCAAATACAATAGAGACCCCCCCAATCCCACAGAGACCCCCCCCAATCCCACAGAGACCCTTCCTATAGAGCCCCTTCATGGGACTACTCCTCCCTGTGGGCCCCATTCTCCCCTAGACCCCCCCAAGCCACCCAGACCACCCTGGGACCCCCCCAAAGCCCCCCAGACCACCCTGAGACCCCCCTAGAACCCCCAGTGACCCCCCCAAGACCATCCTGGGACCCTTCCCCAAGCCCCCCAGACCACCCTGGGACCCCCTCAAGCCCCCCAGACCACCCTGAGACCCCCCCAGAACCCCCAGTGACCCCCCCAAGACCATCCTGGGACCCTTCCCCAAGCCCCCCAGACCACCCTGGGACCCCCCCAAAGCCCCCCAGACCACCCTGGGACCCCCCCAGAACCCCCAGTGACCCCCCCAAGACCATCCTGGGACCCCCCCAAAGCCCCCCAGACCACCCTGGGACCCCCCCAGACCACCCAGTGACCCCCCCAAGTCCACCCTGGGACCCCCCCAAGCCCCCCAGACCACCCTGGGACCCCCTCAAGCCCCCCAGACCACCCTGAGACCCCCCCAGAACCCCCAGTGACCCCCCCAAGACCATCCTGGGACCCTTCCCCAAGCCCCCCAGACCACCCTGGGACCCCCCCAAAGCCCCCCAGACCCCCCTGGGACCCCCCCAGAACCCCCAGTGACCCCCCCAAGACCATCCTGGGACCCTTCCCCAAAGCCCCCCAGACCACCCTAGGAACCCCCAAAGCCCCCCAGATCACCCTGGGACCCCCCCAGACCCCCTCCCCAGGCCCCCCCTCCTCCCCACCTGCCCTGTGTGCTCCGTCTCGTCCTTGTTGATCAAATACATCAGGAAAAACCTGGGGCGGGGGGGGAATCCGGGGGGTGTGAGAGGTCAGCAGGGACCCCCAGACCCCTGCAGGACCCCCCAAACCCCCCCAGCCCCCCCAGGCTCACATGTAGTTGGCCAGGTTGTGCTCCTCCAGCGTGTGGGTCTCGAAGCCGTGCGGCGTCGTGTCGAAATAATCGCTCCCGATGCCGCAGATGAAACATTTCGTCTGGGGAGGGGGCCCGGGGTGGGGGGGGGGGGGGGTCACAGAGGGGTCTCTGCGCCCCCAACCCACCTGGGCGGAGGGGGGAGGTCCTCAGACTCACCTCCATGTCCTCCTTCACCTGCTCCTGCTGGTCCCGCAGCTCCCCGAAGGCGTCGATGATCAGACCTGGGGGGCACAGAGCGGGGGGCTCAGCGGGAGGGGACCCCCTGAGCACCCCACATTCCCCCCAGTTCCTTCCAGGACCCCCAGATCCCCCCCAGCCCCTTCCAGGACCCCCAGATTCCCCCAGATCCCCCCCAGCCCCTTCCAGGACCCCCAGATCCCCCCAGACCCCCCCCACGCCCTTCCAGGACCCCCAGATCCCCCCAGGCCCTTCCAGGACCCCCAGATCCCCCCCAGCCCCTTCCAGGACCCCCAGATCCTCCCCAGTCCCTTCCAGGACCTCCAGATCCCCCCAGATCCCCCCCAGTTCCTTCCAGGACCCCCAGATCCCCCCCAGTTCCTTCCAGGACCCCCAGATGCCCCCAGGCCCTTCCAGGACCTCCAGATCCCCCCAGATCCCCCCCAGTTCCTTCCAGGACCCCCAGATCCCCCCAGATCCCCCCCAGTTCCTTCCAGGACCTCCAGATCCCCCCCAGCCCCTTCCAGGACCCCCAGATCCCCCCAGACCTCCTCCACGCCCTTCCAGGACCCTCAGATCCCCCCTAGCCCCTTCCAGGACCCCCAGACTGACCCCACAGCCCCACATCTAGGGGGTGCCCACCCTGGATGATGGGCAGGAGGATGACGATGACCCCCAGACCCCCTGAAACCCCCTTCCCACGGGTGCCCACCCTGGATGATGGCCAGGAGGATGACGATGACGAAGAAGAAGAAGGTGATGTCGAAGACCACGCGGTACAGCTCGTAGTCGTCCCCCGCCGGATCCTCGATCTCGTCCCCGATGCCGCCCCCGGCCCGGACCCCCACGTACATGTGGAACAGGTAACACTGCGGGGCACGGGGAGGGGGTGGGGAGGTCAGGGACACCCCCGGAGAACCCCAAAAACCCACCTGGGGACCCCCCCAAACTCTCACCGTCATCATGTCGTCACACTTCATGTCGGGCTCGTCCTCGTCCTCGCTCTTGTTGTAGAACTTGCGGAAGAAGTTGAAGGCCACCACGGTGTACAGGTAGACCACCACGGCCAGCAGCCCCACCGTCATCACCAGCTGGGCACAGGGGCGGTCAGGGGGGTCTGGGGAGACCCCCGGGACCCCCTCCCCAGCGCCCAGGGGTGCCCCCCGCCACCTGCTTGCCGTTGTGGGTGACGGAGGAGAGGATGGTGCGCAGCGTCTTGACGCCCATGGCGATGTCCAGCAGGTGCGAGGCGAAGAAGAAGTTGTTGTAGTGGCCCAGCAGGGACATGGCCATGTACCAGGTGAGGTACAGGAAGGACTGGGGGGGCACACACCTGGGGTCACCCCAAAGTCGGGGACAAGGGTGGGGGGGGCGGGGGGGTCCCACGGCCCGGCTCTGTGACCCCCGACTCACGTTATCGGTGAAAATCACCCCGAATTTCCAGATCTGGTAGCGGATGTCGATGGATGTGATCCTGGGGCGGGTGGGGGGTCAGCAGGGGGGGATGTCCCCGCACCCAGGAAGGGTCAGGACCACCCCCCAAGGGGAGCCCCCAGACCCATGAGGTGGGTGTCTGCCCCCAGCACCCTTAACCCTCCCCAAGAGACCTCAAATCACCCCCTGGGACCCACCCAGGATCCCAAACCCCCCCTTAGACCCCCGTAGGACCCCCCAAACTCTCCCAAATCCCCCCTCTAGGACCCCAACCCCCCCCCCCTTAGATCCCTCTAGTACCCCCAAACTCCCCCAAATCCCCTGAAGCTCCCCCAAATCCCCTCCCTAGGACCCCAAACTCCCCCCTTAGACCCCTCTAGTACCCCCAAACTCCCCCAAATCCCCCACCTCTAGGCTCCAAACCCCCCTTAGACCCCCATTAGACCCCCCCAAACTCCCCCAAATCCCCTCCCTAGGACCCCAAACCCCCCTCAGACCCCCCAAACTCCCCCAAATCCCTTCCCTAGGACCCCAAATCCCCCATTAGACCCCCCAAACTCCCCCAAATCCCCCCAAACCCCCCCCTCCAAGACCCCAAATCCCCTCCCTAGGACCCCAAACCCCCCTTAGACCCCCCCAAATCCCCCCAAACCCCTCCCCAGGACCCCAAATCCCCTCCCTAGGCCCCCAAACCCCCCTCAGACCCCCCAAACTCCCCCAAATCCCCTCCCTAGGACCCCAAACCCCCCTCAGACCCCCCAAATCCCCCATCTAAGACCCCACCCCTCCCCTCCAGGAGCCCCCCGGGCCCACCAGGTGAGCAGGGAGCTGTCGGGGGGGGCCCTGCGCTCGCCCTGCGCCCCCATCTCCAGGCTGGCCAGGTCCAGGCCCAGCAGCTCCGCGATCCTCTCCCGCCCGTAGATGTCCCCATACTTCTCCATCACCTGCGGGGACCCCAACATCCAGGTAAAAACCCCAACAGCCAGGTAAAAACCCCAACATCCAGGTAAAAACCCCAACATCCGGGTAAAAACCCCAACATCCAGGTAAAAACCCCAACATCCAGGTAAAAACCCCAACATCCAGGTAAAAACCCCAACATCCAGGTAAAAACCCCAACATCCAGGTAAAAACCCCAACACCCAGGTAAAAACCCCCGCAGCGTCCGGGGAAACCCCCAAAACGTGGGGAGGGGGTGCCGTGTGTCCCCCCCAGGACCCCTCCTCACCTTCCTCTTGATGAACTTGTCCCAGTAATTGCTGGGGAAGGATCTGGTGGGGGGGGGTTCAGGGCACAAAAAGGAGTGGGGGGTCAGTGGGGGTGACGCCCCCTCCCCACAGCCCCAGCTGGGCGGGGGGGACTCTGGGTGACCCCAACTGGTCCCCAGGGACCCCCCAGCACCACCTGAAATCTCTGTGAGACCCCCCCGAAATCCCCAGAGCTCATTTCCAGCCCCTCAGGACCCCCTGGAACCCCCTCAACCCCCTCCCATGACTCCCCAGTGCCCCCCAGTGCCTCCCAGTGCTGTCCCAGTGCCTCCCAGTGTCTCCCAGTGCCCCCCATTGCCCCCCAGTGCTCTCCCAGTGTCTCCCAGTTCCTCCCAGTGCCCCCCAGTGCTCTCCCAGTGTCTCCCAGTGCCCTCCCAGTGTCTCCCAGTGTCTTCCAGTGCCCCCCCAAGGCCCCCCAGTCCTCCCAGTGCCCTCCCAGTTCCTCCCAGTGCCCTCCCAGTGTCTCCCAGTGCCCTCCCAGTGTCTCCCAGTGCCCTCCCATTGCCTCCCAGTGCCCTCCCAGTGTCTCCCAGTACCCCCCAATGCCCTCCCAGTCCCTCCCAGTACCCCCCAATGCCCTCCCAGTGTCTCCCAGTAGCCCCCAGTGCCCTCCCAGTCCCTCCCAGTACCCCCCAATGCCCTCCCAGTCCCTCCCAGTACCCCCCAGTACCCCCCAATGCCCTCCCAGTCCCTCCCAGTCCCTCCCAGTACCCCCCAATGCCCTCCCAGTCCCTCCCAGTACCCCCCAATGCCCTCCCAGTCCCTCCCAGTACCCCCCAATGCCCTCCCAGTCCCTCCCAGTGTCTCCCAGTACCCCCCAATGCCCTCCCAGTCCCTCCCAGTACCCCCCAATGCCCTCCCAGTGTCTCCCAGTACCCCCCAATGCCCTCCCAGTCCCTCCCAGTACCCCCCAATGCTCTCCCACTCCCTCCCAGTACCCCCCAATGCCCTCCCAGTCCCTCCCAGTGCTCCCAGTGCCGTACTGGGCGTTGAGCACCAGGCGGTCCCACTGTCCCTTGACGTCGTCGTCGGGCGGCTGCTCGGTGATGTAGAGCCCCGAGAACTCGAGGCGCCGCGCCACCTCCTTCTCCCGCTTGAAGATCACCAGGGGGATCTGGGGACACCGGGGGGTCACGGGGGTCACAGGGGACATTGGGGACACTGAGGGGTCACAGGGGACATTGGGGACACCGAGGGGTCACAGGGGTCAGGGGGTGTCACAGCAGAGCCCCGAGAACTCGAGGCGCCGTGCCACCTCCTTCTCCCACTTGAAGATCACCAGGGGGATCTGGGGACACCGGGGGGTCACGGGGGTCACAGGGGACACTGAGGGGTCACAGGGGACACTGAGGGGTCACAGGGGTCAGGGGGTGTCACAGCAGAGCCCCGAGAACTCGCGGTGCTGTGACACCTCCTTCTCCCGCTTGAAGATCACCAGGGGGATCTGGGGACACCGGGGGGGTCACAGGGGTCACAGGGGACACCGCGGGGGTCACAGGGGTCACAGGGGACACTGAGGGGTCACAGGGTCATAGGGGTCAAGGGGGACACACACAGGAGCATGGGGACACAGATTTGGGGACACACACACAGGGATTTGGGGACACACACAGATTTGGGGACACACACAGGGGTTTGGGACACACACAGGGGTTCAGGACACAGATTTGGGGACACACAGGGGTTTGGGGACACACACAGGGTTTGGGGACACACAGATTTGGGGACACACACAGGGATTAGGGACACACCCAGGGGTTCAGGACACAGATTTGGGGACACACAGATTTGGGGACACACACAGGGATTTGGGATACACACAGGGGTTCGGGACACACACAGGGATTTGGGGACACACACAGAGATTAGGGACACACACAGGGGTTCAGGACACAGATTTGGGGACACACACAGGGGTTCAGGACACAGATTTGGGGACACACACAGGGATTGGGGACACACCCAGGGGTTCGGGACACAGATTTGGGGACACCCAGGGACTGGGGACCCCCGCAGCGGTTTGGGGACACCCCGGGGGGGTCACCTTGAGGCAGTTGTAGCCGATGATGCACAGGAAGGCCACCAGCGTGTGGGCCAGCGCCAGCCCCCGCAGGGCCGGGCCCATGTAGCCGGTGCTCTCCTCCAGGAAATAATAAACCTCGGGCTCCTCCGGGACCCCCGCCGCCGCCTCCGCGCCCCCCGCCACCGCCCCGTCCTCCTCGGGGGCCGCCCCCGAGCCCTCGGGCTCCTCCGGGGCGCCCGGGGGGTGCTCGGACACCTGCGGGGACGGGCACAGGTGAGGGACACATGGGGGGCTCCAGACCCCTCCTCTGTGGGGTACCGGGGTCTGGGGAGCCCCCCATGATGGGTACCGGGGTCTGGGGGCACCCAAAGTGTCCCCAAACCCTCCTCTGTGGGGTCACAGGGGTCTGGGGAGCCCCCAGAATGGGGTATCAGGGTCTGGGGGCACCCAAAGTGTCCCCAAACCCCCTTCTGTGGGGACACAGGGGTCTGGGGAGCCCCCCATGATGGGTACCGGGGTCTGGGGGCACCCAAAGTGTCCCCAAACCCCCTTCTGTGGGGTCACAGGGGTCTGGGGAGCCCCCCATGATGGGCACTGGGGTCTGGGGGCACCCAAAGTGTCCCCAAACCCCCCTCTGTGGGGTCACAGGGGTCTGGGGAGCCCCCCAAGTTGGGGTACCGGGGTCTGGGGGCACCCAAAGTGTCCCCAAACCCCCTTCTGTGGGGTCACAGGGGTCTGGGGAGCCCCCCAGAATGGGGTCACAGGGGTCTGGGGGCACCCAAAGTGTCCCCAAACCCCCTTCTGTGGGGTCACAGGGGTCTGGGGAGCCCCCCATGATGGGTACCGGGGTCTGGGGGCACCCAAAGTGTCCCCAAACCCCCCTCTGTGGGGTCACAGGGGTCTGGGGAGCCCCCAGAATGGGGTACCGGGGTCTGGGGAGCCCCCCATGATGGGTACCGGGGTCTGGGGGCCCCCAAAGTGTCCCCAAACCCCCTTCTGTGGGGTCACAGGTGTCTGGGGAGCCCCCCAAGTTGGGGTACCGGGGTCTGGGGGCACCCAAAGTGTCCCCAGACCCCTCGGTGCGTCCCCCACCCCAAGCTCTGATGGCAGTGCCGGGCTCTGGGGTGTCCCCACCTCATCTCAGCAGCTCTGTGGGGACCCAGGACCCCCCAAACGCTCCCCAGCCCCCCAACCTTGTAGAAGAGGAGGATGAAGTTGATGGCGAAGGCCAGGAACAGCGCCAGGAACCGCAGGTTGTAGAAGTTCCGCGACAGGTAATTCTGCGGGGAGGGGAACCGGCCGGTCCAGGGACCCCCGAGAGTCCCCAAATCCCCTCGAGGCACCCCCAAACCCCCTCCCCCAGAGACCCCCGGCCCCCTTACCAGGAACTTGACCCTCTGCACCTCCAGCTCTCCCCAGAAGTCGAAGCCGCCCTCGGCCGGGGGCTCCCGGCGCTCCCGGGGCACCGACTTGCGCCGCTTCGGGGGGGGCGCGGGGCTCCGGGCCCTCCTCGGGCCCCTCGGGACCCCCGCCCTTCTCGCCGCCCTTCTCGCCGTTCTCTGTGCTGGGGGACGGCGGCCCGCGGTGGGTGGGGGGCTCGGGGACAGCCCCCGCGGGGCAGGACCCCTCCCCAAATTCCCTCCCCCCCCCTTACTCGGCTTTCTCGGTCTCGGCCGGGGGCTCCTCTTCCTTCTGGCCCTCCCCCACCTGCTCCGCCATCTCCTGGGGGGCACAAGGGGGGTTGGAGTTGGGGGGTCGGGGGGCACATCGCCCCGGGACCCCCCCAAAGCCTCCCTGAGGCCGGGCAGGGCCGTGGAGGGGGTTGGAATGGGGGTTTGGGGACCCTCCGTGCTGTCCCACCCCCCTCAGGGGACCCCGGGGACTCCCCCTCCCTCAAAGGGACCCCCAGAATCTCCCCGCCGGGTACCCCCAAAACCCCCCACCAGGAACGGGCAGAGGGACCCCCAAAATCTCCCCACGCCCCACCCTCCGCAGTGACCCCCGGGGTCCTCCCCCACTAAAACCCCCCAAAATCCCCCCTGGGACCCCCAAAATCCCCTTTCCCCCCTTACCCCGATCTTCCTGCGCAGGATGGGGGTCCCCTCGGGGGTGGGGGGCTCAGCCCCGGGGGGCTCCCCGATGTCCCCGAGCCCCCCGGGGGCGTCGGGGGCCGCCAGCCTGAAATGGGGGTCCTTGCGCGCCCCCGGCCCCGCCGGCACGGCCTTCACCTCCCGCCGCTGCTCCTCCTCCTCCTCCCCCTCGGCCGGGGGCGCCTCCAGCTGCGCCTCGGGGGGCTGCTCCGGCTCCGGGGGTCCCCCCTCGTCGCCCGCCCCGGCCTCGCCGCCGCCCACGGCGTCCTGGGTGGGGTCGGGCATGGAGCCCAGCACCTCGATGACCCCCAGGCGCTGCGCCCCCTCCACCAGCCCCCCGCCGAAGAGCGAGCTCCAGGCCAGGCGCCCCACGGCCCCCAGCACCCCCAGGCCCCCCAGCACGCCGCCCAGCGCCACGCGCCCCGCGCCCGCGCCCGCCTCCCACGCCAGCTCGCGCCCCGACTTCTTGCGCAGCCGCCGGATCCTGCGGCGCCACGTCTGCGGGGAGCCCAGCAGCCGCCGCAGCGCCCCCAAACCCGGCAGCGCCGGCGCCGGCGCCTCGGCCGGCTCCTCTTCCTCCCTGTCCTCGTCCTCCTCCTCCTCCTCGTCGCGCGGCGCCTCCTCCTCGGAGATGCGCGAGGCGATCTGCATCTCGAAGATGGTGTCCTCGCAGAAGTTGACGAAGAGCTCCATCTTCTCGGCCTCGCCGCCCTCGTTGACCACGTCGAAGATGAACTGGCGCTTGGACTCCTTGACCTGCGGCATCTCCCACTGCGCCTTGTTGGCGCCGCTGATCTCGAAGTAGATGCGCTCGATGCGCCGCGCCGCCCCCATGATCTCGATGCGGCCCAGGAAGGGCCGGAAATAGTCCAGGATGCTCTCGGCCTGCTCCAGGAAGGTCTTGAGGCGCTGGTCGTGCGGCACGTGCTCCGACAGGTTGGTCAGCAGCACGGCCACGTTGAAGCCGATGTCGCGCGCCGGCTCCTGGAAGCGCTGGGCGAAGCTCTCCACGTCGATCATCTCGTTCTCGTCGGCCTCGGAGCAGGAGAGCAGGAACTGGATCTCGTCAGGCTCGTACTGCTTCTGGCTGTCCATGGCCTTCTGGAAGTCCTTCTTGGAGATGAGCCCGCGCGGGTCGGTGACGAAGTGGCGGAAGGCGTCGGACGAGACGATGTCGCGCAGCTTCAGGAACATGTCGAAGAACTTGAGGATCATGGTGACGTTGCTGGAGGACTCCACCAGCATGTCCACCATCTGCCGGGCGATGGTGCCGTTCACCACGTTCCCTGCGGGGACACGGCGGCGTCACCGCTCGGCGGGCGGCCCCGGAGCCGTGGGGACGGCCGGGGGGGCGTGGGGACACCTGGGTGGTCAAAGGGACACTTGGTGGTCAAAGGGACACCTTGGATGGTCAAAGGGACACCTTGGATGGTCAAAGGGACACCTTGAGTGGTGAAAGGGACACCTGGGTGGTCAAAGGGACACCTGGGTGGTCAAAGGGACACCTTGAGTGGTCAAGGGACACCTGGGTGGTCAAGGGACACTTGGGTGGTCAAAGGGACACTTGGGTGGTCAAAGGGAAACGTTGGATGGTCAAAGGACACCTGGGTGGTCAAAGGGACACCTTGGGTGGTCAAAGGGACACCTGGGTGGTCAAAGGGACACTTGGGTGGTCAAAGGGACACCTGGGTGGTCAAAGGGACACCTGGGTGGTCAAAGGACACCTTGGGTGGTCAAAGGGACACCTTGGGTGGTCAAAGGGACACCTGGGTGGTCAAGGGACACTTGGGTGGTCAAGGGACACTTGGGTGGTCAAAGGGAAACGTTGGATGGTCAAAGGACACCTGGGTGGTCAAAGGGACACCTTGGATGGTCAGGGGACATCTGGGTGGTCAAAGGGACACCTGGGTGGTCAAAGGGACACTTGGGTGGTCAAAGGGACACCTTGGGTGGTCAAAGGGACACCTTGGATGGTCAAAGGGACACCTGGGTGGTCAAAGGGACACCTTGGGTGGTCAAAAGACACCTTGGGTGGTCAGGGGACATCTGGGTGGTCAAGGGACACCTTGGGTGGTCAGGGGACATCTGGGTGGTCAAGGGACACCTTGGGTGGTCAGGGGACATCTGGGTGGTCAAGGGACACCTGGGTGGTCAGGGGACATCTGGGGAACCTGAGGACACCCCGGGTGGCAGCAGGGGACTCTCCCCAGGTACCTTCCAGCAGGGACAGCAGCATCACCACCATGTCCTTCTGCAGGTCCAGCAGCTCCTTCAGCAGCCCCAGCTGGGACGAGTCCTGTGCACCAGAGCTCCCAGTTACCTCCCAGTGCGTCCCAGTGCGTCCCAGTGCCACCCCAGTGCCACCCCAGTGCCACCCCAGCCCCGACCAGCCCCACCTGAGCCAACTTCTTCATCATGTGCGCGAAGACGTGCAGGAAGCCGACGACGGCGTCCCAGAGGCGGCTGTGGGCCAGGCTCTGCTGGTTCCCGGTGCAGGGGCCCTGGGGGGACAGCGGCACTGGGAGGGACCCCCGAGAGCCCCCGGGGCACTGGGGGCACGGGCAGGTCTGGGGGGCTTTGGGGGTCCCAGGTGTGCCGGGGTCCCACCTGGATGTTCTCGGTGAGGGCTGTTGAACACCTCCATGGGGAGGTCTGGAGGGGTACAGAGTGGGTCGCAGGTGGGTTTGGGGGGTCTCAGGTGGGTTTGGGGGGCTCCCAGGTGGGTTTGGGGGGTCCCAGGTGGGTTTGGGGGTCCCAGGTGTTCAGGGGTCTCACCTGGATGTACTCAGTGAGGCTGTTGAACACCTCCATGGGGAGGTTTGGAGGGGTACAAGGGTGGCTCAGGGGGGTCCCAGGTGGGTTTGGGGGTCCCAGGTGGGTTTGGGGGTCCCAGGTGGGTTTGGGGGGGTCCCAGGTGGGTTTGGGGGTCCCAGGTGGGTTTGGGGGTCCCAGGTGGGTTTGGGGGTCCCAGGTGTTCAGGGGTCTCACCTGGATGTACTCAGTGAGGCTGTTGAACACCTCCATGGGGAGGTTTGGAGGGGTACAAGGGTGGCTCAGGGGGGTCTCAGGGCAGTTTGGGGTGTCCCAGGTGGGTTCGGGGGTCCCAGGTGGGTTTGGAGGTCCCAGGTGGGTTCGGGGGTCCCAGGTGTGTCAGGGGTCTCACCTGGATGTACTCGGTGAGGCTGTTGAACACCTCCATGGGGAGGTTTGGAGGGGTACAAGGGTGGCTCAGGGGGGTCTCGGGGCAGTTTGGGGGGTCCCAGGTGGGTTTGGGGGTCCCAGGTGGGTTTGGGGGTCCCAGGTGGGTTCGGGGGTCCCAGGTGTGTTTGGGGGTCCCAGTGTTCAGGGTCTCACCTGGATGTACTCGGTCAGGCTGTTGAACACCTGCTTGGCCACGGCCATGGCCTTGGAGAAGTTCCTCTTGCCCTGCTCGTCGATGACGTCCTTGCCCGAGTAGTACCAGTAGAAGTCACTGATGGACTCCTGGGGACATTGGGGACATTGGGGACACGGGGACACGAGGATGTGGGGCTGGGGGCGGTCACCGGTGCCTGCTGGGGACACCTCTGGGGACAGCAGTGTGTCACCTGCAGGCGCAGCAGGTAATCCACGGTGCAGATGATGATGTTGATGGTGGTCGTGTTCCCCGTCTGCGTCCGCAGGTAGTTCTGGAAGTCTGGGGGGGGGGACAGGGACACCCCGGGGGTCACCTCGGTGTCACCTGGATCACCTCGTGTCCCCTGGTGTCCCCAGGTGTCCCCAGGTGTCCCCCCTTCCCCGAGTCACCGCCCTCTTCCCAGCCCCTCCTGCCCCAGGGACCCCTGAGCTGTGTCCCCAGGTGTCCCCCCAGGTGTCCCCCCGTGTCCCCAGGTGTCCCCAGGTGTCCCCACCGTTGTTGTGGCCCTCGCAGAGCAGCTGCAGCAGCCGGAACAGGTCCTGAGTGAATTCATCGTCCGACATCACCTTCTCCCCTGGGGGGACACGGGGGGGACATGGGGACAGCGGGGTCACCGCGGGCCACGGGTGGCACGGGGACACCGCAGAGTGGCATGGTGACACCAGAGAGTGGCACAGGGACACCACGGAGTGGCACGGGGACACCCTGAGATGGCACAGGGACACTGCGGAGTGGCACAGGGACACCAGAGAGTGGCACAGGGACACCGCAGAGTGGCACGGGGACACCAGAGAGTGGCACAGGGACACCGCAGAGTGGCACGGTGACACCAGAGAGTGGCACGGGGACACCCTGAGATGGCACGGGGACACTGCAGAGTGGCACAGGGACACCCTGAGATGGCACAGGGACACCACGGAGTGGCACGGGGACACTGCGGAGTGGCACGGTGACACCAGAGAGTGGCACGGTGACACCCTGAGATGGCACGGGGACACCATGGAGTGGCACGGGGACACTGCAGAGTGGCACGGTGACACCACGGAGTGGCACAGGGACACCCTGAGATGGCACGGGGACACCGCAGAGTGGCACAGGGACACCGCAGAGTGGCACGGTGACACCAGAGTGGCACGGTGACACCAGAGAGTGGCACAGGGACACCCTGAGATGGCACGGGGACACCACGGAGTGGCACGGGGACACCGCAGAGTGGCACGGGGACACCAGAGAGTGGCACGGTGACACCAGAGAGTGGCACAGGGACAATCTGGGGTGGCACGGGGACATGCTGGGGTGGCACAGGGACAGCACAGGGACATCGAGGGTGGCACAGGGACATGCTGAGGTGGCACAGGGACATGCTGAGGTGGCACGGGGACAAGCTGGGGTGGCACGGGGACAAGCAGGGCGGCACGGGGACACCACGGGGACATCGAGGCTGGCATGGGGACAAGCGGGGTGGCAGTGGGGACATTGGGGGGTTAGCAGTGGCCCCATGGCCCCCGGCCCCAAACCCCCAAAACCCCACAGACCCCGGCCCCAAATCCCCCATAGCCCCAAATCCCCCATGGCCCCAAATCCCCCATAGCCCCCAGCCCCAAATCCCCCATAGCCCCAAATCCCCCATGGCCCCAAAACCCCATAGACCCCAGCCCCAAATCCCCCATAGCCCCAAATCCCCCATGGCCCCAAATCCCCCATAGCCCCCAGCCCCAAATCCCCCATAGCACCAAATCCCCCATGGCCCCCAGCCCCAAATCCCCCATAGCCCCAAATCCCCCCCAGCCCCAAATCCCCCATAGCCCCCAGCCCCAAATTCCCCCCAGCCCCAAACCCCCCATGGCCCCCAGCCCCAAATCCCCCATAGCACCAAACCCCCCATGGCCCCAAATCCCCCATGGCCCCAAATCCCCCATAGCCCCCAGCCCCAAATCCCCCATAGCACCAAACCCCCATGGCCCCCTATAGCCCTGTAACCCTACAGCCCCCCTGGCCCTATAGCCCTGTAACCCTACAGCCCCCCTGGCCCTATAGCCCCTGGCCCTATAGCCCCCCTGGCCCTATAGCCCTGTAACCCTATAGCCCCCCTGGCCCTATAGCCCCCTGGCCCTGTAGCCCATGGCCCTATACCCCCTGGCCCTATAGCCCCCCTGGCCCTATAGCCCTGTGACCCTATAGCCCCCCTGGCCCTATAGCCCTGTAACCCTATAGCCCCCCTGGCCCTATAGCCCCTGGCCCTATAGCCCCTGGCCCCTATAGCCCCCCTGGCCCTATAGCCCCTGGCCCTATAGCCCCTGGCCCTATAGCCCTGTAACCCTATAGCCCCTGGCCCTATAGCCCCTGGCCCTATAGCCCTGTAACCCTATAGCCCCTGGCCCTATAGCCCCCCTGGCCCTATAGCCCTGTAACCCTATAGCCCCTTGCCCTATAGCCCCCTGGCCCTATAGCCCCTGGCCCTATAGCCCTGTAACCCTATAGCCCCCTGGCCCTATAGCCCTGTAACCCTATAGCCCCTGGCCCTATAGCCCCTGGCCCTATAGCCCCTGGCCCTATAGCCCTGTAACCCTATAGCCCCTGGCCCTATAGCCCCCTGGCCCTATAGCCCCCCTGGCCCTATAGCCCCTGGCCCTATAGCCCTGTAACCCTATAGCCCCTGGCCCTATAGCCCCCCTGGCCCTATAGCCCCTGGCCCTATAGCCCTGTAACCCTATAGCCCCTGGCCCTATAGCCCCTGGCCCTATAGCCCCTGGCCCTATAGCCCTGTAACCCTATAGCCCCTGGCCCTATAGCCCCCTGGCCCTATAGCCCCCCTGGCCTTATAGCCCCTGGCCCTATAGCCCTGTAACCCTATAGCCCCTGGCCCTATAGCCCCCCTGGCCCTATAGCCCCTGGCCCTATAGCCCCCCTGACCCTATAGCCCCTGGCCCTATAGCCCCCCTGGCCCTATAGCCCCTGGCTCTATAGCCCCCCTGACCCTATAGCCCCTGGCCCTATAGCCCCTGGCCCTATAGCCCTGTAACCCTATAGCCCCTGGCCCTATAGCCCCTGGCCCTATAGCCCCCCGTTCCCGCCCCATATTTACCGTTCTCCCGGCTGATGACTGCCAGCGGAGCCGGGGGGAGAGAAGAGACAGTGAGCGGGGGGGGACGGGGATTTGGGGGGCACCGGGGGGAAATTGGGGGTCCAGAGGGGAAATTGGGGTGAGGGGAATTAGGGTTGGGGGAATTTGGGGATCCAGGGGGGAAATTGGGGATCCAGGGAAAGATTTTGGGGTGGGGGGGGTTAAGGTTTGGGGGATTTAGGGCAGGAATTGGGGGGCATTAGGGGTGGGGGGGCATTAGATTTTGGGGGTTTTAGGGCAGAAATTGGTGTGGGGGGCATTAGATTTTGGGGGTTTTAGGGCAGGAATTGGGGGGGGGGCATTAGGGGTGGGGGGGCATTAGATTTTGGGGGTTTTTAGGGCAGGAATTGGGGTGGGGGGGCATTAGATTTTGGGGTTTTTTAGGGCAGGAATTGGGGGGCATTAGGGGTGGGGGGGAATTAGATTTTGGGGGTTTTTAGGGCAGGAATTTGGGGGGGGCATTAGATTTTGGGGTTTTTAGGGCACACTCTCAGCAGGGCTTGGGGTGGAGCAGCGCGGGGGTTTTGGGGTGCAGAACAGGGGGACCCCCCTCATTGCCAGCCTGCCCAGCCCCTCGGGGGTCCCGGGGGGTCCCGGGGGGTCCCGGGGGGGGTCCCCACTCACTGGTGCCCTCCTCGGTGACCATGCCCAGCCCCTCGGCCTTGTTCTGCCGCTCGAAGGCGTTCAGGTCCAGCACGCTGCGGGATGGGGGGTCAGGGGCACCCCAAAACCCCCACGGCCCCGCACGGGGGGTCAGGGGCACCCCAAAACCCCCACGGCCCCGCACAGGGGGTCAGGGGCACCCCAAAACCCCCACGGCCCCGCACGGGGGGTCAGGGGCACCCCAAAACCCCCACGGCCCCGCACGGGGGGCAGTTCCCACGGGGGGGACCCCAGTTCCCACGGGGGGTCCCCAATTCCCACAGAACTGACCCCAGTTCCCTCCGGGGAACCCCAATTCCCACAAGGGGCCTTCAGTTCCCATGGGACTGACCCCAAATTCCTCGGGGGCACCCCAATTCCCACAGAACTGACCCCAAATCCCACGGGGGGACCCCAGTTCCCACAGAACTGACCCCAAATCCCTCGGGGTGACCCCAAATCCCCCCGGGGTGACCCCAATTCCCCCAGAGTGACCCCAATCCCCCCGGGGTGACCCCAATTCCCCCAGAGTGACCCCAATTCCCTCGGGGTGACCCCAATTCCCTCGGGGTGACCCCAATTCCCCCGGGGTGACCCCAATTCCCGGGTCCCCCCGTACCTGCAGGTTTGCATCAGCGCCTGCACGCTCTGGAAGAAGCCGACCTCGCGCTTGGCCTTGAGGTACTCGAGCATCTTCTGTGGGACAGGGGGACAGGGGACAGGTGACATCGGGGACATTGGGGACATTGGGGACACTGGGGACATCGGGGACATCGGGGACTTTGGGGACATTGGGGACTTTGGGGACATTGGGGACACCGGGGACATTGGGGGCATTGGGGGCATTGGGGACACTGGGGACAGGTGACATTGGGGTGACACAGGTGACACAGGTGACACAGGTGACACAGGTGACACAGGCGGTGGCACAGGTGACACGGGGGTGGCCCAGCCGCTCGCTCACCTGCTGCACGTCGGCGTTGCCCCCGTTGAGGATGGCGATGCCCAACTTGAGGGTGGAGGAGACCATCGCCCCCCGCTCACCTGGCACAGGGGGCAGGGGTCACCCAGGGTCACTCAGTGGTCACTCAGGGTCAGTGGTCACTCAGGGTCACTCAGTGGTCACTCAGTGGTCACTCAGGGTCACTCAGCGGTCACTCAGTGGTCACTCAGCGGTCACTCAGTGGTCACTCAGTGGTCACTCAGGGTCACTCAGGGTCACTCAGGGTCACTCATTGGTCACTCAGCGGTCACTCAGCGGTCACTCAGTGGTCACTCAGGCTCAGTGGTCACTCAGCGGTCACTCAGTGGTCACTCAGCAGTCACTCAGGGTCACTCAGTGGTCACTCACTGGTCACTCAGGGTCACCCAATGGTCACTCAGTGGTCAGTGGTCACTCAGGGTCACTCAGTGGTCACTCAGGGTCACTCAGTGGTCAGTGGTCACTCAGTGGTCACTCAGGGTCACTCAGGGGTCACTCAATGGTCACTCAGGGTCAGTGGTCACTCAGGGTCACTCAGTGGTCACTCAGGGTCACTCAGGGTCAGTGGTCACTCAGCGGTCACTCAGGGTCACTCAGGGTCACTCAGTGGTCACTCAGTGGTCACTCAGTGGTCAGTGGTCACTCAGTGGTCACTCATTGGTCACTCAGGGTCACTCAGTGGTCACTCAGTGGTCACTCAGGGTCACTCACCCCTGCAGGCGCTGACCATCTGCAGCACCATCTCGGCCGCCCCGCGCGTGTGCAGCCGCGCCTGCTGCGACAGCAGCTTCTGCTTCTCCATCTCCTTCTCCTGGGTCAGAGGTCATGCCGGGGTCACCGGGGTCACACCGGGGTCACACCGGGGTCACCAGGGTCACACCGGGGTCACGGGGTTTTGGGGTCCCCCCCACCTCAAAGGAATCCTCGGCCTCTTCCTCTTCCTTCTCCTCTTCCTCCTTCTCCTCCTCCTCCCCTTCCTCGCTGTGGCAGCTCTGGGACAATGGGGGGGGTCCCCAAATTAGGAACCCCCCCAAAAACAGCCTGGGGGGCCCCAAATCCTTGGGAACCCCCCAAAATCCTTGGGAACCCCCCAAAACCCCCGCTCATCCCTGAAAGACCCCAAAATCCTTGGGAACCCCCCCCCAAAACCCTGAAACACCCCAAAATCCCTGTGACACCCCCCCCAAAATCCCCGGGGAACCTACAAATCCCCTGGGGACCCCCCCAATCTTTGGGACCCCCCCAATCTTTGGGAATCCCCAAATCTTTGGGACCCCCCCCAATCCTTGGGACCCCCCCCCAGTCCCAGCCCAGGCACCCCCAAAATGGCCTCGGGGACCCCCAAGTCCCCAGCCCTGGGTGGGTCCTGGTTTTGGGGCGCCCCAGTTTTGGGGTGTTGGGGTTTTGGGGCGCTGGTTTTGGGGATTTGGGGTGCCCATGCTGGGGTTTTGGGGTGCCCGGTGCTGGGGATTTGGGGTATCCCGGTTTTGGGGTATCCTGGTTTTGGAGGGCCCCAGTTTTGGGGTACCCCGGTTTTGGGGTTTTGGGGTATCCCGGTTTTGGGGATTTGGGGTGCCCACCTTGGCCATGATCCCGGCGTAGGCCATGTACAGGTGATCCTGCTCCAGGTGGCTGCGGGGTGGGGACAGCGGGGACCCCCCAAAAACGGACCCAGGTGAGCCCCAGGTGAGCCCCAGGTGCCACTCCGGGTTTTGGGGTGCCCAGGGTGGGGTTTGGGGTCCCCCCAATAGAATTCGGGGATTCAGGGTCCCCCCCAGTGGGATTTGGGGTTTTGGGGTTCCTCCTGATGTGCTTTGGGTTCCCTGCAGGAATTTGGGGTCCCCTCAGGGATTTGGGGTCCCCTCAGGGGTTTGGGGTCCGGGTTTTGGGGTCCCCTCAGGGATTTGGGCTCAGGTTTTAGGGTCCCATCAGGGGTTTGGGCTCAGTTTCTGGGGTCCCCAAAGAGATTTGGGGTCGGGATTTGGGGTCTCCACAGGGAATTGGGGTCTGGGATTTGGGGTCACGTCAGGGATCTGGGGTTCGTTTTCGGGGTCCCCTCAGGGGTTAGGGGTTGGGATTTGGGGTCCCCTGGGGGATTTGGGGTTCGGGGTCAGGTTTTGGGGTCAGGATTTGGGGTCACCTCTGCTCGGTGAGCGCGGTGCGGCTGAAGTGCAGTTTTGAGGTTGGGGTTTGGGGTCGGGATTTGGGGTCCCTGGGGGATTTGGGGTCACCTCTGCTCGGTGAGCGCGGTGCGGCTGAAGTGCAGTTTTGGGGTCAGGATTTGGGGTCAGGATTTGGGGTCCCTGGGGGATTTGGGGTCACCTCTGCTCGGTGAGCGCGGTGCGGCTGAAGTGCAGTTTTGGGGTCGGGATTTGGGGTCAGGATTTGGGGTTTGGGGTCAGGTTTCGGGGTCACCTCTGCTCGGTGAGCGCGGTGCGGCTGAAGTGCAGTTTTGGGGTCGGGATTTGGGGTCAGGTTTTGGGGTTCCCTCAGGGATTTGGGGTCACCTCTGCTCGGTGAGCGCGGTGCGGCTGAAGTGCAGTTTTGGGGTTGGGTTTTGGGGTCAGGTTTTGGGGTTTGGGGTTCCCTGGGGGGTTTGGGGTCACCTCTGCTCGGTGAGCGCGGTGCGGCTGAAGTGCAGTTTTGGGGTCCCCTCAGGGATTAGGGGTTGGGTTTTGGGGTCAGGATTTGGGGTTTGGGGTCAGGTTTCGGGGTCACCTCTGCTCGGTGAGCGCGGTGCGGCTGAAGTGCAGTTTTGGGGTCGGGATTTGGGGTTCGGGGTCAGGTTTTGGGGTTCCCTGGGGGATTTGGGGTCACCTCTGCTCGGTGAGCGCGGTGCAGCTGAAGTGCAGTTTTGGGGTCGGGATTTGGGGTCAGGTTTTGGGGTTTGGGGTCAGGTTTCGGGGTCACCTCTGCTCGGTGAGCGCGGTGCGGCTGAAGTGCAGTTTTGGGGTCAGGTTTTGGGGTTTGGGGTTCCCTGGGGGATTTGGGGTCACCTCTGCTCGGTGAGCGCGGTGCGGCTGAAGTGCAGTTTTGGGGGTCCCTCAGGGATTTGGGGTCAGGTTTTGGGGTTTGGGGTCGGGTTTCGGGGTCACCTCTGCTCGGTGAGCGCGGTGCGGCTGAAGTGCAGTTTTGGGGTCAGGATTTGGGGTTTGGGGTCGGGATTTGGGGTCACCTCTGCTCGGTGAGCGCGGTGCGGCTGAAGTGCAGGATCAGCTGGTGCAGCGGGTCCGGCCGCGCCTCCGCCTCCTCCTCCTCCTCCTCCTCCTCACGCCCCGACTTCTGCCGGGGACCCCCAGGTGACATCAGGGGGGTCCCCAAACCTCAAAGGATGTCCCCAAACCCCCCAGCGGATGTCCCCAAACCCCCCAGGGGATGTCCCCAGACCCTTGTGGGATGTCCCCAAACCCTTGTGGGATGTCCCCAACCCCCCCAGGGGATGTCCCCAAACCCCAATGGATGTCCCCAACCCCTTGGGGGATGTCCCCAAGCGCTGATGGATGTCCCCAAACCCCGATGGATGTCCCCAACCCCCAGGGGATGTCCCCAAACCCCCCCAGGATGTCCCCAAACCCCCGGGGATGTCCCCAAACCCTTGGGAGATGTCCCCAAACCCTTGGGAGATGTCCCCAAACCCCCCAGGGGATGTCCCCAAACCCCAATGGATGTCCCCAACCCCCCCAGGATGTCCCCAAACCCCAGAGGATGTCCCCAAACCCTGATGGATGTCCCCAAACCCCACAGGATGTCCCCAAACCCCCAGGGGATGTCCCCAAACGCTGATGGATGTCCCCAACCCCCCAGGGGATGTCCCCAAGCGCTGATGGATGTCCCCAACCCCCCCAGATGTCCCCAAGCCCCCCGGATGTCCCCAGGCCCTCACGGCGAGGTCGTCGATCATGCGATCCTCGAAGGGCGGCTGCTCCCGCGCCAGCCACGAGAGCCGGTAGGACTCCAGGAACATGTTACACGCCCGGTGCCTGGGGACACGCGTGTCACCCGCCACGGCTGGCACCCCAGGGCGCCCAGTGCCACCCAGGGGGTCCCAGGTGTCACCCAAGGGGTGTCAGTGCCACCCAGGGGGTGCCAGGTGTCACCCAAGGGCTCCCAGTGCCACCCAGGAGGTCCCAGTGCCACCCGAGGGCGCCCAGTACCACCCGAGGGGTCCCAGGTGTCACCCAGGGGGTGCCAGGTGTCCCTCCCAGTCCCTCCCAGTCCCCCTCAGTGCCCTCCCAGTCCCTCCCAGTTCCCTCCCAGTCCCTCCCAATGCCCTCCCAGTGCCCCCCAGTCCCTCCCAGTGCCCCCCAGTCCCCCCCAGTGCCCCAGTGCCCTCCCAGTCCCCCCCAGTCCCCCCAGTGCCCCAGTGCCCACCTGGGCAGGTTGTACAGGGGCGTCATGCGGAAACAGGCGACGACGGCGCGGCGGCGCTGCTTGGACAGGAGCTTGTGCCACACGGCCTTCTTGGACTTGTAGGGGTGCTCCGTCTGGGGGGGCACTGGGGTCACCCCCGGGCACCCCTGGGACACCCCGGGCACCCCTGGGACCCCCCAGGCACCCCTGGGACCCCCCGGGCACCCCTGGGACCCCAAAGGGCACAGAGCACCCACAGCTTGTGCCACACGGCCTTCTTGGACTTGTAGGGGTGCTCCGTCTGGGGGGGCACTGGGGTCACCCCTGGGACCCCCTGGGACCCCTGGGACACCCCAAAACACCCCCAGGGCACCCCTGGGACCCCCCGGGCACCCCCGGGACCCCAAAGGGCACAGAGCACCCACAGCTTGTGCCACACGGCCACCTTGGACTTGTAGGGGTGCTCCGTCTGGGGGGGCACTGGGGTCACCCCTGGGCACCCCTGGGACACCCCCAAACCCCCCCGGGCACCCCCAAACCCCTCGGGCACCCCTGGGACCCCAAAGGGCACAGAGCACCCAAAGCTTGTGCCACATGGCCACCCTGGGGTCACCTGGGCACCTCTGGGACCCCCCAAAACACCCCCAGGGCACCCAAAAGGGCACAGAGCACCCAAAGCTTGTGCCCCACGGCCACCTTGGGGTCACCTGGGCACCCCTGGGCACCCCTGGGCACCCCAAACCCCCCGGCCCTGCCCAGACCTGCTCCAGGTGGTAGAGCACGGCCGACACCTCCTGCACGCGGCGCACGACCTGCTCGGGGCTGGCGGGGTCCTCGTCCCGGCCCGCCTGGCGCACCAGGGCCATCTGCCACCGTGCTGAGCCCGTGTTCTCCACCTGGGGACATTGGGGACACCATTGGGGACATTGACTGGGGACAGCACCGGGGCCATCTGCCACCGCGCCGAGCCCGTGTTCTCCACCTGGGGACATTGGGGACATTGGGGACATTGGGGACAGCACCAGGGCCATCTGCCACCGCGCCGAGCCCGTGTTCTCCACCTGGGGACATTGGGGACATTGACTGGGGACAGCACCGGGGCCATCTGCCACCGCGCCGAGCCCGTGTTCTCCACCTGGGGACATTGGGGACATTGGGGACATTGGGGACAGCACCAGGGCCATCTGCCACCGCGCCGAGCCCGTGTTCTCCACCTGGGGACATTGGGGACATTGGGGACATTGACTGGGGACAGCACCAGGGCCATCTGCCACCGCGCCGAGCCCGTGTTCTCCACCTGGGGACATTGATTGGGGACACTGGGGACATTGACTGGGGACAGCACTGGGGCCATCTGCCACCGCGCCGAGCCCGTGTTCTCCACCTGGGGACACCATTGGGGACATTGGGGACATTGACTGGGGACAGCACCGGGGCCATCTGCCACCGCGCCGAGCCCGTGTTCTCCACCTGGGGACACCATTGGGGACATTGGGGACATTGGGGACATTGACTGGGGACAGCACCAGGGCCATCTGCCACCGCGCCGAGTCCGTGTTCTCCACCTGGGGACATTGGGGACATTGGGGACATTGACTGGGGACAGCACCGGGGCCATCTGCCACCGCGCCGAGCCCGTGTTCTCCACCTGGGGACATTGATTGGGGACATTGGGAAAATGGGGGGCACAGGGGGCTCCTGGGGACACGGTGACACTGAGGACACGGTGACACTGAGGACACAGTGACACTGAGGACACAGGTGGCACGGTGACACTGACGACACAGGTGACACACAGGACACGGTGACACGGTGACAGTGCCAGCTCACCTTGTCCTGCAGGTGCAGGTTGTTGTGCAGGAACTCCCGAACCTCCTCGTCCGTGTCCTTCTGCAGGGGGGGACACAGGGGACACCTCAGGGAGTGTCCCCAAACCTTTGGGGGTGTCCCCAAGGCCATGGGGGGTGTCCCCAAACCCCGGGCTTGTCCCTGAGTGTCCCCGGCCACCCACCAGGGCGCAGCGGCCACCCTTGACCAGTGCCATGTCCCCAACCCCAGGGCTTTGTCCCTAAACCCAGGGGACATCTGTGGGTGCCAGGTGTCCCCAGGTGTCCCCAGGTGTCCCAGGTGTCCCCAGGTGTCCCCTGGTGTCCCCAGGTGTCCCATGTGTCCCCAGGTGTCCCCAGGTGTCCCAGGTGTCCCCAGGTGTCCCAGGTGTCCCAGGTGTCCCCAGGTGTCCCCAGTGTCCCCAGGTGTCCCCAGATGTCCTCCGGTGTCCCCAGGTGTCCTCAGTGTCCCCAACACCCACCAGGGCGCAGCGGCCCTTGGCCAGCGCCATGTCCCCAACCCCAGGGGACATCTGTGGGTCCCAGGTGTCCCCAGTGTCCCCAGCTGTCCCAGGTGTCCCCAGGTGTCCCCAGGTGACACCCACCAGGGCGCAGTGGCCCTTGGCCAGCGCTGTGTCCCCAACCCCAGGGGTTTGTCCCTAAACCCAGGGGACATCTGTGGGTCCCAGGGGTGTCCCCAGGTGTCCCAGGTGTTCCCAGGTGTCCCAGGTGTCCCCAGGTGTCCCCAGGTGTCCCAGGTGTCCCCAGGTGTCCCCAGTGTCCCCCGGTGTCCCCAGGTGACACCCACCAGGGCGTAGCGGCCACCCTTGGCCAGTGCCATGTCCCCAACCCAGGGGACATTTGTGGGTCCCAGGGGTGTCCCCAGTGTCCCCAGGTGTCACCCACCAGGGCATAGCGGCCCTTGGCCAGTGCCATGTCCCCAACCCCAGGGGACATTTGTGGGTCCCAGGGGTGTCCCCAGGTGTCCCAGGTGTCCCCAGTGTCCCCGGTGTCCCAGGTGACACCCACCAGGGCGTAGCGGCCCTTGGCCAGCGCGATCAGCTCCTGGTCGGCGGGGGAGCACATGTTGAGGCCGATGGGCAGCATCTTCTTCAGCGTGGCCACGATGAGCGACGTGTGCACCGAGTACCGATCCCCGCGGCGGCGCTTCTTGGAGCGCTCCTGCTCTGAGCCACCGCCCTGAGGGGACACCGAGGGGACACCGAGGGGACACGGGGTCAGCAGGGACCCCTAAACCTCAGTGTCACCTCCTGCTCCGAGCCACCGCCCTGAGGGGACATCGAGGGGACAGGGACAGGGACACGGGGTCAGCAGGGACCCCAAACCTCAGTGTCACCTCCTGCTCCGAGCCACCGCCCTGAGGGGACACCACGGGGACAGGGACAGGGACACGGGGTCAGCAGGGACCCCAAACCTCAGTGTCACCTCCTGCTCCGAGCCACCGCCCTGCGGGGACATCGAGGGGACAGGGACAGGGACACGGGGTCAGCAGGGACACCCACAGGGACAACGAGGGGACACGGGGTCAGCGGGGACCCCAAACCTCAGTGTCACCTCCTGCTCCGAGCCACCGCCCTGCGGGGACAGGGACAGGGACA